AGCAGGAGCAGGGCCTTCCACGAAGCTCGCGTCGTTAAGCATATCATTTATATCCCAGAAGCGCAGTCGGCCAGTCTTGTCCAAGGAGGCGATAACGGAATCATCATCACTAAATGCGAAGTCTTTACCAGCTTTACCAGTCGAGATCTTCAATGCACGCTCCTTGAAGAATTTCTCAGTGTTGACTGTACGCTGAGTACCAGAAATGCCGTAGACAGGGCTCATTGCTGCCTTTGGCGAAACAACGTAAATATTCTTGCCGCGACCAATGGCAAACAAGTTGGTGTGACGAGTACTCCGCTTGGCCCGCGTTTTCAGCTGGCCACCAGAGGTATTCTCGTCCGAGGCCGGGAAAGGCGGGAAGATTAGGCTTTCGCTTTCCAAGGCATCTGTCTCAAAGAAATCCTTTCCAGGACGCGAGATCAAAGCCCAGTATACAGAGCCGCTGACTCCGATACCGAGTATGGCCTGAACTTCGGAATCGCCAGTCGCAGAAGGAGCTGTACACAGTGCAACGTTGAACACTCGATCACGGGTGGAACGGAACACCTGTCGGTCGCTACCGTCATCCTGTCGAATGATTCTGATTCCGCCGGTTTTGGCGAGCGCGTATACGATATATTCGGATGTAGCCGCAGTCAACGAGCGGTCAAGCTGATCGAACTCCTTTTTCAGACGAGCAATATCCATGACATCATCATCACGGAAGGTTGTAAGTTTTCCAGATGTGGCTTTCACAGCAATCGAGATGAAGGGCCTCATTGGGAAGTTGTGAACAGAAACAACTCGTTCTTCTTCCTTTTCAGCACTATCTTCAGCACTCTCCCAGCTGTCAGCCAAAGCCTCGGTGTTCTCAGTCGCCTTCGGGGCAACTGGAACCGCTGAAGGCTCGGCCTCCATCATGAGCTCGTCAACCTGGGCCAAGCTGGCCGCTTCTATAGCTTCAGCGGCAGTCTCGCGCAGGTGACTAGCGACCGACGAAAGAACCACTTCAGGGGATTCCTCCTGGACGGTAGAAACAGCAGCATTGGCTTCCGTTGCAGCCTGGGGTTCATCGCCACTGAGAGAGCGGCCAATTTCATCCACGAGTCGACCAACGACTTCATGCACAGCGTCTCTCTGACCTTCATTCAAAATTGGAGACTGGGTCCTCTCCCTAGGGGCCACAATATCGGGTGTCTGTGAAGACTCCAGCTTAGCAGAAACATTGATCTTTTGTTTCTGGGTGACTTCAACAGCTGGGCTCTGGAGGCCAGAGGTAGACTGGGGAGACTTGTTCACAGGAGAGATAGCGGCCAATTGGTCAAAGGGATTGACATAAGTGAACATTGAGTCCTTCGAGTTTGGCGATACGACCGTTTCCGGGTTCGCAGGCGCCTTCGGACTCTCATCCACAACTTCCATGAAGACATTATTGGTTGTCTGATTCTTATGTTCACCAACAACAGGCTGCATATATGGTACCTGTTGAGTCGAAGCCGGCACCGGTGATTCGGCGACAGCAGGACCTGGCTGAGAACGGTTGAGCAGGCGAAGTAACATATCCTGTGTGTTCTCATTGGGGCCCTCGGGGTGGCCAGAGTGGAATGCCGGGGGAGGCCCAGCGGGTGCAGTCGCAGGGACAGCAGGGGCCTGTTGGCCGAGCAAAGTAGCAACCAAGTCAGACGCGGAAATATTTCGTCCGTGAGACGCAGGAACTCCCTGGGCCGGCGGAGACTGCAAGTGCTCGGGAGCTGCAGCGGGGGCTTGTGGCTGAGGGGAAGCACTGGGACGCTGGCTGAATCTGAGAAGATTCAGAAGATCCACAGAGCCTGGGTTGGTGTGCTGCGGTTGCGGTTGCGGCTGCTGCGGCCATTCGCCCCGAGGAGAAGACACGTTAGGGCTCAAGATATCAGAACCCTGATGAGGGGGAGCATTCATTGGGGCAGGACTTTGAGTAGTCGAAGATACCGATGGATGTTGGTAGCCATGCGACTGGGGATGAGGGTAGCTCTGGCCATCGTAGGGTTGCTGCTGCTGAGGGTGCGGTGGGAACAGACCAGGCTGGTAATACGATTGGCGCTGGGGCTGAGGGTTATCCTGGCCAGGAGTGTTCGAAGGAGAAGGACGAGGCCGGATACTGGCTAAGAGAGCCTGGAGATCGGTGGGGGTGGACATTTCTGCCGTTACGCCTTAGTTATAGGCGACCTCCGCCGATGGGATCCAAGCTTTGCAGAGCTCTCAGAAGCTCTTTTTTGAGAGGGACAGGGTATGAAATTGGGAATCAGAAAGGCTAAAAAAGGCGACAAAAGAGCAAATCAGAGATAAGTACGAGAAAAGAGAGATGAAATTGAAGAACGTGGTGAAGTAGAGAGGAAGGGTGAAGAAGAGAAGAACTCTCGGTAATATTGTTCAAAGCCGTGGGTGTGGCTGAGGCTGCCGAGCTTGTGGCGTACTGTGGCGAGTGTTATCTCTTGCCCGACTCGCGTCATTAGTAAATCGGATTACTTTTACTTCCTTTAGCCCACTTTCACTTGTCGAGTTCAAAGGTGGAGAGCTCATTGGATCAACAACGTATTTTAATTACTTCAAACGGCGCCTTTGTCCAGCTGTCCGCGCCCTTCTGCCAGAAGGCCAGCGCCCGCCCATCATGTTCTGTCTACGGAGGTGAGAGGATCAAGCAACCAGCAACCAGCCACAAAGCAAGTGATTGAGACTAATCTGGATGATCCATTCTGTAGCTGGCTACCTCTTCTTTTCATACCGACCAACGCCTCCCCGCTCTTCATCATCTCGTTTGTTGCCTTGACATACATAATTCACCGGCCATGTGTCTACTGCTCTGCCTTACTCCTGATCCTCTTCGTCTCATCATGTCATTGGTCAGATCGGTGCATCTTTGATCTACGGAGTAATTGGTTTGCACCACGCTATACTTCAGAATTTGGCGATTATGCTATCTCAGCCAACACAACTTCCGAAGCAACAGTGTCAGACGAGGGTCTGAGGGAATTTGTTTTCGATACTATGAACTCCACTGCCAAAGCCTTGGCTGGTGCTGCATTTGACGGCCTCCAACAACAACTTTCCCCCAATGGAATGGAAGTAAGGCCTAACGAGTGGACAGGAATCGGGCTGGAGTGGATGCGCAGCCTATTGGGAAGACGGGAGTGGACTCTTCCATGTGTTGATGTCAAAGTTCGACTATGAAGTGCGCAAAGAAAACTTTACTTTGGTATCCTTCATCTGTTGATGTATCGAAATGAGCTTTTGATTCCATATATATATATATATATTATTTATGACTTGTATTTTCTGTTCATGTATAGATTTCAATATCCTTTCCCGAACAGTTACGAATGACTATTGTACATAACCCATTCTAGAGTAATGTGTCAATCATGATAGACTTCTGGCTGGAGATAGAGATTGTCCTGTTGTTGTAACTAAACGCAAGTGGTGGCTATGTACTACGCAATACGATAATGGATTTGAAGGGGAAGTCGTCGTTTATCCTTAGCCTAGTCCACCCCCATCTGTCCCTCACCCCAGGTATGCAATAACAATGACGAAGATAAGAAGAGCAGAAAGACAGCTAAAATTCCTACGCGCATGAGACTGATTGCTACATGCACTGAGGGCTGACTGGAGGCTTGAATCATGGCAAACAATGACAATATCTCCAACTATCATGCAGCTGAAGGCCGCATGGTGATCACCTAAAAGAAGAATTATCACCGCCTTCATTGTTTGAGACCGGGCAGACGCCGAGTGCAACAAGCACATTGTTAAGTGTTGGATAACAAGCAACACATGAGCAGAGCTAGACTCAGATTTTAGTTTCATTCCCAGAGAAAGATCGATGAAGAGAAAAGAACATACCTGACTCATGGAAGTTGTTAAGCACTTTTGCAGAGCAGCCGGATCACCGTTGGTAAGAGCATTAGCAATGCACGTAAGCTGGGCGGTCAAGTTGAGACAAGCAGCGACACTACATGCCTCTGGGAGCTGCCGGACGATCTCTAGATTTTGTTGCCGAACTACATATATGCTTCGTGTTAGTATGCTGGCTTAGCCGAATTGCCATCGCAGAATTGAGATTATGGAAAGGTATACGTGCAGGACGTTTGGTTATGTATATTTTTGGCTACAGGGGTTATTCCTGCAGCTGAGGTCAGCCCAGAGGCGAGGGCGAGAGCAGCCATGTTCAAACGCATATTCGAGACCTTGTGGGGAATACTTGAAAGCGGATGACCGAGACGGTAGCTTCAGATGCGGTCTCTATTGTTACAAGGAGGAAAGGTTACGCTGATGTTGAATTATATAGCTGCTCCTTATATACACCGAAGCTTTAAAGTTGTTCGCAACAAAGGAGATAGCCAGCCAGTCCTCGGCATGATTCACGATTCACATTGGCAGCCAACTGGTAGGTGGGCACATGAGGCGAATTGTAGACTAGCATGTCCAAGTGGTCACACTGAGTTGCATTAAAAGACTTGTCTTTCCCAATTTCTGTATCAGGAGTAGGTAGTATCAGATACTACCTACCTAACTTAAGAGATACGAAGGGTGTTTACACAAAATCTCCCCTCTCCACCCCAATGACTTTGTTCTGGAGATTGAGAATTGGCTTTTTGGGTCAGGAACTGATGAACTCGGACAAAGTGAGATGGCTAAAGTCGATTATTTGACATTGTTTACACTAAGTACATGGCGAGGAGGTATCTGTCATAAAACAAAATAACGGGCAAACGCCGGCGGGGAAGTGGTCGACCGGTAGTTGGACTGGCAGATCGAATCTCCCGCAAATAAATTCATAAAACGTAGATTGGCTGGAACGAATCATAACGCAAGGCATGACAACCACCGTAAAGGTCAGAGATGGCAGGTGAGTCGTGAAGCATGACTCAAGGAAATGGGGTATCACAACGTCGACGATCCCAGTTCAAGATCCAGATTCGTAAATAAGCGTGCAGAAAGTTATGTATGGCTGAAGAATAATTAGACGTTAAATCTGCACGCAAGGAACTGACGAAGCAAAGTCATAGATAATGCAAATGACACAATTAACAAATCAGTTGTAACCACCGCCACCCACGGGGAGAGGCCAGTCATCTTCAGTGATACTGCTCCAGAAGGCCCAGACCCCGGAGACAGAAAGGAGGGTGAAGAGAGTTTCGAATAAAGCGCCATTGATCTTGCCGCCCGAGGCCTGGCACAGGTGGGTGCTGATCACATAATTGAAGACTTGACCAATTGCGAACAACAAGCCAGCACCGGTGAGATACACTGGTGTATCATTAGCATATGTCAATCTTGAGTCCAACGTGCTGTACTTACGCATTGGTCGGAACTCGCCCAGGACGCGGAGCACTAGTACGGCTTCCAGGAGGTAGAAAAAGACAAGACAAACGAGTGGGAAGAGTTGGTACAGAACATAGAGGGCGATGTTGCGATTTGGTGGCTCGTGACTTGACTGGAAACGACCAGTCCAATCGAATCCAGTGTCCAAGGCAATATAGCCAGTCCCGATGAAGAGGGCGGCAGCAGATGCGCATATGAGACCGATGGAGGCTACTGTGCCGTCATCAATCAACTGAAATCCGACAAGTGCGTTCATGAGAAGGACCCAGCAAGTAGCAGTGATCGCGGCAATGTGTACTGCGGAAAACCCCTAGATACGTCAGCCGAGGCCTTGCGTGCATTTCGTAGGAATCCTACCTTTCGGACTGCGTCGCTGAGTGGAAAGCCACCCACTGTGAAGATCTCACAGATCTCAATGATGATGAAACCGAGTAAGAACAATTGCATTTCCCTGCACACACCTCCATGTCAGTTGATATCTCCATAACGGATAAAGACATTCCATACCTCCGGCCGACGGCAGCGTGCTTCTTGTCCGATCTCCATATCATGCCCACGGTCAAGACAATGGCAATGAAGGCCAGCAGGATTGAACCTATCACAAATCAGCAATTGTGCTCATGTTATTTGCCCCAAATCGTATTGGCCTCGGCTTCGCGGATTGTACCTAAGTTCCGAAGGTATCTGTCCTCCCCACTGAGAGGAATGCCGGTTAGATCGCACGCGTGGAAGGCAGTAGTCGCGGTTTGATTGGTGAAAAGCTGTATGTGAGGAATGATATGGTCAGTTGATAATTCTATAGAGTCATCTTCGTGTCAAAAATATCTCACATTGCAGACTGGTAGGGTTGAGTCGCGACAAAAGTTCTGTGATACCCCATACAGGTGTGCGGTCAGTATCTGCCCATTGTAGGATCTCCAGGTCGATCTGCACTTACGTGAAAGTTCCCGAATTGAGTGGACCCCATTTTGAATTGAGACGCGATTCAAAAGGTGGGAAAAGAGGTAATGTTGACAAAGACAGCGTTCAAGACCCGCGGAGGACCGAACCAGATAGTGAAACCAAGTTGAAGTAGAAGTCAACGTAAAGTCGAAGGATGAAGCTGTGTAGCCAAGGCAAAGAGCGAACTGTGAGGGGAAATAAATCGAGGTGATCCCCACGGGTTACTCGGGGGACTCTAGGGCGCTAGTGTGGCTTAGAGTGAAAAAAAACCCCCGTCTTGACTTCCAAGTTTTCAGTAATTTGGATGATCAAAATTGATCAAATCAAAACAGATCCATAAGGGTTTGAAGGTACAATGGATGATTCTTTGGGACCAGTCACTAATAATAGTACTCTCTTCCGCCTAGGCAACCCGTGATATATACCTATACTTGCTGAATCTCTATAGCTGATATTGTTTTCTTGATTTATCTCCTTGCTGAAGACAGTAATATATGGTCGCCAGGTCGACCAGGTCTCAAGCCACAATCAATTTTTCTGATGACATACGATCCTTTAAGCTTGGCATCTATATCTTGATTGAGATTTGCGGTCACGTTTTGTGTAGTACTGTGCCGTTACTCTGTAGCTCTACAGAATACTAGTATATAAGTATACCCTACCCCCTTAAGAGCTCGATCTAATTCCATTGAAGATCAATTGATTCACGTCCGATTTTAGCGAACTAGCCCCTTCTCTATTGTACTCCGTGTAACTCGGCAACGCTCAAACATTACCGCTTAACACACATCCTCAATCACCAACTTTTGCCCATCGTGCTCGCCCAGATCCAGCTTCAAGGTGCGCCCAAACAGCTCAAGCAGCATCTCGAAGCAGACCTTGGTAATAGCTGGGTCATACCGACCCTTGCTGAGCTCATCACGAATAAAGGCATCTGATAGATATTGTCAGCATATTTGTGTTTTGATGGTGCTGAGGGATGTGTTCAACTCACGTTGTGCCCAAGCGACTTCATAGAAGCCGAACAAGACGCCCTTATCATGTAGGGTCTTGCGGATGAGATCCCGGCCCTCGGGCGGGACGTGGTTATCATTTTTACCGAAGATCTAGAGATTGTGCTTAGCAATCGACACAAATGGGGGAGAGAAAGGAAGAAGAGAAAAAACGTTGAGACATACCATTAACATCTCACCCTTGATATCCCCGGCTCTCTCCAAGCTATCATCATTCTTGCCCAGGGCAAGGGTCTTGCTGTGGATATCCGTGGCAAAGTAACACACGCTCGCCTTGACCCGGCTATCCAGCGCGCAACGATACGCCAAATGGCCACCTAGACACATGCCTGTGGCACCCACTCGGCCGTTGCAAGTGGGTAGTGAGAGCAGATAGTCCACACTGAGACTAGCATCTTCGTCATAAGCGGCAAGTTTCTGATAAATCGTTGGTCCCGCAAATTATAACAAGAATAACAGCCCACGACAGAACAAGAATGAGGATAGAGTATGTAATCATGGGAGCTATATACTCCACTTACCTTGCCAATCTTCCATGCATTCCCCTTGTCTGTGTCTTCTGCGTCATACTTCAGAGGCTCCGGACCAGTGAATTCATGGTAGCTCGAAGGAGCTGCGCAGATGTAGCCCTGGCCTGCGATCTGGCGTGCAAAACGTGCCACGGGGCCCGTTACTATAGGGTTGGGATCTTGAGTTGAGGTGGTCGGGGATGATCGTAGTGGAAGGGGCACGAACCTTGATAGATCTCACTGAAAACTACAACACCGGGAAAGCGGGCTTTAGGGTAGCCCGGGATTGTCGGGTGGAATACATAGATTCCTGATAACTTGTTAGTATTGTCCTTATGAAGAAGCAATGGCTTTATAGAGGTGATAAAATGTGCTGTACGGGAAAGATCATAGTGCACATACGCATCGTCCCCTGTCCATCTGCTTTGGTGGGGACGTCATGATAAGATTCTTGGATCAGCATGGTCTTTTTATTTCCTTTTCAACGATTGAGAAATCTATTGGAACGGAGTCGATAAATCAATTGGAAGACCATTAAGTCGCGAAGACATTATCGATAACGCACGCGGGGCAGTCATGTGCTGATACTGGCGCTGATACTGGGGTCTCAACACCTTTATGTAGGTTTTGCCTTCCAATGCAGGGATTATAAATTAAAGCAAATAGCTTATGTCTACATATCTGGATCAGCTTTAGGATTCGCGTGACTCGTCGTAGTCCAAAAAAAGGCCATCAAACTCATAGCGGCGGGTTTCACATAGGTCAGAGGCTACAGAATGGCCGGAATATCTTGCTTCATAATTGGTGCAGGTATTAGTAATCTATTTGACATTTTCTTTTATACATATGCTCTACTAAAATTGGCTGGCTGGAATATGGTCTGGCCAGACCTAAATAAGAAAAATCCTCTGGGCTTCCAACTACCAAGCCCCCAAAATGAGTCCCAAGGGAAAGCAGCGGGCTGCGATTAGAAGACGTACTATGGTAAATTTAGCCACAAGCGCCGAGAAAAACATAAAGATCAAATCACTCACAGGAATAAACAGGTAAGGCACCTGGCGTTCGTATTCGAGCCAAGTCTCGCCGTACTTGGTGCGACACCGTTGGATGTCCCGAAGAGCGCGGTGACTGATCATACAAGCGAAGAAGACAGGGTAGAACCAAGGGAAAGGACTTGAGAAGCCGGTGATCAAGCCCCAGTTAAGGGCGAAGTAAAGATCGCACGAGTAGTGGATCTTGCGGGCCTTGCCATCTACACAGTTGTTAGTAACAGAGCTCGTAGAGATATATATTGACATTTGATATTTGGCATGAACTTACACCACCCATCCACAAGAATCTTTGAGCCATCGGCTGCAGTAAGAGTCTTGGGGTTCTCCAATGTCTGCCAAGGAAGTTGAGGGAAGGTGTTGCGGGATACCATGGTACCACGCTCCTGCTGGCGGAAACGGTTCTTCTGGCTGTTGGTGGTATCCCACACCCAGTAGACGAATAGATAGGCGATGAATAGGAAGGCAAGGAAGTAGCGGTTCCAGCGGTATTCAGCAGGATCGTGGTTAGCGAGGTAAATGGTGCAGTGGCAGTAGCTCAGAGGCACACCGGCCAAGTTCCAGAAGATCAGCATGAAGCCCCACTTTTCGTAGTACATATCCCTATAAAGTGTTAGAAGATAATCTTGATTCTGGGACCAGCAATATCCTTACCAGGTGGAAACAATGCACTCCTCACCCTTAGAGCAGGCATTGGCGTAGAGATAATGAGCCATTACAAGGAACATAACCTCACCCGACACATAACCGTACATCTCCCATTGGCGGGCAGCGGCACCCATAGACAGACCCAGCAGGATGTACCAGGGTAGGCGGACCTCGAAGAACATCTTGAAATCGAGGATCTTGAACATACGGGGGTTGAGCTCGGCACCCATGAAGAAGTCATAGATCGGGTAGCCAGTCATACGGTGCTCTGCACCACGCGCCAAAGCCGAGAAGTAGGCAATGAAAGAGACGATGTATCCAGACAGGATGGCAACAGTGAGCAATGGGCCAAACTCATCAATGATGGTGTACAGCTTGAAGACCCCAGTTACGTGCGCAACGAGTGCCAATGTAACGCTTGTGTAGAAAGACCACACGCCAGAGCAGTAATATGGCAACTGCTTGCCACCCATGTGCGGTAGGGGACGACCGGAAACGCTGACACCGGGAAGAAGTACGTAGCAGGCACCCTCGAAGATGAAGAAAACCCAGTAGATTGTCCACGCCTTGACCGATGGGAAAGCACCGGTGTAAACCAAATTGACCAAGTGCGCGAAAAAGTCGCCGTAACTTTCGTTCTCCGCGGGGCGAGGGAACTTGCCGTCGTAGTAGGTAGCACCAATCCACATGTAGTACATGAGCATGGGGAATCCGATCATCATGGACAGCACACCCAGGGAGCCGCCGAATTCAAAATGTCCGCTGTAATCCACCTTGGGATCGAGGCCTTCCTCCCAGCCATCCACCACGCGCGATGCAGACTTGGACATAGGGCCGGTAGTCTTGCCATTGGTAGTCTTCACCGGCGCATCATCTTCTTCGGTCTTGACTTTGCCCGATGTACGACGACGGGAGGCGGACTTGGATCTCTCTAGGGAGGGGGAGTTGGAGACCTCATTCTCGCTACCATCGAAGACAGAACTGTTGCGGGTGGTGCGACGGCCACCGGGGGTCTCAATGAAGCCGGGACGATCCATTTTTCTGAAGGAAGAAAGGATTCCGAATTAGCTCGACAAAAAATCTACTATGTACAAGCCATGAATTCCGGGCAATGGCAAGATATAACCCTGGGGAATTCAGGGTGTGGATACGTCGTCACTAAGATCCGGTGGAAACTACTCACTTGGGGGTTTTCCCCGTTTGAGAGCGGGTTAAAGTCATTGTCGCTTAATCGGAAGACCAAGGTTCCGACTGCAGAGGGTAAGGAGTGGAAGGGTAAAAAGGAGCGAGGAAGAAAACCAGAATGTCCTGAATGTTTACTCTGGGCGGTACTAAGTGATTACATAATAATCTCAAAATCTTGGATGGCAATTTTAAGGTATAGAGTAATGAACGTATGTGAGAAGTATTTACATTTGGTTGTAGAATCCTTTGACATTAGATTTATATCCAAAAATGAAAGGCAGAGAGAGAAGTTGAATATGAATCTCCATAGATACTCAAGGGGTATACTTTTTTTTCCCCAGGGAATTTACCAATCTCTAAGGGGGAAATTGGTGGGGAACTCGTTGTCAACTGCCTGTTTTGACTTGGGACCATGCCCAAAAAGATCTTACGGAGTACGGAGTAATGCAAGCCCTAATCCGTAGATCTATGCAATTTACCCCTTACCGCGTCTCAACATGGAGTCTTGACTCAAATTATCTGTCGGAACCAATTTCATTTGTTACCTACTCCTCTGAGCGACCTGTTTTTTTTTTTTTTTTTTTTCCCCCGTCTAAAGCCAAATGGATCACATTACTAGATTGTATATGTAACTATGTGATTTGTATATTTCAGAAAAAGTCCACTATCACCAGTACAACAGAATAGAATATGGGTCAGAACAGTTACTAAGACAACAACCCGAAGGATCGGGGAAATGGATCATATATGGTAATATAGTACGAGCTTGGTGGGAATTGAGAACAATGAAACAAACAAGACTTGATCAAGACCTAAGCCCCTCTCTGGCTGCTAGTGGCCATCAATGTGATCTTGGTTTTGTTTTTCTTTTTTTTCTTGCCTCCACTGGAAGATGGACCAGAATTTAGATTCTGGTCGCCAGAAGCCGTCTGAGCGAGCAGATCAGATTCTTGCTGGGCGAAGAGCTCATCCTCCCAGCCCTGCCGCCAGCCATCATTATGTATAGCTCGTTGAGCCTCAATGTTTGGTGACAGTGAGCCCACTGCCGTTGTGCCCCAAACAGTGCGGATACCTGGCGGACTGGTAGAAGGAGAAGCCAATGCCCCGAATCCAGATGATGAACGAGGAGGAGAGGCCGAGGAGGCGGTGGTGTTAAATAGTGAGGGATCCGCATTGTGAGGAAGTGGTTGGAAGTCATGAGCAGAGAATGGAGCTTCAGTGACGCTGGCACTTCCAATGCTTGGCCGCTTGCGCCGAGCGGCAGCCCACCGTTTGTCGTCCTCTTCCTTCTCCGCGCGAATGCGATCCTTTTCTTCTCGGGCTTCTTTTTCCCGGTTGCGCTTTCGTCTTCTGTCAGTCTCTGCGCGGAAACGCCCCAAAACCTCGGGGACAACCACGTCCCTCCAGTCGCACTCGAGGAAGCTAACCTCACATCCCTGCGGAAGGTGCCCGAGATACTTCACTCGCTTGCGAAGCTCATCATCCACGATGTGGCCTGTTGATATGTGCTCCACCCGTGGTAGAATAGTTGCAGGAAACAGAGAATATTCCCCAAATGCAGCCTTGAGGATGCGAATATCCAAGGATGAGAGGTAGAATTGAGGCAACGCTTGATAAAAATGATATGATTGATCTGGCCCGGAAGACACTGGTGTTTGCTTGCTCCGACCTTTCTCTTTAGCCCTGATACTGGCTTCAGGATCAAGATGAACCCTGTCTAGGCCTTCAGAGAGATCACCCCCTACATCTGATGTAGCCGGCGTCACAATAGATTGTGTAGACGAGCTACTGGCAGGATTAGCCGCAATAGTGCGTTCTTTGACTGGCCGAACATCAGGCGGATTGCCAATGCCTTTCAGCTTCTCTTTGGCATCCATGATAGAACCAATTGCTTTTCTGGTCCAAGTATTCTCATCACCAAAGAGAAGCTCGTCTTCGACTTCCTGTCTGCGGAGGTCTTCAATTTCAGCATCATACTGAGCGGTCATATATTCTTCGCCACCTTTCATGATTCGAGCATAGTCGGCAACTTCTGCCACATGATACCACGGAACATCCTCGCCTGGACCAAGTGTCTCAGATCCATCACGCGGCAGAGCAAGGGTGCTACCCGACTCTCGCTTTACAAGTCTCAATACAACATCACCGCCTTCGACGGGAAGATCGCCTTCTTGGCCACGGAACCACCTGACAGGCCGGGTCTCGGAGATATACACGGAGTCCCAGCAGATAGGACATTTCTTCCAACGGTGCCGTTTTTCAGGGACCGTGTTCTCGTCGTCGGATGAGTGCATATATCGGATAAGACAAGGGAGGCAGAAAATATGACCACACCGTGCCATCCGGGGTGCAACCGGAGTAGAAAGACAAATGGGACAACTGGCAGCCTGTGTCTGGGCAGACACCAGTACTTGAAGGACTGAGGCCCAATCGATATGAACATCGGCATTGGCTGCCTGAGCATGGAAGTTTTGGTTTGGCGTCACAATAAACCGGTAATTCGCATGAACGTAACGCGATTTATCAACTGCACCCGCTCCCCAGGATGTATACCGTCGGATGTTGCGAGGAGGCGCTTGGTATTGTGGGCGAGGTGGAAGTGAAAAGTTCATCAAGTGAGTGATGGACGTCTGTCCCTTGCGGCTGGTGGTGGATTTCATGGCGGCCTAGATAATACCTCCAGGATCAGCAGGTAGCTTTTGAGGAAGATAGACCTGTGAACCCACCGATTCGTTGTACTCGTCATCATCCAATAACCGAGGTTTTCTTTGACGGTTATGCTGACTCTTCCGAGCTTGATTATTCCTTGGGGTGGCTGAAGTTTTCGATGATGCCCCTGGCCGAGAACTTCCAGAGCCTCCTATTCGCCTTTGAGAGCTGTTGTCCGTCGGAGCTGTTGAGTAGAATGGAGTAGACGAGGCTGTATTCGGAATATTTACCGCTTTAGAAGGGGGCGGGTTCTGTCCTGCATTGGATGACATATCTCTGCAGCAACAGCTCTTCAACAGAGGAAGCACAATAAACCAAACAAGGCAGAGAGACGAGACGAGTCACTTGGCTGAATGGAGGAGGGGTTCTATGGGGACTGGATGGAGGCAACAACTGATAAGACGTCAATCAGCTAGCAGGCAGTAGTTTGAGTGATCCGCCAGTTTCTGAACAAGCCGGACAGGAAGAAGAGAATGAATGGCCTTGAAGGCCATGTAAGAATAGTAGGGAAGATCGAGGGACGGCCCTCAGGGTGCCAGTTGATGTCGTGAAGGTCCAATTTCGCCCCTCTCCGGTTACAAATCGTAATGTCACGTGAACCAGCAAGTCCCGACACCCAATTCGGTCTCGGTCCCCTTCAGCTTCATTTCGTTTGACGGTGAATCGAGGCTTCCTAACCCTCATCTCTTATTTCTTTTTCTTTTTTCCCTTCTGCTCACTCGCTTTTCACCCCCCCACTTGTCGACTTTCTGCGCCTAGAGAGTTACTTGTACAGCGATCTGCTTCTTTCTCTTCTTGTCTCCTCACTCCGATCTGGTTTGCTCTCCTTCCACAGCAACCCAACAGCTCTTTCGACCCAGTTCATCCTCCACTCCCACTCTCCAACATATTCAACAACTCTTACTGAGGCCACGATGGCTGCCTAAATGCGCCAGCAGCTCTAGATATCTCTTTCTTCTTGACTGCTATCGCGCATGGCACTCATTTGAGGCAACGCGTGACCGAACGTCAAGACAACTTCTTTTTCTAGCCAACTCAATATGAACCACCACCTCCCTGCCATGCCGCATGGGCAGCTGCCCATGCCTCCTTCGAGGCGCCAGCAAGACTTCTCTTACAACGCCGCGCCCCCCCACATGCGATCACCACAGTACATGGGATATCCTCCTCACATGAATGGCCACATGCCTCACCAGCCATACTCATCGCAGCAGTACCCTTACTGGTATCCACCATATGGACATATCCAGGGTCCTCCACGTCCATACCAGGCGCCCTATGGACCGATGATTGTATCTTCTTATCCTCACTCGCAGCCTGTCATGGCGCCCACGCATATTCCTCATTCGATGCCCATGCATCAAAGAACTCCGACTCCACTGCAACCGATAATGTCTCCATCTGTCATGCATCCATCGATTCAGCCCATTCAGCCTGAAATGCAGGAATACCCTGCTGTTCTACCACACTCGGTCCAAGGATATCCCATCGCTTCTCCGCCACCACGATGGGAGCCACAGTCAAGCCTGCCACCGAAACCCACTTTTGCCCCACCTGTAAGTGTTCACTCCCCATAGTGAATTTAACCTGAACATTTTCTGACATTTCGGCTAGATTCCTTGGTTGTCGGTTCCAGAGCAGCCCTTCCCGGCCAGAATCCCGCGCAGACGTCGCAAGGGCCGTGTCATGCAATCGTCAGTTGAGCTTCCCACCAAAGACACGCACATGGTCATCGAAGGAGATGAAAACGAAGGGACTCAGCCATCCTGTTCTTCTACCCAAGAATCTTCGGAACCTCAAACCCCAACCACCGCTACATTCCAGCAGTCGGACACAGACTCCACACAGCCTACCACTCCTTCGTCAGTTGCGAAATCACAAGCACACTCGAAAAGCTCAAAGCCTGCTCCGATTGTTCCAGTGGTGCCCAATGTGCCATCTACTCCACGTCGCCAAGCCAAAGATGGTAGCGCCGCGTCTGGAACTCCTAGATCGACTGCACCTGCTACTCCTGCCCCAGTGGTAGAATCGGATAAACTTTCTTCTGCAGACACCAAGGTAAGCTCGCCCGCGCCAGCTGCACCCAAGTCTTGGGCCGATTTGGTTCGTTCGAAGGAGTCGGCGCGGGCAGCAAGCGCGGCTGCCGCCGCTGCTTTGGCGGAGCCACACGGATTGCCCGCTCAGAAGAACAAATCCCTCGCAGATGTCTTGAGCATGCTGGGAGAAGACGTCACTCAATACAGCGACAAGATCGCGTTTCTTGAACCTCGAGGACTTGTCAACACTGGCAACATGTGCTACATGAACTCTGTGTTGCAAATTCTTGTTTCTTGTACCCCATTCTATCAGTTCCTTGATCATCTTGGCCGACGTGCAGCCCACACCTTCCACAGTGATCTCCCTTTGATCGATGCGATGATCATGTTCATGAAAGAATTCCGTGTTATTGACGCGGCCTCTTCTGAAGACCAACTTCGCCTCCGATTGAAGCCCAACGAGCTTGAGCAATATGGCGACTCCTTTGTGCCTGAATTTGTTTATGAGATGGTTCGACAACTGCCACGATTCAGGGACATGCGGCGCGGACACCAACAGGATGCCCAAGAGTTCTTAGGTTTCCTCCTCGAGGAGATGCACGAGGAGTGCGCTCGTGCCGAAGCGCACACCGCAGCGAAGGAAGGAGGTGATTCTTCTGTTGATGGCTGGTTAGAAGTTGGCCACAAGCAAAAATCTGCGACCACCCAGCTGTCTGGATCCCTTGCTGCCGAGTCGCCGGTCACCAGAATATTCGGGGGAAAGCTTCGGTCAGAATTCAAGGTGCCTGGCAACAAGACTTCTGTTACGTTGGAGCCATATCAACCTCTGCAACTTGACATCGGATCGCATGACGTTCACAACATTCTCGATGCGCTCAGGGGAATGACAAAGCCAGAAAGCATCCAGGGCGATTTCAACTCATCGCGTGGACCCAACATCACCGCAACTAAGCAGATCTTTATTGAAACATTACCCCCTGTCCTCATTCTGCATCTCAAGCGCTTCCAGTACGACAGTGTTACAGGTGCTACTCAGAAGATTTGGAAGAAGGTTGGATACCCTCTCGACTTAGAGCTTCCGCGAGAGGTTTTCCCAGCTCATCGACGTAACGCCATGGCAGCACATGGAGGCCCCCCCAAGTACCGCCTTATGGGTGTAATTTACCACCACGGTAAGAACGCCAGCGGCGGTCACTACACGGTCGATGTTCGGCGACAGGAAGGCTTGGAATGGATCCGCATGGATGATACTGCCATCCGTCGCGTTCGCAGCGAGGAAGTGGCGGAAGCTGGTGGCGAGGAAGACCCCAAGGTTCTCGCTGCAGCTCTCGCGCAGCACAAGCACGGAAAGATTCCAAACGGCAATATTTTTGACCATATCGATCAGGATGACATGGATTTGACTGACAGCGACAAGGGCTGGAGCCAGGTCAACGGCAATGGTGCCAATGGACACGCAAGCAAGAAATCCGTGAATGGAGTCACTCCACCTCCTGCCGCTCCCTCTGGGGCCCGAACTCCTCTGGGCCGCTATGGCTCTCGCGATAACAAAGTTGCCTACCTATTGTTCTACCAGCGCATGGATTGAGGGCTCTCACTCAAAAGTTTCGCCATTGGGCTGTACGTCCCTTCTTCAAAAGACACATTGAAAAAGGCTCACACCACTACATCCTGCGACATATCGAGTTTTGTGTCTTCCACCAAGTCATGCATTTTGATCCTCACCTCAGAGGATGATCTGCCACCTGTAATATAAACAGGTCATACATAACATCTATCAATCTCGGCGAGCTTGTTCCATTTTTGTGTTTACAGCTCGCCTCTGCACATTACCCCCCTTTCACAATAGAGCCATCGAGGAGCACAATCTAGGGCACGGCTGTCCCCGGTCATCTACCTCTCACCCTCCGCCCCCCGAAAGGCTCATTCATCATGTCTCACTTCTGCTTCACAAAAGCATTTACCTGGATTTTGTCTTGACCTTTTTTTGCCCTTGCTCTTTCAGTCTAACGAACCCAATACATCTTCTACCCACAACCCATTGTCTTTTGAGCCAATTTTTTTTTCCCCGTCTACCTTTGGGCTGTATCTTATGGGATGTCGACCTCGGTTTATACCCCTCTCCGTTTTCTCATGGATATCGTTCATACCCATCTTTGACCCTATCGCACACGACTAGGCCAGAAGAAATGGGTTTCTATGAGCTGTTCTCACAACTTCTTTTTTTTCATGTACTTTGCCATGTCATTCGACATCTGGCGAGAGTACAGGAGATCCTGTGACGAAGTCACGAATTTCCTTGTCTTGATCTCAATTGCTTTGTCTGCATAGATGGCGGGTGTTGAAGAGGGCTTGGGCTGTTCAGCCTGGGGCGTCGGGGGTGTTTCTTGCTCGTGTTGTGGGGGAAGAGGAGGGAGGTTAATGGTGCAGATGGTACAGACCAGTGGGTTTGGAGGTTTGGAGTGTGGAGGCTACAGGTCGGATATCTGAATTGCACGAGAACGCAGAATACCAGGTGTGGTATGTCAAAAAGCCTGTTTTTACAAAAAAAAATTTCAAAGGAAGTTTATCTCAAGGGTGTATTGCTGTAACGTGTAGTCTGATCTATGATCTATGTAGCATGTGTGACTGAAAGTAATGACTACAGTGTCGAATATATCAAGCATGGAAGACTGGCAATCCAGCCTTCTCGCCCTTCACTTCCACTTCCACACCCCCATTTTCCACAAACTCAAATCCAAGAGCCCTCCAGTTCAACTCTTTCCTCCAATGTAGCCCATAGTACATCCTCTCGTCTTGTCCACCAACTGCAGAATTTTCAGCCTTTGCAGCCTGATCAACCTCATCGGCCACAGGACCAACAGCCGGCTCAGAAGACAGGCCACCACTCTCTAACCTCCCATGTCTAGGGAAGATGACAGACCGGAACCGGGAAAGAAGCATGCCCATAGAGCAACACAGACACGGCTCATGGGTCAGGTAGACGTCCAAGTCTGTGCAGAGGTAACCACCCTGTGAGCGAGTGCGAATGCGCGGAGCTGCAGGCGTTATGGCCGGGGTAGAAGAGCCCGCAAGTACCACGGTAGATGGGGGAGGAGCTGGGAGAGGCGGGTGGTGCAGCTGGGATTGGGAAGGGTCTGTAGAGGGGTCGATGGTCAGGTCGGATTCAGGGTTGGGGTCTTGGTATTTCCTCTTCAATGGAGAAGACGGAGATTGGGGTGAGTTGGAGATGTTGGTGGATGTAACAGATGTAACAGGACGGTGGCGGTATAAGAAATATGATTCCAGAGCGCTCAGCTCTGGCTGTTCTAGTTCTGGCTTCGATGGACCCGCGGTAGTCGTTGATGCGGACGAGTCGTCAAGACGATCGTGTTCTCGCCGCCAGCGAGCAATCAAATCGACAGCACGCATCAGTGCGTGCAGTTCAGGCCCACCCTCAACATCCGCGTTGTATATCTTGCTCGCTGGGTTTGGCGCTACCCCGGCGTGCAGCCGGGCCTGGGATGGTGCACCCGCCTCGGATCGGGAGTATCGCGCATCGCCGGCAACGGCGAGAACTGCTTGATCCCATTCTGTTGTAGTGTCACATCCGGCCTCATAGCCCGCCTCGGTTATTTCTTCATCAATGGCAGGGTCGACTATCACTGCGCCTACGCCGCGGCCTAGGCCGGATTGTTCTGCTTCCTCTGCTACTTTGCGCGCCAGGGACAGGTAGTACCCTGCCCGGGGTTCAATGGATTCTTGTGCGCGTTTTAAGATTTGAGGAGGTGGTGCGACAGTTGAGCGGGGTGCGGCTGGGTTGAATACGACTGGCCAGAGGGTCTTGGTCCATGTCTCGGCTTGAGCTGCGTTGAAGGGAGGGCAGAGCGGGATTGTGGCAGGGTGGAGTTGAATAGTAGGGGCGGAAGGATCGGGATGTGAAGCTTCACCGGGCACTTCATTTGTATTTGGAGAATCGTTTGTAGCGACCGGCGCCGTGTCTGGCGCAAATGGGGCGAGCAGAGCCTTGAGTGTGGTGAGATCAGGCAACGGTGGTGATATGAGGACGAAGATAGTTTGCGCTGGCGCCGCTGGAGGAGGGCTCTGGCTTTCAATTGCTGCTCTCAGTGGATCTGGGAGTAGTTCTCTTTTGGCGAAGCGACGTAGGTGGGATAAAGGAAGGGAAGGGTCTTTGGGGAAAGCCGCGTCGAGAGCCCTAATTGAGGAATTAATCTGGCGTTCAGACTGGCGAAGTACACGAGTCGATAGCTTACTTGATCACTTTGGATGCAGACTTCACATTTACTTCTGCAACGAAGGCATTGCCTATTTGTTGGTCAATCATGATGTCGCAGGAAGAGGGCGATGTTATAGGTCATACCGAATTCTTCTGGTGGCCTTGTCTCTTGGACTGTTCGAATAGGGACCACTTGTCCATCAAGAGGTTTGAGGTCCCTGACTGTCTTCTCGACGTCCATTCTAGCTATCTCCAAAAGCAGACCCAGTCACGCGCGGGGTGAAATAGTGAGCGTATCAAGATAGTTTGATCGTGTACAACCAATGGCTTAGCCCAAAGTGGCTGTAAGTCACAATGCCTTGGAGTTGTGCTTGGCCCTCAATTGCCGATTTCAACTGCAATAATTCAGCAAAAGAGGAGATATTCATATGAGGACTGGAAGAAAAGAAGAAAGCTATACAAAGTTCGGAGGCAAACAGTGCAAACTTTGTCCCCACAGGTTTGCTGCTAGGCCTTTTCTGGTCTTTTGAGTCGGTATAGTTTCAGATTTTTCGAAGGGTTTACTCTCTCTCTCTCTCTCGACGAACAGGCAGTGTTGATATATCTAAGATAATAGCTAAACCGCGGAAAGAGGATACCAATGGTCCACGAGTAATCGCTCCATCTTACTTCGTACCCATCAGAATTATAGTGTATAGGGTGCAAAAGCCGATTGATACTAGCTACACGTGTGTATAAAACACGAAAGATCTACAATTGCAAGTGTTCAAATCATGAATGGATATTTGAGTTTTATATGGATCTAAAACAGTGAAGACGATAGGTGATTTGATCATAGATATCACCCTCATCGTGTGGGAAAATCAAACGCCGAATGCCCCCTGTGAGAAAAAAATCGCTGAAAAGTAGGAACAAGGTATTGCCCATCGACCTTTTGATATATGCTGAGATAGATCCCTGTTCTAAAGCGCCATGTTTGATGTCGGTGCTCCTCGATATTAGATCAAAAGCAATGGTGCATCGAGGTCTGAATCACTCTGATGCAAGTGGTAGGTATTAAATCACACCGCCAGTGGCTCAGCGGGTGACAGGCAAAAGAATCCACTCATCCATAGCTGACTCGAGACCAGCCCGAGTATTCCAGGGCAGAACGTAATTTGTGCAGATTTCGCATCGGCGTAGTTTGGGCTTATTGGTCCAGCCTTATGCAGAAACAGGACCAGCTGCTGGAGCAATGCCGGTTACCCCGGCTTTGGCACTGCCATTTTGGCAGATGCCTTCAATTTCAAAACCGTCGCATCGATCAACGAGGCTCTGATAATAGTCCACTAGGACTTCCGGCTGTGGAACAATGCGCCATTCGACTCGAAATAAGAAATCAAGTTCGAGCATGGCTAATTCTGTCATTCCGATTCCACCAACTCGAGCATACGTTTTGTTGGTCCAAAAACTGTCGCTGAGTCCCTTGCTGGCGACTGTGGCACTGGTGATCAGGAACCGATGGATAGTCAGGCTGGAAACGGTGAAGGCGGGGTACAGCGCACAGAGTCGATCTATGTAGTAGACCATGCTGAGGAGGATAGGGGTGAGAGAGAGTAGCGTGGGTTGTCAATCGCTGTAGGTAATCTTGCACGGAGATTCGGGGCGGAGAGCGCGAGTGGAAACGGGTCAGACGACCCTGATGTAGTGGGATTTTATCGTTGAATCGGATCAATTCCATGAGCATGCTGGATATTAGCACGACCATGTCACGGGGGTCGGCCAGTTCATATTGCGTGGGCAACATTTTGACATCTGGTTTGGAAGGTCGCAGGCGCTTGGACTGCGATCTCTCCAAATCTTCGCCATCCTGGTCCGCCGGCGTCGCATCCGATGAGTGATGGTCGCGTTGGCTGTTTCGCTTGTTGGACCCCGGGGTAGGGGCGGGCATCGAGGGGGCGGGGGAGGAAGTCGGGGGTGGGTTCGCGGAGGTGGCGGTCGCCGGAGTGGTTGCAGTCACAGCAGAAGATGTGGTAGATTGAGGTGTCGAAGCCAAGGCCGAATTGTGGACCAGGGTCTTCAGAGTATCAGATGTGGATGCGCGCCTGCGTTGAAGATCCCCTGAAGTTTCAGGAGAAGAGGGATCGACAGTATGCCGATTCAAGGCTGAGCGAAGTTCGTCAATGGCCAGACGTGAGGATCGAGGACTATTGAATTGTGGAGCGCCAGTTGGCTCATAGTGGGAATGTGACCCCGATGTTGAAGGAAGTGGGGAGCGCAATGCAGCCGTTGAAGGCGAGGGTGAAGATGCCAACATGTTGAGGTATTAGGTTATCAAGGAATGCTAGGAATCTGAGCATTCACAGTGCAAGGTGAGACCACGTGGGCGCACAGTCAGGGCGCGCTGTGGATGGCGTGGGTGCACGGCCGGCCTCATCCTCAGAGGCTTAAAGGCTCAGAGGAAAGCACAAGGTATGCAAGGGGTTATAAAGGTATAAAGGAAGAGAAGAGGGGGGTCTGGGAATAATACGCCGACCTTTGACAAAATAGAAAGGGGGCAAAGGCAAAGCCGGTTGAAAATCTTGTTCGTTGGGGTGAGGTAATTACATTCATGCTGTCAGTGGCTGGTTGCTTCCGGTGACTGTATCGTTACAGTATGGGTATTTTTTCATTTCAAAAATTTCACTATATATATAAAATATACGGAGTGCCTTTGCAGATATATATCTTGCATATATCCAAGGTCATTGATACCGTTGAAACAAGACTGAAATCCTTGATAGTCTGCTCAAACAATCTTAGATGTTGGATACCACTCTATTTCCCTCAAGGACCCCAGTGGGAATCAATATTTTACATACAATGTGACTAGTTGGGAATGATGATGAATCTACTCCGTACTGAGAGAGAGATACAGGTATCTAGGGAGAGATTCTATGACTAAACTAGCTCGTATCAAGCAATTCCTGATCACTTACTCCTTAGAAGAGACATAATGCACTCCAATGTACTCCGTATACTCTCGGGATTTCAAGCCCACGGGAAGCGGGGGTAACTACCGTGCCCTAGCTTAATTAGGTTAAAATGCCAAGAGTTCAAGTATACAATATACTCCATAGATATATGCAATATTTAATCAAAGATGCAATATATGACTAAATATGGCTGATAGTTGGATCTCAAAATAGCTTTGGTAGTAAGTTTTACCTGGACTTACATCATCAGTATACCGGATTTGTTGTAATGCTGGCGGCATATACATGGCCAAGAACTAATACAAAGGTCCTGCAAATATACAACATAGGCTACACATACGGATCACTAGATCTAGGCCTTAGTAGGAAGTATTTCGTACGGGGTACTCTTTTCATGAAAAAGCAAACAATCTCGGAAACCATGCGACGTTGGACTCCAGATGCTGTCCTCATCACACTCGATAATGGCTTTTGTATAACCGCAGATCTTATAGAATCATTTGGCGTGTTAAAGTTTTGTAGTAAAGTACATATTATTTCTGTGACCATGACTCAGACCAGCGACAGCATAATAGAGTAAAACATGCCATAAGAAGTAACAAGGCTGAGTTGTCGCTCTTTCATTAATCCGGAGCCACTTTTCGGGAAACGGTGTGTCTCGGCAGAACTGAAGTGCGGAGTACCTCTAGGCCCGGCTCTACAGTTCCGGATTGCCATCATATCTATGTTGTACATCCAGGTCTACACAATCTTCTCATTGACGGATATAATTTCCTTGATATCATTCTAATATCTCTATCAACTTTAATCTAATACACAAAGTGAAACGTCGAGTACCTCCCCGCTGGGAGGGGCTGATCGCCAGACGATGACGCGAGCTGCCGCACCGCCGATTCTGCTACAGCTACAGAGCGCCGAATCGGCCTCCTCGCAGATTACAGCTTTGCGCACTCTGAAGAACGAACTGATTGGCCATGACCAGCGCAAGGAAGTCTACATTGTCGAGGGAATCATACCAGCTTTGGCACAGGTGCTGACATCGAGATGGCCGGGAACGGCCGAGTTGAATGAATCGATACTGCACCAAGGTCGGTCCACGCCAAAAGCTCCAGAAGATTATGAAGCATGCCTACAAGCAACCTTAATTGTTGGGAGCCTGGCACAAGGTATGTGAACGACATGTGCAGATCCATGTCTAAATCCGCCAAGACAGAGATTGACTATACTGAGCAGGTGGTCCGACGTTTCTCACCCCACTATTCGCCAGCAATATCCCCCAGACCTTACTTTCAATATTTTCGTCCCCGCACTGCCCAGTTTCATTCTATCTTCCCATCCTTCGACTTCTAAACACAATTGCAGACCGGATACCGTTGCAAAGCCAGGAACAATGGCCTCGGGACACACAGCTTGCGGATCTTGTTTTTGCTCCTGCAAATATCGCCTCTCTGAGGCGTATAGTTTCGCAGGAGTACGGGGACCGGCGCAGTCAGACTATGATCGAGCTAGCAGCCGCCCTGATCGGCAAGCTATGCACGGAGGAAACCCACAAGACGGCGTTGGCAGAATCCGGGGTGTTGGATGCTTTGGCGCTCAAGATTGCCTCCTTTGTTGTGGCCAAGGGATTTGTTCTGCCCGGCGCAGAAGATCGCCTTCAAGAACCTGGTGCATTGAATGATCTGCCACTTCCGGCCCCCGAATCCGCCCAGCTAGCCCCGATTCTGCGCGCAGTTGCTGTCATTATTGAACAATCAAAATGGAGGGCGGAGCATTTCTTGTCATCACCTGGCATTGTAACAGTGTTTCCGAAACAAATCCCTGGGTTTGCTCCATCAGACATCAAGAAAGGACCGTGGGGATCCACATACTTGTCGGGCTCCGCAGTACCCCGTCATATTGGCGCCAACCCCATAGAACAGCTTTTGCCATCGGTTCCTCTAGCACACACAAAATCTTCTTCCAATTCTGCCAACTTCCCACCTCTGGGACATGGAGGCTCACAGCGCCGACACAGCCATTCTTACCCCACACCTTTTTCAATGTCCGAGACGCCTCTCCCGGAAGATGACGAAAATGCCATTGTCCCTTGGCTGCTCTGCATCCTCCGCTCAGAGAATGGCATGACACGGTTGATGTCTGCCCGTCTTGTCACGGCCCTCTTTCGATTAGGATTGGCGAAGAAACATCGCGTCCCAATGTTCAGTTATCTGCTGATTCCCATCTTGATTCGTATGCTAGATAAGGACGTTCGACTGCCGGATGAAGAAGGCGCTATACATGATGGGCTGCTCTCGTCAACCCTACGCCTGAAAGAAGAGGCGCCTGCTGTATTAGCCAACTTGGTCATGGACGACCAGGAGCTGCAGAGACACGCAGTAGAAGGCAATGCGCTCAAGCGACTTTCACAACTTCTCAAGGAGACTTACAACCCAATCACGGAGACATCCCGGCCAATGTGGCACGCAGAGGATGGCCCAGCTCGAGACCTTGAGTCTCTTTCACAAGAGTGCTGCCTCGGGCCTTCCGGTTACTCCCCGACTCTTTGCCATGTAATGCGTTACAGAGAGAACATTCTCAAGGCCTTAGCAGCACTCGTCCCCTTCAAGGACGAGTACCGCAAGGCGATTTGCGAACATGGCGTAGTCCCTTACATCATTGACGCCCTCAAACCAAGGCCTAGTGATGCGCTGGCTGATGCTGCAATGCCCAGGAATACTGCAGAGGATGGAAATCCGATTCCGACAATTCTGGCAGCTTGTGGTACAGCTCGAATGCTGACCAGATCTGTGAGCGTGCTAAGAACCAGTCTTATTGATGCCGGTGTGGCTAAGCCACTGTTTGCCCTACTTCGCCATTCTGACCTCGAGGTGCAAATTGCAGCAACGGCTGCGATCTGTAACTTGGCCTTGGACTTTAGCCCCATGAAAGAGGTTTGTCCATGCTTCTATTTTGCTCATAAGCTTTGCAGCTAACCTAATTTCCTTAGGCAATCATTTCCCACAACATCATTCCCATAATCTGCGAACATGCCAATTCATCCAACACCAAATTACAGATTGAATCACTCTGGGCTCTCAAGCACATGGTTTATGACACCGCAAACGATATCAGAATAAATATTATCAAGACATTGGGCTCCGAATGGATTATGGAAGTTATCTCCCAAGATCCGGTCCGCGCAGTGGCCCGGCGCGCGATAGAAGAAGAGACAGATCAAGGGCCCGGGTTTGCCATGGGTCGATCTAATTCGGCTGGTGAACAGGTTGATATTCTGAACCCTATGGATGATGCACTGGACTGGGACGAGGACCTCAAGATTACCGATATCATGCCCCCCTCCAAAATGAGCTTGGACATGTTCCTTCCTGATGCAAGACGTAGACGCAAACTCGTTCTTCACGGAACCCTGGCTCAAACCACACAGTCTCGACAGGACGACATTGCCGTTCAGGAGCAGACATTCGACTTACTGCGCAACATGATCTGTGGTCGAGGCGCACCTGAGATGATTGAATATCTCTTCAGGGAGCTGGGTGAGAATGAATTCCTCGATACCATCGCAGACACATTGCGACCACGCACCATCCAACTGCCTCACCGCCGGGACTCTAGCAATCAGTCCCTGCAAGTCCCCAATGAGATCATCAACGCAGCCACCGCTCTCATCGTCCACTTGGCAGCCGGACACCCGCGTCACCGGCGCACCATCGCATTCCACCGCGACTTGCTACGGTCTCTGGGAAATTATTTCAACCATTCTCACAAAGACATTCGGTTGAACTGTGTCTGGGTAGTGATTAACCTCATCTACGAAGAAGACCAGAGCGATCATGAAGGCTGTAGGGAACGGGCAGTGAGACTTCGTTCTCTTGGGTTTGCGGAACGGCTGGCTAGCCTCGAGGATGACACGGAGCTAGACACGAGGGAGCGTACGAAGACCGCGCTGCATTTGTTGAACAAGATGTCTCCTGCATAGTTGATTTCTTTGTCATGGGTAATAATATTACCCGTGGACGTTCTGAATGGATCGAAGTATTGTAGGAAAATATGGATGATTCTTTTCTTTGATTCGTACTCAGCTCATTCAGTACCATAACTTAAGATAGGATCTATCGAACTCTTCATGTATATGTGCCTGACAACTGTAAGTAAGTATTTCATCTATATGTATGCTTCTCCCTCGCTAGCTTGCCACCTGTGGACTTCTCTTTCCAAGTATGGTTGGGCATTCCATATACCCAGCAATTTGAACTCTTCAAAGTTCTATACGCCACTTACAATACCTAATGTCCCATTCATACTTTACACCAGATCATGAATCTCTCAAGGCCTGGGTACAAAGGTACCACCAAGGTATGTTGTATACCTAGGTAGTTCAGTTGTTGGTGATAAGAGCTCCCTTATCGATGTGGAGAAAAACGTCATAGGTCTTGCAATCCGGTCTATTCACATCTTCACATTCTACTCATAGCTCAATATCTAAGACAAATTCATTATTCCTAGCTCCAGAGATGCAACCATGTCTCCAGTACCAAACCCCATCCTTCAAGCCCTCTCGCTCCCATCTGAATCAAAAGTGGGCCTCTCTACATCCGGCCTAGGCTCAGGCTTCACAAGCACAGGCACCATCCACGCCCAGATCCCCGGCAAAAATGGCACAGAAGAGCGACTTTACTTTGTAAAAACTTCTTCAAATGGAAAAGCCGCAGAAGAAATGTTTCAAGGCGAATCAGAGTCCCTCAATGCAATCGCAGCCTCAGTACCAGGGTTCTGTCCGCAAGCCCTAGCTAGGGGGCCACTTGACGAGCTCGGGACAAAGGCCAAAACACACTTCCTCGCAACAGAGTTTCTCGATCTCGGCGGTAAGGTGAGCCGCAGCACGAGCGACGAAGCCACCCTCGCGCACCGCCTCGGAAAATTGCATACCACACCTGCACCCCCAGACTCAGACACCGGCCGGCGCAGATTCGGATTCCCAGTGCCGACCTTCTGTGGCGATACCAAGCAGCCAAATCGGTTCTGTGATAGCTGGGCGGATTTTTATGCCAATGAACGGCTGCTTACAGTCCTGGCGACATCAGAGGAGCGCAATGGACCCGATGCTGGGCTGCGCGAGGCGGTTGAGAAGACGGCACAGAAGGTTGTGCCTCGGCTGCTTAGGGATAACCATTTAGGATATAAGTCCAGTGGCGAGGGAGACGGGATTGTACCTGTTGTCATTCATGGGGATTTATGGAGCGGGAATGCTGGTTGGGGTCGGATTGTTGGCTCGGGTCGTGATGAAAGGCCTGGGGATGTGGTGTATGACCCAGCAGCTTGTTATGGACATAGCGAGTTTGAACTTGGGATTATGCATATGTTTGGTGGGTTCGGCGCTCGGTTCTTCGATCAGTATCATCGTGTTGTGCCGAAGACCGAGCCTGTGGCGGAGTATGCTGATCGCCTAGAATTGTACGAACTGTGGGTTTTCTTTTTCTTTCTTCCTTTTCATGCTGTCGAAGAAGTTTACTAATGATGATCCAAAAGATATCATCATCTAAACCATCATGCTATCTTTGGTGGAGGATATCGGTCTGGTGCTATGTCGATTATGCAGAAGTTGATCAGGAAGTATGGAAAAGACTAGAGTCGAATATTTACTGGAAAGTTTTCTATTCTTTTTGTTGACCTTTTCAGATGTCAAGCAATAACTAGCGAGAGACACTGTTCAATCACGAGTATACTTAATAAATGATATCGCACTAATATCCATGACTTGCTCAGCTCCAGCCTCTTCGTCCTACCTTTCACTTATCCCTTGGAAATACTAAGTTACATTCGATAATACCAGCTCACCCTGATTTCAATCTATATTCCGAGGCCAGTGGGCCGGCCGAGGCTCCGGTCGATCAGCATCACACTAAACAGCCATTGAAGTCGTGTGTGGAGTGGTTCTGTCCATATCTCAACGGCTCCTCTATCCTCGAGCCGACTGTCTGCTAACAAACTATTCAGCTTTCGCTTCCCTCCAGTCACTTATTCCTAGGCAACAATATCAAGGAAACAAAGTACCACGAGTCTGGCTCCGCTTCAAAGAGAAAAAGGACGAGTATACCGAGATCATCCCATACAGCTGATCAGACTCACTGCTCACACTGAAGCCTCGAAGCCTAGTCCCTACATTCTCAGTGCCAGAAGGTCCACATCCGCGGCCACTGGACGAATCAACTATGATCCCTGAGCATTTGGAGAAAGCAAATCAATATCATAAACCACGTTTCCCACCAGAGGATGCCTACGAGCGTACCCGAACACAGTTTTGGATTGATTATGTTACATTTTGCATAATCCCATCTGTCCCTGTTTCTTGCCGTACCAGCCTGCAGATGGCAGCGCGCAAAACATAGATGCCGGGTTGGATTAGCTCGGCATGAGTGTTCGAGTCACCTAAGAGCCTGACTCAGGAGATAATAACTGATGCACTCTTTTTTTTTGATGAGGATGACATCTTACCGCATTTCGTGCTGGATTTGTGGACCGTACGACTGTAGGTATCTGAAAGGTTTGAGAATCGTGGGTTTGAAATTCTGAGGAAAGGGGAAAGGAGGTGCAAATGATGATATTTGGGTTGATAAAAAAACTTGGATGGCTGCTGTTGAGAGCAGACGGAGTATCAAACTGTTTACTAGTTGTCGCATAATTTTCCCATCTACAAGAGATATGCGGATAATACCGCTCAAGTGAGTTGGCCAAGGCGATACGAGCTGGTCGTAGGGCTCCTTGAATTTGCGAGATAGTACTTCGCTATTCATGCAGTCTCCAGTATAATCAATAGCTTTATAATCGCACGTCCATTTTCAGGAAATGAAAGAAGATGATAGACACCGGTGACCGGAGTATGTTGCATATACACTTCGGATCAAGCAAGAATATATTTCCGATAAGCCCACACGTGATTGTGAGCTCTTGGACTGACACGTGATCGCGATATCAATCCAGTCACTGCGCTCTTCATCCTGCAACTTCCAAAGACATCGCTTGGTTTTGCCATATTTCTAAGAAACCCAAGAAACTGCCATGGCACGCAATGTGAGGGACGAGTCTCCCCGCAGGAGCTCAACGCTGGAACGGGGCCTGTCAGCCCCGGCCATCCACCCGTCTTTTATACAGGTGGCCAATCCGTACATATTCGAACAGACAGTCGAGAACTGCATTGAGGCGATGGGCGTTAACCCCCTTCGTGAAACTTCATTGCGTCTTCAGGGTGTAGCGTGGATCGACAGTGTGCGGAGAGCTCTCAACCTGTAAGTTGACTTCAAACCAGGCAAAATGTATCAGAACTGACTGGAAATCCAGTCCCATTCGCACTTTTGATACAGCAGTAGGATATTATCACCGATTTCGATTGGTGCACCCAGACAATGAGTATAATTTCACAGTGTGTTCCCTCGGAAACCCCAAGGAAACTAGCCTAACTCGGAATACAGGATGCTGCAGCTGCTGCTTTATTCACAGCATGTAAGATCGAAGATACGCTCAAAAAGTCGCGAGACATCGTCTGCGCAGCGTACAACTTGAAACTAGCTCCATCAGAGCACTTATCGGCTGACGATCCCGTGAGTCATGATGCCAGATGATACAGGACAGAGGATTAACGTTTGCCGACAGATGTTTGAATCTAATGCGCGTGGCATCATTGGCCTTGAGCGGCTCATGTTAGAGGCCTCGGGCTTTGACTTTCGAACTCGACATCCCCAAAAGACCCTCATGAAGCTAGGTCGGCATTATGGGCTATTAAAAAACTCCGAAGTCTCCAATCTTGCCTACCGCATTTCGTCTGATCTTTATCGTACATTTGCACCCATCAAGCAAAACTCATCAACAATGGCATTTAGCTGCCTTGAGCTTGCAGGGCGACTCTTGGACCAGCGCGTCGAACAAGTGGAATCCGGGGTAGATTATGCGCAGTGGAGCACTAGCCGGGCTGAAATCATGGGCAAGTATTATTGCTGCATTTGCCATACCCAATAAGTGCCACATACTAACAGCCATATAGAAACCCTCTTCGACCTTTTAGAGCTCTATACCCACCACCGATCACAAACCGCCGTCGGCTTGGAATTCCCAGCAGACCGGTTCTTAACAGTCCGCATCCCGCTCAACCAAGAAGCTAGCGAGCACAACATCCCGCGCTACCACCCGTGGATCGGCCAGCCACGCAAACAATTGAATGGTAGTGGCGCGAACGACCAAGATCCTCCACGACCTGCTCATCCCTTGACACCAATTGCAGCGAACGGGGACCGCCAGAGGACAGGTGAACGAGGCCGCGACGCCGCCGTGCGATTCATGCTCGATCCCGCATGTGCGGATGAGGAGAGACGACAGGTCGCAGCGTACTTCAAGGTTGAAATGGAAGAATATGAAGTCGACGGATAAAAGATGCTTATTACTATTCGAGTCCTTGGAACCTGGTGTGCCTCATGCGGTGAAGCACAGCTAAGAGAAGGCTTTGCTTGATTCCATCAACCGATGATATGGTAGCGGGTTTGTTATTGAGCTAGGACGCCCCTATATACTCTGTCCAATCTCGGTTTCAGCCGAACAATGCTCCGATTCACGGTGACTCGCTATCGGCCGTTCGTCCTCATTCTTGAAGTACACCGGCATCTTTCCTAAGCCCCATTATGGGAGGTCTCGGTCCACACTTTTCCAACAGATGAGCAAAATTCGGTTTCTTACCTCACAGTTTCGGAACTGAGTTGTCTCGGACATGAGAGACTCACATTCCAAAAGTTTCCCATCTTGTTCCATATTTCCCTTGATTTTCCGATACCCCAGACATCTATGACCAGTGACGAGATATTGATAGATACAATGAAAAGAACCCATTAACTGTCGATAACCGGTTTCTCATTGTAGGACAGCACCGTGAAGCATTTTTGCTATACTCCACACCTACGCACACATTGTTACGACACAATACAAGGGATAAAGCAAAATCAGAAATCAGCTCCAATATTCGAACTGAGAGCTATGTACAAATCTACAGCCTGTTCCCTTCATGTGTCCAAAAACAGCCAGGCTAGAGACAAGACCACCAGAGCAAAAAAAACCCCAGGCATGCCCCCCTAACATTCCCCTTCTTCCAGCCACTTCTACAGAGGGACGTGTCCGTTCCACGCATCGGGAGTATAACAAAGCTCCACGTCAGGCGACCAAGCAACAAGTCATCAAATTTAGGCTCAGTCCAGAGCCCGGCATCAATCAGAAAGGAAGAGAAGAGAAGAGAAGAGAAGAGAAGAAAAAAATAAGGAGTAGTGAACAAAGGTACAGGGAAACAGCCGTAAATGAAGTAAGAAAAAAGTCGTTCCCGTGCCTCCGGCTGGAGAGTTTCGGTCTTCACACCGGTTCATTAGAGGCCTTGTCACAGGTCATTTTGTTCCGTGTTTATGCCGTGTTGAAAGGCGATTAAGGCGAGTGGGGCGCATGTATGTACATAACATGTATGCACACATTAAGGCTTGCATGCGTATTCAATGAACCTAAATCAAGTCATGAATGAAGCAAGAAGCAATCGGAGAGTTACAAGGGGGGAAGCGCAGGGTTGAAAGGTCGTCCTCGAGTGGTGGAAATGAAAGTGAAAGATGAGTGTCATGAGTTTGTGTGGTTTTTTTCAGTCTCAATCCCGGATAATCGAAGTTCATCGACGTTTGAGTTCGGTGAGAAGACAATCCAGAATCTGGAAGGAATTAGTGATATAATCATTGTGATTAGGTGCAAGGAAACATACCGATTCTGAGACAGCACCCTGGTTGTACAAGTACTTGCCCAAGCCTCGGACGACCTCGAGCTGCTCGTCAACTGTAAGGCCATTGATGGCGGTCTCGATGATGTCGCCCACGCTGGCCTTGTAGACAGCAATGAAGCTGTGATAGTACATGAAGGAGAAGAAACCCATGATGAACTGGCAGTCCATGCGATCGGTGATACCACCGTGGCCGGGAATAGATTCGCCGAAGTCCTTGATCTTGAAGGTGCGCTTCAGGCCAGAAGCAAAGAATCCACCGAACGGAGCGATCAGCGAAGCGAAAGTGGCGAAGGCCAAGATGTGGAACTGGATAGGTTCCACCCAGAAGGTTTTGTCCACGCCAAAGATTTCAAGAGAGTATGGCTGCGACGTGAAGACCGGGTTTGGATCACATTCCAGACCGGTGAAAGCATTCGAGCCCAGGTCATTGACAGGACAGATGAAGTACTTGTAGCGGATCAGCAGGTTGGTCATGAAATAACCAAAGCCAACGGTGCAGATCCATGCGCCGAGGAATCCCTCGACAGTCTTCTTCGGGGAAAGCTGAATAAGCTGTGTCTTTCCAAAACTAATTCCGCAGATATAGGCGAAGATATCATTGGTGATGACCAACGCGGCGGGAAGGAAGAACCAGATCATGCCCTCGAAAATGTTGTTCATGACAAAGTGAGCTTGGACAACAATCAAATACAAAGCCATATGGGTCCAAGCAAATTGGGTGAACTGGAATCTGTAGTGGCCCTTCTGCAGAGATCCGACAAAGAACACGAATCCTACCAACCGATATTAGCAGAGTAAAGGGAGAGCGGTCGAGACACTTACCCATTACGTAAAGTGTGAAGCTGATGAAGCGGTGATGGTTCGCCAACGGAAGCAAAACCTTGTCAACGAGGAGGATGTGCTTAAAGTAGTAAATCACGCTCTCCCCGTACAGGAAATACATAGTGGTCGCCAGGAAATACCAATTCAATGATTTGGTGAACCGCAAGTTCTTCTCCTTATTGGGGATACTGGCGATAGCGATGACTTCCTTGAACGAGATGATTTGAATACCAGTAATTAGGGCAATAATATAAATGTGACCGGAGAACAAGGCGACGAAGAAACCGGCAATCATCACAAAAGTCCATATCGTTCGGGTAATGAAAGTCTGTTTCTTCTTCTCATATTCGGACTGGGGTGGTTTCTAAAAATGCACATCATATCAGAGTTATATTCCGATGCCATATTCCACTGGAAACTGACCTCTTCACTTATTGTAGATGGTTTGGACCCATTGCCATTTTTGCTGGGGCTAGTGGGCTCTGAGGGCGCATCACTAACGTCGGACACGCTGAGGCGTCGCTCATCATTTGTCCGGTGTTGAAACCTAACATTACGGCGAGATTTCGACATGATGGAGAAAAAAGGGGGCCAGAAAGAGAATCTGGGCAGCAAGAGTGGAGAGTGCAGAGAGAGAGGGTCATAGGGATTAGAGGTTGATGAGCTCATGTAAGTGCCGCGCTGAAAGCGGTCAGCTTTAGCTTCAGCCCCGTGTTTACTTTTTTTTTTTTTTACATGTTTCTTTTATACCTGGTGTGTTGTTCAGTCTTGTTGATTGCATAAATGAATTATATTATTTTTCGTGGCTAGAAATTGAAATCGGATGTGCAGGGTGGTTGTCCAGGTACCTTGAACTACCGTGTTCTCTCTCTCTCTCTCTCTTCAACCTCGGAACCACTCGAACTTGAGGATGATCAAAAGTCATCCGTCAACTTAGAACCCCGTAACTCCCTCCGGTAGTCCATTCATGGCGGGGGCATGGAAGACGACGACGACGACTACGGCTACGACGAGTTTGACTCCCTGCCACCGGGAACGTTGTATGAGCTGGAACAGAATGCTTTCCAAGCAACCCAGGCGTCAGCCTCACAATACCACTCAAATCCCATAAACAGCAACCCCGTGCTCCACGCTCAAGCAGTGCCATTCAACAACAATGCTGGATCGTTGAGACCGCCGCCCCGTCTACACACCGGATTGACGAGCGACTACAATACACTGGAGGTGGGGGAATTGGAGGCCGAGGTGTATGATAATGTTGGTAAACCGCATGCCATTCCACATGAGCAACATGTAATCGCCACAGATCCTGGCCTTGCAGCCAATGTGCTGACGGACGATGCCATGGATGTGGACGAGTACTATGGTCAAGGGAACGACGCCACAGAGATCAATGCACACCTGGCTCAGGTGAGTTAGTTGAAAGCTTGTTTGCATAGGCTCTAATAACCTTGGATAGATGGAACAAGAAAGAGAACGCATTTTACAGGAGCTAGCCGAAGCGAGGATGCAATTGGAAACGAAAGCCGGAGAAATCTCAATCATTCGGAGGAAGCAGACAACGATGACACAAGACTATGACCGGCAAATAGCGGCTTTAAGGAAATCTATGGCTGAGGAAGTGGCGAGACACAAGCAAGAGATTGATGCAGCCGTGTCCGAAGGCAAGGTACTGGCGACAGAGAATGTATTTCTTCAACAAGACCTCGTGGATGAAACCTACCAGCTTCGGAGCTACAAGTCCAAACCTCGCGAGATGGAAGCCCCAGTGACTCCTCGAAAGTCCCGGGTGCTTCCCTTCCGCGATGGATTTGAAGATGACGAAATAGCCATGGTGTCGCCCAGCAAGTCTGCAGCACGTTCCAAACGAGCCACGCCGACAGTTCCAGGAAAGCGCAAACGGCAATTAAGCCAAGATGGCGCTGCGCCACTAGATCTGAATCCCGCAGGCGTGGAACATATTATGACTGATGCGACTGATGTCCCAGCCGAAGTTGACGAGATAAAGCGCAAGTCTGCAGAAGGTGGTCGCAACCAGCGGTTTATGATACGGCTTTTGAGTCACCGTACATATCCCAACCAAGAAACCGATTTCGAAGCCATGGCCAATCTTGCATTTCCCTCGGAGCCACATCGACATATGTCCAGCATCATTATGGAGGCCATGGCTCGTGTCGACCCGAGCAGCTACGTATTAGAATATACGCAAACGATCGCTTCGTTGTGGCAGCGTGCTATCCACGAGAAGTTCTACGAGCCGATCCCCCGATTCGAAGCTATCACAAAGTATAGTCTGATGTCAGATGATGTCCCACTCTCCGAACTGATCACACCTCTAGTTGGAGTCTTGCAAGATACTGTGGAAGTGAATGCAGTTCCTCGCTTCAAGTACGCCCCGGCATCACGAGATAAACGAGTTACTCGACAGACGCCACAATCAGATCTGCAGCCCCTCGTTGACTCGACTGGTGCCATGCGTCTACTTCACCAGATTGCCTGTGGAGTATTGCACATCAAAAGTGCAATGGAGACATTCTGGCAAAACATCCGTATCTCGTTCATTCTCGTGATGTTGCACCCTTCACACCCACTGGGTGACATTGTGCTTTTGATGAACCTCCTATCAACAAGTATTCGTGCAGATTCCTTTGGTCCGATCAGAACTTCCGACCAGGATCAATTAGACGTGCAAAAGTGGATTGTGGACCGCCTCACGCACATGCTGAGCGAGCCCGCGATACCAGATGAAGGCGTGGAGCCATACACCGCATACGACATTTGCGCAATGCGCCTCGAGGTCCTGCTGCTGCTGGAGTCACTTGCATTCAACCCTATGGCCCCATCCCAAAAAAATGCTAGCACCATCCTTGCATTGCACCCGAATGCACTCGCCCGTTTATTCCGGTCGATGCATGATGAGCTAGATGCACTTTACTCCTCCCCGCCAGAGTCAGAGCTGCGTGTTGCGTTGGTGAATGGCCTTATGCGGCTGGTTTTTGGGGTTATGCGGCAACATGGCCCCCTGATCAATATGCAGGAGAAGCTGGCGTGTGTTCCTGGCAGCAAACAGAAGCATCTCGTTGTGTTAACTCGTTTAGCATTCTGTGATGGCACCGTGCTGGAGGCGGGCATTGACGATGACACTGTTGACATGGCGCATGAGCTTCTCGAGGAATGGACTAATCCTCAAGAAGCAGAGTCATTGGCGGAGGCATTCCCAAGTTCTAGGAGAGAGTGAAACAGTGAAGATAGGGATGATGTTCAACCATGTACGACTAGGATTGTTGTGTACATTTACATGCTGCAAGGTGTTCTCTGGAGTTATAGCGCGTTTCATTACTGTATACCAAATCAATTCCATTTTCGTTCAAAGCATTCAACAGGTGAGAGGTTAAATTACAGAGTACACATAGTTGAAATATGAGAGACCAACAAACTGAGGCGACAACATTCCCAAGGATCAGTCCATCCCCTAATACGTAGGTAGTCAGACTTTCGGCTCTCAGCGGTTAAGAGAGGGATACGAGAGACCAGGAAAGGCAGTGAAGTGACACAGCAGTTTAGGCGTAGAACAGGGGAGGCATTGTGGGCACCCGACGGCGGGTTACGCAGACTGACTAGGTGAGAGATTGCGCACTTGTCAAGAGTGGGGGATTCATGTGTGGATTATCGTCGCATGGGTTGAGAAAAGATACGATTCACTTCACTTCGGCAGTAATGCAAAGCTAAGGATTATATTTACAACTACGGTGTCCTCTTCTCCAATCTCGTGCCACTGGCTCAAGGGTTGATGAAAAGAAAATGTTCCACGAATGGAGGTGCCAAAGAATACGCCTGTCAATGACCCGAAAGCCATTGAACAGACTGTTCCTCCGCGCTGTGCAATGCAGGGACCAGCCTGTGGTGAACCGCCTTATTGATCGCAGTCACCCAAACAAGGTAAGTATGAAGAAGAAAGAAAAAAGGAGGAAAGGCCGCGGGAGAGGGAGCTATATATACCCCTCCTGGAGGGCGGTGACAGAATGTTCCCAGGGCGGTGGCATTAAGCGAGCATGAGCTGACCAATCATCCTTCAATATGTCTTACATAATATGCAAACCTTGCAAACATTTCATCCAGCAGAGTTGATTCCATATAAATAAGGCACTAAGGTCTTGATAGTCACGTGCCCTGAAGTTTTGAGACTGGGCCAATTCGGACTTGGATAACATATCATTTTGCTATACAACATTGGGTCTACAGCATTACCACAATGAGAAACAGAGCTAGCAACACGTTGTCGAAAGGCGTATGTCTCCATCACTGTACTTGATACCCCCAATTCCAATAGACTAACGAAATACCCTTCAGAAAATCCGTCAATCATGGAGCAAATACAACCTGTATAACCTCCAACGATTCCGCAGCCCGCCCACCGCCAATCGCACATTCTTCCAGCAAAAATGGTCCGCTAAGGCTGCCTCCCGTGCTTATCACGGCGAGCAAGTTCGCGAGGGACAATGGAAACGCATGTTCAACCATCGCATCCGGAGTGTGATCCCCATGAATGCCGCCGACTTAGCCGCCGATGACGGTTCCCTAGTCTCGTCTGGTCGAGGCTCAGGACTCGATAAAGATGGGAAGTCCACTCACCAGACACGTCCTACACCTTACAGCCACATGACCTTTGCGCCCCTAGAGCGCCGGCTGGATGTGGCCATCTTCCGGGCTTTGTTTGCTAGCAGTGCCAGACAGGCGAGACAGTTTGTCATCCATGGAGCGGTTACTGTTAACGGTCAAAAGGTATGACGCAACGTGGGAAACTACCCATTCCTTGGTCACGGGCTCCTTCGGTTACTGACTCGCTTTTGTGTTGCTAGATGAAACACCCCAGCTACCTCCTTAACCCTGGTGACCTCTTCCAGGTCGACCCAGACCGCGTCTTGTACGCTACTGGTCACACGAAGACTCCGTTTGAGCGACGTGAGGGCCGATTGGCTCGGAGAAAGGCTAAATCACAGAGCTCACAGGATGCGGAAGAAGCCGATGCCACACCAGAGGTTGAGGCAGAGTCAAAGGAGACCGTAAAGGAAGACATCAAGAAAACTCCGAAGGAGGATACTAAGGAGACTCTAAAGGCGCTACTGGCACAGGCCAAGTCTGTCATGTCTGCCGGCAAGGATACACTCGCGCCCCAGCGCAAGCAGGAGCTTCGTGGCTTCCAGCAAGCTGTCCGCCGTGTATTGTCCCGCTCCGAGTCCAGCACTATTCTCGCAGACAGCCTGGAGGCCCAATTCTCCCAGCTAACCCTACTCCTCAAGGCCAAGCGGGGCGAAAAGCCAGCTAAAAAGGATGTGAAGCCCCGCCCAGAAGACGCCTTCGCATCCGACAACGGAGATACGGAAGTGACTTCCGTCAAGCGAGATACAGAAGCCGCAGCCAGTGACAAGCTGTCCGAGGCCTTCGCACAAGCAACCCTGGGTAATGATGTCGATGCCTCGGAGCTCAGCGACGAAGAATTCGATACGCTTCAGCGCGCTCTTACTCAAATGCGCGACAACCCTCTCGATAACTCCAAGACCTATTCCACCCCCTGGCAACCACGGCAATACATGTCTGCGTTTGCCTTCATCCCACGCTACCTCGAAGTCAACCAGAACATCTGTGCGGCCGTGTACCTACGCCACCCTGTGGCCCGCCCTGGTTCTGCTGAGGTGCCCACTCCCTTTGGCGAGTCCATTGCCACTCCGGCCTATGGCTGGTACCTGAGGAGACGGTGGTAGAGGATGCGATCGGCCTATCTTTCTCTGTCCAGCCTGTTCCTTCCTTGTTTGTTTTTACTACTTTGCTATCTTTCCTCCCCTTAACTTCCCGTCTGTGTATTAGTGGGCGCTTAGATCTCCCTCGTCGCTTTCTGCATATTTCTGGATCATGTTGACCAAGGTGTTGGTTCCTGTTTTGCTTGTCTTTGGGGCTTTTTGTGTCAGCCCTACCCCCTGTACCACCATAGCCGTGATGTGTTGTAAATGGATATATTATTGATGCTGTATTCTTGGATGATTCTTGCAAGTAAATACGGCCATTTTGCCCGTGTATATATGATAGATTTCATGCTGAACAGTCTACTCTCAATATACTGCTATTTTCTAATTCCTGTATATATGTCTAAGCCTTGCATGAAGTCATATGGACATGATTAACCTTGTGAACAACCACGTAGAAGTATTGAAGCTCTAATTCATACCTTACAAATATATAAACGTGTCAATGAAGACCAAAGCCTGGCGGGGTCGTGAATAGTTCAAACAGATACGTATAATTAAACACAATGGAAACACTTTAATGTTCTAAATCGTTCGAATTAAAGCTCATGCCCATAATCTACAAGGACTTCATAGCCAAGGCTGGAACATATGCCGGGCGCACGGACTTCATGGAAAACCCTCAGGTGAAATCCATCGCAGCTTTATCTTTATCCCCACAGATCGACAAGGACATTCTGCATTGGTCTGCCACACCTCTATCACTCTATTGATGGCTAAATAACCAGTTTGACTCAAGGAGCCTATCTCCTGGACTTTATAGACCATCTGATTTGCACTGTTGGTCTCCCACAGCGGCTGCTTGGCCACTGCTACTGCTACTGGGCAAGCTGCTGTCCCCATGACGCGCATTCAATCACACGAATATAGCCGTCCTTTGTATCACACTCCTTCTCAAAATTCCTTCGGACAACCATCGGGCCTGCGCTCAGGGTTCAGCCCAGCTTCCCAGTCTGTGTCTGTGGTGGTGAGGAATCCACCTACGGCGACCGATAACACTTCCGAGAGCAGCGAAGAGACACATGGAGGAGTAGACCTGACCAGATGCGGTTCGAATGAAGGTGGCATCAAAGAAAGCGATCTATACTATGCGCCGATGCCAGTGGGGGTAGTTCAAACCAGCGATGGAGATGGGTCACGGTCGATATCGAGATCAACCACTAACAGAGGCACGAAGCGCAGCCACAATGCCGACGATGAGCTCGATGGAGACACCTCGCGGCAGCATAGACGTCTCACGACCAAAGAAGAAGTAGCGCTCTTCGAGATTTGCAACCAAAACGCAGACACCTTCGGCAGCCGCAGTAACCTGTGCAAATGGTGGATATCCATTGCGAACGAGTTCAAGCGTACCCACGAGGGCCGCTCATACTCGTGGCACTCGGTGCGACGCAAAGTTGAAATCGTAACGAGGCAGCGCATCAAGTTCCTCGAGGACCAGCGACAGCGGGGCTCGAACGCACCCGGCTCAACGGCCGAGGAGTTGATGAACCCACAATGGCTCGCTGCCGTCGATGCCTGGATTCCAACCTGGCAGCGGTGGGAAGAAGCCGAGAACCAGCGTATTGCAAAGCGGGACGAGATGAAGAAGCGTAGACAGCCGCAGCCCTGGCGCCAAAATTCCAAGAACGGAGACCAGGATCCATGGCAGAACCTGCCTGCATCATCTGCCACTAGCCCGACTGATGTCAATACCTCAATGATGGGTATGATGCATCACCCCGTGGTGAACACTGTCGATGATGCCACCTTGCCGGCTACTAGCCCTACGCCCTCGCCCTCAATGACTGGCCCTGTACCACCCACGCATTTCCTCGAACCACCATCCACCCCTCTCTCTACAGCTACCTCATTGAAGTTACCACCTGGCTTCGAAAATATGTTCTCAACCCCACAACTCACATCCCAAGTCGCACTTATCCCCGCCATATCCACACCGCCAGTTCCACAATCCGATGGCCGCATGGTCTCAGCCGTCCTCGAAACCCTGGGGAAACTGAACAAACACCTAGACGCCACATCGGGGGGTAGCATAGATGCGAGTGCCGCCTCACCCATGATCTCGGCTTTGGTACAAGCTGCCTCGGAATCCCCGGCTCTGACTTCTCCCCGGCAATCACAACTCCCGCCAGTACAGTCTGCATTCCAGCAACAGCCACAATTACCGCAAGGTCTCATTCACATTCAAATTGAAAAAATGAAGGAAGAGCTCCGGCAGGAGATGCAGGCCCAGTTTCGAGCTGAGCTGGAGCGAGAACGCATTGCGATGGAAGAAAAGCTGGATTCTGTGCAACGGACTCAAGACCTGATTCTTGAGATGTTGAGACAGGAGCCGGCTTGATGCAGATGAAGTCTTACTCCGGTACCTCTTCTCTAAGTATGGCTTGTGCTGTCTCGCTTCCTCTATTCTTGCTTGTACTTTTACTGTTGTTTTTTACTGTCTCTTTATTTCTGATATGATACCCATTATCGACCGTGAAGTCTTGAAATTTCTTGATATTCTTGATGGAGACATTGCAAGACTAATCCCTAAAATTTGATGCACTTAACTTGACAAGGACCCAGCCGATGGCAATTGCTCTCTACTCTAGAACAGAAAACAGGTAAACAAACATAAGAGAAAATAGTCATCGGGCTAAATTACAGATAAATGATAGAACGACCCAAGAGTGACTTCCTGGGCCTTCACACAACGATTAAAAGCTCTTCCATGATGCACAGAAATGCCTATAGGGCGAAACAATCTAGTAGTAGAAAGTCTCATCGACAGTACGACCACGCATCCACTTGGGCTCAGAGCCACGGACGTAGATGTCCTCGAAGAGGTTACGGGCAGTGTTCTCAGGGACGGGCATCTGCTCAGCCTCGGCGACCTCGGCGTCAACGTTGGCACGGGCGGTCTTGTCGAGACCCTTGAGCTCCTCCTCGGAGGTGACGCCCCACTCGAGCATCTTCTGCTTGAGGCCAGCGATGGGGTCGTTGGTGCTGCGCATGCGCTGAATCTCCTCACGGCTGCGGTAGGTGGTACCGGGGTCGGACATGGAGTGGCCACCGTAACGGTAGGTGACGTACTCTAGGACAAGGGGTCCGTTGCCGGAGATGGCGTAGTTCTTGCTGTACTGGACGGCAGCCTTGGTAGCCAAGACATCCATGCCGTTGACCTTTAGGCCGGGAATATACTGTCCACGCTTGTAGTACTCGGTCAGAGCGGAGGAGCGCGAAGCGGAGGTACCCATGCCGTACTTGTTGTCTAGAGGAAATATTGTTAGTACGTCCGTGGTTTTTCGAGGTTGTAAAGACTTGATATAGATCACTTACTCTCACAACCGAAAAGAACGGGAAGGTTCCACAGCTTGGCCATGTTGAAGGCCTCGAAGACCTGGCCCTGGTTGGAGGCACCGTCACCGTAAAGAACGATGGAAGTGTTGGGCTGTTCGTTGTACTGCTGGGCGAAGGCTAGACCGGCACCGACGGGCACCTGGGCACCGACGATACCATTACCACCGTAGAAGTTCTCGGCGAACATGTGCATGGAACCACCCTTGCCGTACGCGATACCCTCACGACGGCCGAGAAGCTCACCAATGATGGACTTGACGGTACCACCACGCATCATGGCGAAACCGTGGCAACGATAAGCGGTAATAATCTTGTCCATGCGGGTGATGGCGTGCTCAATTCCGACAGCGACGGCTTCCTGTCCGGTCGACAGATGGCAGAAACCCCGGATCTTCTTCTCCTTGTACAGGCGATCGGCGGCCATCTCCATACGTCTGCAAAATAGCAAACCGTCAGTAGGTAGTTTAAGTATCCGCTGCTGTTATTATCCTACCTCATCGCGACCATGTCGTAGTACATCTGCTTGAGCTCCTTCTTGGAGGTCTCGAGAGTGTACGGGGGTGGGTCGAGCTCGTAAGTCTCGAAGCTCTCATCGGAGAGACGGACAGTGAAGAGCTTTTCATCCTCCTATTACAGCGCAAACAAGAATCAGTAATTGAACCCCTGGAAACCTCCTGGTGAGGTTTTTCTGTTTTCCGGATAGGGCTCAACAAACCTGCGGCACTGGGCTCTCGACGTTGGCGGAAGCGGCGTCGGTGGTGACAGTGCGACGGGCAATAGGAGTGAAGGCCTGGCGCCTCAAAGGCGCAGCCTGACGGACCGCAGCACGGAAGAGCATTTTGCAAGGGAATTGGAGATGGTACGTTGAAGATGATAAGCACCTTTTTCCGTCCCAACAACTCTCTCAATTTTGCCGTCTTAGTCAGCTTCCAGATCGGGCCCGCCCGGTGAGGGAACTCAGGCCGGTTCCGATACGCTTGAAACTACCTCTTGGATATTGTTTCTGTTACATTTGCTTTGGATATTTCCCAAACCTGGCAATTGACTCCATTGATCCATTGGAGATACCGAAATGGACAATATCAACTGAGAATTGGCATCGCTGTTAATTTTATAGAGTATTGGGGACTCTATTGCTGGTTGCGATCTCCGATCCAATCCCAACGGTTCGCTGCGCCTCTACATAACATGGCAACTTCCAACCTTTGGTGCTAGGAAAATCGTATCTTGTAAGAAAATTAACTGTCTCTTCAATATCTTGAAGTATTCAATTGAATCATTCATGTCGACTTGTGGCAAGATCGGTAAATCAATACAGCCTTTGTCCAGCAGAATATACCATACAAGGCTGGGATAGATCAGAGATTGAATGGGAAGCACACCCACAAATTAACTCGATATATGGTCGTTATTGCATTGCCGGTCAATAGAGCAGAGTCTTGGGTAATTAGACTTGTATGTAGCAACATCCGAAGTGTGTTTGCTTTGACCATGAGGCAGAAGCAGGTCACCCCAAAACGGATATCCAAACTGACCTCAGGATTATTGAGAGGAATAACTATCAAGAGACTCAAATGGCAAAGGGATCTTTTTGGTAATTCTTTTGAGCAACTCCAGGATCTTCAATACTAGGCGAATAAGACCACAAGAGGACGAAATATTGATTTTATTGACTTTATTGACAGTCCAATGGAAGCACAATTTGCTCTTGGTACCGTGTGTCGCCCATCAATCCTCATTATTTAAAAAGTTGCCTTTTCTTTCCATCGCCATCTTCTTCTCTTCATCAGCTTTTGAACGGCCTGACCAAGGTATCGTTATTCCACATCTCTATCCAAAGATACGAATCAAAGGCACGAATCTAATGCACCATCAAGCAGTGCTAATCTCGACATGGCGGAATCTACTGCCACAGCGAGCTTTACCACAGGTCCCCCCGCAGGTCCTCCTCTTGGCCCTGCATCGGAACCTTTGATTGTGTTCGTTGCTCGTGGCGCTCCACCTCGCATGTACGATGACCTCGACCAGCTAAAGTACTATCTTCGTCCCGCCCTGCTAGAGCTCCAAGAACATTTTGAGCGCAAGTATGGAAAGCTAGAGAATCGACCCTACTGCTACTGCCCATTGATTCATAAATCCACAACCCCCTTGGATCCCGATTGCGACTCGATGAAGTCCATGACCGACATACTCTTGTATGGCCGAACTTATGCCCGCGACATCATCTTTGTGTTGGCCCATTGGGACTCCATTACTAGTGACACGTTGAGCTTTGCCAAAATCTTCAAAGAATTTACAGATGTCAAGGTGACTATTCGTGTATTTGGCACGCTTTCAGCTGACCACAATCGCGAATTCCATGGATTCGACGCCCACAGAGTTGGCGCTCACTATCAGGGCTTAATCAGGCCGGAAGAGGACTTTGTTATTGACGATGCACTGCGTTTTGTGGTGAGACTCGAAGAAACCCGCACAGTCAGGATTGGAGTGGAGGAGTCGGTCGGCCTGATGGTGCGATTGACAGGCCGCTCCGAGGCAGAGATGTATGACAGAGTACTGTGGATACTCTGACGCAGGGGAGTGAACCGAGAAAGTTGGTTGGGTATGTATGGAGATGCGAGGAAATCTCACGATGGGCGTATCCCCTCCATGGATTGAGACATGTCATTTCTATGCCTAAGTTTTCTTTTGTCCGAGGGTTGAAGCTCCAAATGTATCCTACCCCAGCTTTGACATGGCCTTGAGTGGCTGAACAAGCCTTGAGCTCAGCTTTTCTCTCGAATCGATAGTTATCTAACAACGAAACATTCGATACATTCACCTAGTTACATCTGAATGATTACTTCAATCATTGTGTAGTGTAGAGATGGATCTTTTTTGCCCTGCACGCCTCTCGTGTAATCACTAAAGCCAATTATACGAACCGTGAAGCAATTCGTCGGGCACGATCCCTGAATGCTGCTAGAACCAGCCCATTTGAAACAAATTTAACATTGAACGAGCTCGTTGGGCCTTATCAGAACACCACCATTTTACACGACTGTACCGCAGAAAGTCGACATCGTCCATTTACTACAAGGTAGTAGGTAAAATAAAACCGCATATGTCCTCGGATATTATGATTCCGAATTGAATGACAGCTTCAGATCAAGCGAACCTAGAAGTACGTATATCAAGATTATCGCCCGTATGAGATCAACCAATAGCTATGACTTTCTTGACTACATCTAAGCACATTACAAATGCATCGCTATATAAATTTACAGACCAGCTGTTAATGAAGACATGGTGCTCTGTCTAAGATCACCTCATATGTGCTAGACTATGAGACTATCTTACACGACTCTGCCTACTGACCAATCAGACATCTCTACACCAAGCGTCAGTGCGCTATTGTGCCAATCAGTGAACACAATCTATTGTGTACAACATGATAAGCTGTGCTTATAGGCGAGCCAACCAAAGGATACGAAACATTTATATATATATATGTATATACAGTATAGTATGGACTCGACACAGCACAGTGGATCAAAACCGTTGAGCATAGGCAAGAACAGATACGTACATACCGGCTTGAGACCTATCATAAGGAAGTACCATAAGAAAATACGTGTCAAATATACCAACATACAATGCCCCGTAATCCCTGAACAATAGATATATCCAAAATTTCCCTATGAAAGTACAAAAGTGATGGATCTTAGAAACGCTGGAGGCCAGCCATGATCACTGGGTCAGAGTGGGTAGTTGTATAAGCTATTCAGGCGCTTCTCCATCGGTTCGCATATTGGGGGGGGGTTTATCCATGATTAATATCAGTTTATAGAGTACCTACGGGGTACTCCGTAGGTTACCACTTGTTTGAAATGGTCACGATCTTGAGCCTCATAGATAATAGACCTGAAACACCGAGTTGATTCAGCTAAGATGGTCGTAATGCGGTGAGACTCCCAGGGGTCCGGGCAGAAGGAAACTAGCTCAGTTCTGCTTGGTTTCGTGGTAGACGAGAACTGTTTCAGGGGTGTTTCAGGGGTCATCCTGGTTTAGAACCCACTTTGTGTGCGGTCTGATGTGTGTGCGAGGGTGTATGAAGGGATATTTCAAAGGATTTGAACAATCCACTTTCAGAGCCAATCTGTGTTGTGTGCCCTGCACTATAATCCTGGGGTATTACGAAGCTGATGTCGGAGCTTACTACATTAACAACACGGAATATACTGAACTTCGATCCATATTTCAAGGTCTCGAGTCTGTTATGCAGCCAGAGATCATCGGGCCTTGGGATCAGCCCGGCCAATGAGACCTGCATGTAAATGCCCGTGATTAGAAACCAAAGGATTAAAGGGTTACATTCCCGATTCTAGGAGGTATGTATGAAGTAGGATAATGCTGCATTGTATATTGTAGATATCATCGTGAACCTGTCACTTCTAGGTTGCAACGAGTCACTCTGAAACACTGGTTGACGATGTACTCTGCCATTGTAGAATCGAAATAAAAGGATCAACACGCTCAAACGAGTTAGACTGTGTTTACGTAATTCCGCTCTGCAAACTTTCAACGGAGATGATCATACTAAGTGATGTATATATGCTTGAGTCACATACAATATATATTTGGATTGTATGAAGTACAGAATTGGGCCGAAACTTGAAGCTGAAAGCAACGACAGATAAAGCCGTATATATTATAGCATTGCGGAAGAATACCCAGATATGTTATTTTACGGTCTATGCCAAGGCAGCTGGCCACCGAGCTGTCAGGAAGGGTTGCCACATGTGGGTGTCTCCATATGCCGAGACTTGACAGCTCCGGGGACGAGTAGAAATTTGATACCAGTCAACACCGATCTTGTCGATTGACTGTGGTCTCGATTAACCTGCATGGTAATTCTCCGACGCACGATTGATATGCAGGTCAGGGGTGTACAGCATACATAGTTTGCGATAGGTCCAATATCAAAAACCCCACCTCGAAAGGGGCATTGTCAATCCTCATCTTCCAGCCAACATTCTGTCGACATGAACTTCCGAGACAATGGAGCAGTTCAAGCGAGCACATATATTTTACAACCCTCCCTCCAAAGAAACCTAGGAGTATGTCGATCATAGCGTAAACGGCATTCGCATCCACCTCGGCAACGGCACGGTATGGTCCATAAACCGGGAGCTATAGTCAATGATGTGCAAAGAAATTTCTCCTAGCTTGGCCTCCCCTATTTCCAGGGCCGATGGTCAAGCGCTAATGAATAGTACGAATGCGATACGCCGGTGTCGAATGCAGCTGCGACGGAGATCAGGATTCCAAGCGAGGGCTAATTGGACCAATTAGGCCTTGTTTCCCCCTTTAATTGGCCCAATTGCGGGCGACGGGGAGCTGTCTTTCAGGTTGGCATAAAATCTCCGTTGGAGAAGCGATCGTCAAAAGCCGCAGAAGTGCGTCTAGATGCTCCGTAACCCGTTTACCAATTTTATCCCTATTCGGATGTCGATCAAATATAGCAGGGATTAATAGACTTGGGGGCTTGGACTTGGAGCTGGGGTAATTTCTGTGCAGAGAAACTGCGTCATTGCAGAAAGATTGTAGAAAACCGAAAAAAAAAGTCCCGAGTTTCTTTGGAGCCCAAAAGTGACAGGGGGGAACCCGTTGGAGGATCGACAAACAAATTTGCCACAGTTCCCAAGAGCGTGGTCCTTAGCCAATATCGAGTGGGTATAGGGTAAATGAGCCGCTAGATCCCGTGACTTTCCAATTGGAAATTACGTTCCTCCGATCCGAAGTACAGATCTTTGGAACATCTAGAGTAATTTTGGATTTGCCGAATACCTAGTGTACCTAGTGTACCTAGGCATCTTGTTTAAGTTCGGAAATATTTATAACTTGAAATCTTGAAAGTAATATGGAAGAGTTCGAATTGATCCGGGTTGAAATCCAAAGGTGATCGAATTATGATTTTAAGTGCTCCCGTACTCCATCGAGGACTCCATAGTAAATTAACCCGATTTCAGGATCAGATCCCTTTGATTGTAAGCCGATCGGATATGCAAAGTGATTGAACCGAGGTATTGGGTATGTGAAGTAATTCTGTTCCATACCATTGACTGTACTTCTTACATCTCTATTTAATCGATATATCTATATATCGTATATCAATATATCAATATATACGTACAGAAGTGAGAAAAAAGAGCAAAATCCCGATTCAGGGGATCTCCACCTCCATATCCATGGTCCAAAGTGGAAACTATTGTATTTTTTTCTTTTCTTTTTTGGGCTTTTCTTATTTAGTTCCCATGTGTTTCTTCTCGGCGTTTACCCCCTATGCATCTCCATCTTTTTCAACTATACTCCGTACATTTCTCTCTTATTGATATCCTTAATATTCTTTTTTTTATATTTATTTATCTATTTTATTTTTTTGATTAGTTTGGGATTAGTTTATTTTGGGTCTTTGGTCTTTGTTTTTATTTTTTTTTTTTTTTTTACCCCCACCTCTTTGTTTCCCTTTGAGTCGATGTGGAAACGTTCACCTAGATCGGAGGACTCTGGGAACGACTCAACTCACCATCTATCTGAGCTGGGTTTCCTAGGTCGATCCAAAAAGTCCAAAAGTAAGTGTCGCTGGTAATTTTCGGATCTGAGACCTATTGTGGCCTGTTCTAGATGGGAGAGTCTAAACTCTCCCCTGAATGTTGTTTGAAGCGTTGTTTGAGACCTTTCTCTCCCTCTTTTATTCACATCTTTAATACTTGAGCTTCTGCAAAATAGCTTTAACCTGCTATTAGCCTTGAAGATTGCTAACCAGGGATCTGGGACGTACAGAATTTCAATCACAGCCAGAACCGTCCTCTCGTTCCCCTCTCCGTTCATTGCGTTCATTCACCCGAGGTGTAATAGACCGACCTAGCAGCAGTGTTTCCAACCAGACCGATATCACCCGGCCAAGAGCACCCTCGACGGTATCTGGATCGTATCATTCTGCTTACCCTGAACCCGCTGGTCAACCTGCGCATTCAAATCGCTCACGAGCATCATTTAATTCAAGATCGGGACGAACCATCGGCCCAATGGAGGTAGATCGCACCCACACACGGAGGGAAAGGACGTTTGTAGGGAGCGAATGTGCGGTTTGCGAGGAGCCCTTGGAACATACCTTACGTGGCGAGCGAGTCCTGCAGCTTGCGTGCTCCCATGTCTCGCACGAGGCCTGTTTCTATGAATTTTTGCGGGAATGCGATGGACAATACTGCCCGACCTGCAATGCGCCCTTGGCCTTGGACACAAGTCGCGGTGGAAATGTCCTGGATATCGGTATGTCCCTCGTGCGGGGGTTAAGAGGGGCCAGACGGCTAATGAGATCTTTCCCCAGAGAAAATCAGTAACATCGTTCGTTCAGTGACGTCGCATGATGCCGCTACAGTACGCAGTGGCTTGTCAACATCTACTCCCTGGGAGCAGATCTCGAGTCGACGACCACCGAGTGATTCCGGCAGCCGCTACACCTCGGGGACCCGAGAGCAACCACCTTACACCCCTTCAACAAGGGAGGCATCTTACAACCCTTCAGCAAAAGAACCATCTTACAACCCCTCGAGAGATCCATCTTACAATCGGCGGGATAGCCGTGATACCAGCAGCCATCGTGAGCGCGTAGAGCGATTGACGGTGGGCTCCAACCCTCGTCAACCCCACTCCCGGAACGGCAGCGCGGCTGGTTCATCGGGTGAATACAATGAAGGCCAGCACACTAGCACTGGGCGACGCCATGATTACGATGTCCAAGCTATGGAATCAGACCTCAGTCCTCGCCCCGGAGTCGCCAAGAATCCCATTCCCGCGCCGATGGTCACCGTTCGAAGCGAGTTTCCGACTATGAATCGATCCCGCCAACAGCAGACCCTCACATGTCTTATTACTGTCGAGGTGCCTGATTCCAATTGGCGTCCCGATTTGGATGATCTACGACACACGCCTTCGGGACAGTCGCAGCCGGATGGGCCATACGCGGGACGATTTGGTGGTGGACAAGATGCTCGATCGATTCAGTATGAGCCAACGGAGAATCTGGAAGAAGTGGCCGAGGAATTGCGCAACAGGGTTGATAACTGGCATGGCCTTGAGTTCCAACGGTTTGGCAAGCTGCGTCTCCACGGACATATGCGCGTGGGCAAGGATCGGGATTCCTGGCAGGAGTTGGAATGCTATCTCTTCGGAGAGATGTTGATCTGTGTCAAGGAAAAAAAATCGGCCGACCCGAACCAATTCGACGCGACTGGGCGACGCAAGCCTGCTCGTTGCAGCCTCAAGGGGTCGATCTTGATAAAAAAGCATTTAAAGTCTATCGAGGCGTCGCCAGATGAACCGATTCTTTCCTTGAACCTTTCTGTTACCGAGCTGCCCTGTTTCTATCTTCACTTCCGGAACCGCAACCAGCTTGATACGTGGCGTCGGTCTTTGATCGATCTGCACCCAGAGGCCATTTCACGTCAAAATGACTACGATTACGACAACTCGGGGGCGGAGGAGGATGACTACCGTGGTAGCCGTGGAATTCAACGACAGGCTTCTGTCAATTCATCGTACGGTGCAGGGAAATCTATCAATACCGCCATTACCGACTACACCAACCCCGATGCAGAATTCCCTTCCATCAACACAGTTCATATCCCTCTCGATCTTGTCGTGGTCATTCCAGTATCCTCATCTATGCAAGGGTTGAAGATTACTCTCCTGCGCGATGCCCTCAAATTCCTTGTGCACAATCTGGGCCCTCGGGACCGGATGGGCCTGGTGACTTTTGGCTCAAGTGGTGGAGGTGTGCCCCTGGTGGGTATGACCACCAAGTCCTGGGCCGGATGGTCCAAGATCCTCGAATCGATCCGGCCAGTTGGCCAAAAGAGTCTCCGTGCGGACGTGGTTGAAGGTGCCAATGTCGCTATGGATCTTCTGATGCAGCGTAAATTTAACAACCCTGTCTCCACAATCCTTCTAATCAGTGACTCCTCGATCTCCGACCCTGAAAGCGTGGATTTCGTGGTCTCCCGCGCGGAGGCTGCCAAGGTCAGCATCCACTCGTTTGGACTTGGATTGACCCACAAGCCCGATACCATGATCGAGTTATCTACCCGTACTAAAGGGTCTTACTCCTATGTGAAGGATTGGATGATGTTGCGAGAATGTGTCGCTGGATGCCTGGGCGCGCTGCAGACAACCTCTCACCAAAACGTCAAGTTGAAGCTTCGCCTACCTGAAGGATCGCCCGCCAAGTTTGTCAAGATCAGCGGCGCTCTTCACACCACAAAGCGTGCAACTGGCAAAGATGCCGAAGCCGCACTGGGCGATCTCCGATTCGGTGACAAGCGCGACGTGCTGGTTCAACTTGTCATCCAACCCGACAATGCTACGCAGGACAACATGCCGCAAGATCCGTGGGAGAGCCTGGTCTCCGGATTGGAGGCTCTCGGCGGCGGCTCTGATGGTGACGAATCACGAGTCTTGAGTGTTGAGGAGGTTCCATTGATCCAGGCTGATCTAACTTACGGCGACCTGCTCCGTGATGGCCATCTCACCCACTCTCCCCGCCCTTCACTCCTAGCCATTACCATGCTGCCAATTAACCCTCGGGCCAAGGGCCAGCGATCCTCGACCCCTCCAATTCCTCCTCACCCCTCGATCGTGCAGCGCCGCATGGAGCTACTCACTTCTGACATGCTGACCCGTGCTCTCACCTTGGTTTCTCGAGGTCAGCATGATCGCGCGATGCATCTCCTCAACGAAACCCGCAGCATCCTCAAAGGCCTGGGCAAGGGTGGCCTACCACCTTTGCCTCCGGGTGCCTCTCGGTCCGACAGCGATGCCGACAGCCGTGGTGACACCCCAGTCTCGGCCTCCTCTCCTAAATCATCTACCTTTGGTGGAACACATTCATCCGCATCCGACACCAATACCATCACACCGCCCTCTGCGGTTGATGCTCAGACGATGCTTGCCCTGAATGCAGATCTGGAAGCGGCCCTGGAGTGGATCAACCATCCGGCAGTCTTTGGGCGGGATTCACGCAAGGCGGTGCTACAAAGCATTGGCGTAATCTCCTCGCAGCGCGCCTACACTTTCCGCACTCCTTCCGAAGCCCATTGGGCTCAACGTGTCTCCGGTGTGCGTCGGTTGACGGAACGATCCCAAGACTGGCGTGAGACTGGCGACGATGCTTTGACCGAGGAGTAGGGAGTCAGCTCTCAACTCTCTCAACTCGGCATGTGTTCTTATCCCTCTTATTTTTGACTTTCGAAACGCTTTACATTGTCTCCCATTCCCGACTTGCACATACTGAGTCGACGTGTTATTTCTTGTTTTTCATTTCCCTTTTGCAGATTTCTTTTGCCATCCCTATGATACCACTTTGTTCCCATGACTACGCAACATGATACCAGGGGCTTTGTTATTGATATGTTTCCGCTCCAGTTGGATTTATGCCGTATTTGGACATAACATCTCTGTTTCTATGTAATTGCTCTGGCGGTCTCGGCTATGGTGCGCGGGTGGGATGGGGTTCTGTTGTTTTTTTTTTTACTTAAACATATGATGATTTACCGGACTTGCCTTTATTTTTCTATACATCCAGCGTTGCATAGTTTATCTGAATCCATTAGTTGCCTTGAAGTAGAAACACATACCTTGTCAAACACATTTTTCTTTTTCTTTACTTCCTGCCCACCGGGGCAAAACATCCAAGGTCAGTCAACTTGGGAGCCCGGCTATGTTTGTACTGTGAGAATCTGTGATGCACGGAGGAACAGTCACATATGTACTCCGTACTCCCGAGATCTTGACTTAATTCAAACAAGAAGAACGGATACCCTCACAAGCGGTAGAGTGGGGATTTTGGAGACATGACGTTGCTCTTGGGCCGAATGTCACGATGGGGCATGTGGCTTATCGCCGGCTCAGATCTTCAACTTGCAACTTCCCCGGGGAGGTCTGGTTCCACCTGGAACATTGCAAATTCGTCAACTCTTTTCTTGACATTTATGTACCTCAATCTAGAGAGCTAGACAGCTCCCAACAGCTCTCGATCATGCTCCGTCAATCTATTACGCGCGCTTCCCACGTATGCGCATCCGCATACCCTTTCTTATCGCCGAAACCACCCACCTATCCAAAGGCCGTCTCATTAGCAACCCAGACCTCGCGCTCATACAATACCTCAGGGCCTCAGTCCTTCACTCATTGGGCTGAATTTCCGTCCTATCAAATCGCACGACTACGACAGACCCGACCCCAATCACAACCCTCATTTCACAGACCTTCCCCAAATAATCGGCGTACTTTCTTCTCAAGCCACCGATCCCCCCTACCAACAAAGGCAAAACCAGTACAATCGATTCCGAGGAAGCGCACGCCGACCTATTGTCTACCGCTTAGTGCAAAATGCTAAACCGCATCACTTTGTTGCGATTGGCGTGGGTATATCTGGACTTTACCTATACAACACCGAGATAGTGGAGATGACCGGCCGACGACGGTTCAACTGTGTCTCTCATCACCAGGAGCTCAAAATGGGCGAAGAGAGTTATCGTGAGGTCCTCATTACCGAGCGTGGTAAGGTTCTGCCCTATAACCATCCTCTTACTCGCATGGTAGATGATGTGCTGCAACGCTTGGTCCCGCAGGCGCCTATTGAAGGCGCTGATTGGAAGGTTCATGTTATTAAGGATGATGAAACGGTTAACGCTTTTGTTCTTCCCGGGTAGGTTTTGGTTTGTGGTCATGGATGTTTGGGATCTATGGTTATCGACATCGCTGACATCGTTTTGCTTCGTCTAGGGGAAAGGTCTTTGTCTACACGGGCATCTTACCAATTTGCAAAGACGAGGACGGTCTGGCTGCTGTGCTAGGACATGAGATTGCTCATGTTGTGGCTCATCACCCTGCAGAGCGTATGAGCACCAGTTTCATTACGCTAGGAGCTGTATTCGCTATCTCTTTCTTGTTTGATGTCTCCGGGCAGTTCTCTTCGTTTCTTTTGAATCTTATGTATAGCTTGCCGAACTCGCGGACGCAAGAGGTATGGTTGGCGTTTTGCTTTTACTATATGGTCACTTGGCTAATTGTTACGTACAGGCCGAAGCAGACAAGATCGGGCTCAGTATGAACTTTTGAAGTTTAGGATCAAAATGCGATTATGTTGCTAACGATTGTGACCAGTGATGATGTCTAAAGCCTGTTTTAATCCCAAGGCCGCCGTCAAGCTGTAAGTCCATCTGACAACGTGCGTTCGCGTCTTGAGCTTTGCTGATGACTGCTAGATGGGCTCGCATGTATGAGCAGGAGAAAGAGGCTCCTCCGCAGTTTATGTCCACCCACCCATCGGTAGGCTTGGAGAAGACTTATAGAGAGGCAATGACTAACCTGGAGTAGAGTTACAATCGAATGGAAGCTATCCAAGGATGGTATGATCATTCCCCAGCGTTGACTTGGTTGTTACTAATTCATCTAAATAGGCTAGACAAGGCCGAGGCAATCTATGATGAGGCTGGGTGCAGCTCTATCAAAGGATACAGTAAGAGCTTTAATCCTATTTTATCTATAGCAATTTGCTAACTTCTTCAGTGCCTGGTTTCCAGAATGCTTATAATTCGCATGTCGCATATTTGAGGTGACCAACAGAGCATTCAAGTCCATAGTGCATTGATGGTAACTGTATAGTAGAATTAGCCAATGTATTGATAGACACTAAAGCATTTCCTATTAGATCAAAACATAAAAACAAACGAGAGCAAATGTAGAAGAAGGACTAGAGATTGTAATGTCGCTGATCTATAGTGAACGCCAAGCAACTGGCGGGCTCCCCCTCGTGCAAACCGAGCAAACCCACCACCGTAGCTCCAAAAATTGCCTGGCACAACAGCTTCATCCACTCCCTCACATTCAACCCATTTGATATCAGTCGCATATCTCTCAGACGCGACCTAATATCATGTCCCTATCAATTCCCGGTCCATCCCAGGCGGGGCTCTTCAAGCCCGGGTACCAGAGGTGAGTTCGAAAAGTCGGGAAGCCCGAAAACCCACCGCAATAGGGACCTCCTTATCTGGCGCCCCTCCAAGACGAAGCGAAGCAATTGACTGATCTGTGTTTACCGCTGTATAGCCACGACGCCGAAGATGGAGCCGTTATCCGTAACATTGAAGCCTGCCAGGCTATCTCGGGCACCGTCCAGACCTCCCTGGGCCCCTATGGCCGCAACAAGATCGTCATCAACCACCTGCAAAAGATGATTCTGACCTCCGACGCGGCTACAATTCTCCGTGAGTTGGATGTCGTTCACCCCGCTGCTAAGCTGCTTGTTATGGCGAGTCAGCAGCAGGATGCGGAGATGGGCGATGGTACCAACTTGGTTATTGTGTTGGCCGGTGAATTGTTGAAGAAGGCAGAGGAGCTGATCCGCATGGGTCTCAAGACGAGTGATATTGTTTCCGGATACGAGAAGGCTCAGAACTTTGCCCTGTCTGTTCTAGAGGGTATGTTTCCCCCTCCCATGATCAATTTGTCGATATACAAATGAGGGAATGTTTCTAATTTCCTATAGAGCTCGAGGTCGACAGACTCCAGGATATGCGATCGGCAACAGAATTGAGCAAGGCTCTCCGCACAGTGGTGGCCTCTAAGCAGTCCGGCACGGAGGAGACCTTGGCTGCGTTGGTTGCGGAGGCGGTTTTGGCTGTGTTGCCCAAGAACCCCCTTAACTTCAACGTCGACAACGTGCGAGTCGTTAAAATTATGGGTGGTAGCTTGGAACAGTCGAAGGTGGTGAAGGGTATGGTCTTCCCCCGGGAGCCCGATGGAATTATCAAGAAGGCCAGCAGGGCCAAGGTCGGCGTTTTCAGCTGCCCTATCGATATCAGCCAGACCGAGACCAAGGGCACAGTCCTCCTGAAGAACGCCCAGGAGATGATGGACTTCACTGCGGGTGAGGAGGATCGTCTGGAGACTGCCATTAAGGAGCTCTACGACTCCGGTCTCCGTGTGGTCGTTGCCGGTTCCACCGTTGGCGACTTGGCAATGCACTACCTCAACCGTTTCAATATCCTCGTCATTAAGATTTTGTCCAAGTTCGAGCTCCGTCGCTTGTGCCGTGTTGTCGGCGCCACACCTTTGGCTCGCCTGGGTGCCCCCATGCCCGATGAGATGGGCCAGATCGACATTGTCGAGACAACCGAGATTGGCGGTGACCGAGTGACCGTCTTCCGCCAGGAGGACGCCAACGCTATCACCCGCACAGCAACCATTGTCCTGCGCGGTGCCACTCAAAATCACCTGGAGGACGTCGAGCGTGCCATCGATGACGGCGTCAACGTCGTCAAGGCCATCACCAAGGACCCCCGCCTTGTCCCCGGTGCCGGTGCCACTGAGATCCAGCTCGTTGAGCGCATCTCCAACTTCGCCGACCGAACCCCCGGCCTGCCCCAGTACGCCATCCGCAAGTTCGCCGAGGCCTTCGAAGTCGTTCCCCGCACACTCGCCGAGTCTGCCGGTCTCGATGCCACCGAGGTTCTCTCGCGTCTGTACACCGCACACCACCGCACTACTGCTGTTGGCGAGTCATCTTCCGAAGAGGATGAGGAGGAGGGCAGCTCGTCTGAAGAGGAGGAGCCATACTGGACTACAGGTGTGGACCTTGAGATTGGCGACTCCGACGGCACCCTGGACACTACCGAGGAGGGTATCCTAGATCTTATGGCCACGAAGATGTCTGCGATCCGCCTGGCCAGTGAGTCTGCCCGGACGGTGCTGAGCGTCGACCAGATCATTGTCTCGAGACAGGCGGGAGGTCCCAAGCCACCGCAGGGTGGAGGTGATTGGGACCAGGACTAAATTCTTTTAAAAAAAAAAGGAGCAATGAGGGTCTGGATGCTATTTGATAATATGAGGCCTGATAGATCTTCGTACGATGATATGCTTTTTGAGAACATTGTAAATTGGACTACCTTTCTCTTCCAGTACTTTCTTCTTTGGTTCCTTCGAGTATGCATATTACGAGTATCTTTTGCATCGAAGAATCTCCTAAGGGATGTTAGAATACAATTAATCATACCTTGGGTGCTGTGGGCCGTGTTTGCCTGATAGATAGGATTAATGTGCCTGAGGCGTGACAGGTCACGTGCCACTCCCAGATTTTCCTCAAGTGTTTCCTTTCGGTCTTGATATCAACGAGCCGCGATTCCAATCCCCACCACTTTCCTCTGAATTCCCTTCCTCTCGAGCTTCCCGCCTCTTTCTCGCCTTCGCCATGTCCTTTTCCACCCAGGCCGCAGCCCGCTGCGCTAGACAGCTCTCCGGCTCTGTCCGCCCGTCCTCCCTGCGCATCGCGACCTCCGCTACATACCTCACAGCCCGTCGCACACCCAGCAGCCGGCGATGCGAATCCACCCAGGCAGCCCCTGCGGCTGCTACCAACCCCAAGATCTCCCAGATTGTCGACCAGATCAGCACATTGACGCTGCTCGAGACTGCCGACCTGGTGTCTAGCTTGAAGGTGGGTTTGACAATATACACACATAATTGATGGGTTGCCGAACAGGACATACGTTTTTGCATTACTTCTCTCTCTGCATCGTCACTCTATCCAATTGAGGTATTTTATACGAACTATAGCTAATCAAAACGTTCACACAGACCCGCCTGAACATCCCCGACCTTCCCGTTGGCGGCTTCGCTATGGCCGCCGGTGGTGCCCCCGGTGCGGCGGCCCCCGTTGAGGAGGAAGAGGCTGCCCCCGCCGCAGCCGAGAAGACGCTCTTCAATCTGAAGCTCGAGTCTTTCGAGCCTACCTCCAAGCCCAAGGTCATCAAGGAGATCAAGACCATGCTCGGCCTGTCGCTCGTGGACAGCAAGAAGTTCGTCGAGTCCGCACCCAAGATTCTGAAGGAGTCTGTGCCCAAGGAGGAGGCAGAGAAGCTTATCGAGACATTCAAGGCGCTCGGTGCTAAGGCGACTATGGAGTAAAAGCTGTTTATTGTTTAAGCACGGGAAGGGGATAGATTGGGAAGAGAGTCAGGGAAGATGTTGTCGTTTTGGTCTTTTCCTCTCTTTTTTTTCTCTTCGGTTTCTTGCTTTTGAGAGATCTTGTTGAGCATTTATTGTGTTTGGCCTGGCAGATCAAGGCAAAATGTACATTATACGCATTGTATTCTGGGGCCGTCTGGTACAGAGGGCTCGTTTGGTTAATTGATGCATTTAGCATATCGATGCTCTTGTATTTCGGTGAAAATCTGTAAATATTTTGAAATCCTGCTGTATAGGCAAGCTATTGGTATATCTCAATGTCGGAGCGGCTTCGCGGTGAAATTCCCGATCTCCAAACTTCAACCAGAGAAAACCTACCCACCTCACCAACCTCGACCATTTCCCATCCGCACTATTTCCAATGGCGAGACCATTGATTTCTCCGTTACAATGGCGTCAATTACATCAAGCTCTTTTCCCTAAAGCATATGCCTCGGGCCACGGCGCGCAAGCTTGCACCGCTCGAGCTGTCACCAATAGCAACACAACCACATTGAAACGGCCCTTTCACACCACGCCAACTCGATCGGCTATCAGGCCTTCTCGTAAGGCACCATCTGTTCGGAAACAACTGAGGAACGATGATGTCTTCGAAGGCCCAGGTGGATTGAAATTGGATCGTGACGGGTTTTGGAATGCCTATTGCGGTGCACATGTTGAACCAACAATGGTGGAGTTTAAGCAATTTACGCGCCAATTGTATGAGCGCTTTACTCACGTTATGCCGCCGGGTGTCAACATGGCGACGTTCGCGTCCGTGGGTGAACAGTTGATTAGGCTATCGCACTCGCAGGGCCCTTCCGCAAGTCTTGTTCGGAGTATCTCAATAGGTAAATTCAAATTCTGGGTGAAAGGCTACGGATTTAACTACGCGATATTAACCATGCAATTTGCCATAGATGTTGACGCCGTTTATCGAATCGCAATCATTCTCGGAGAACTTCAAACGGGCCGCTACATCTATCAATGGGCATTGACCAGCTGCGCAAAAGCAAATTCGCGCCGAGCCCTGGTCGACCTCGTGAGCCGGTACATGCAGACGAAAAATGTAGACATTTACCGGGACAACGAGTACATAGCACGGGTCAGAGACTTGGCTCTCAAAGATGAATTCCCTCATGCAATTATGTTATATGCTAAGCTGCTCATCTGGCGTGGTGAAAACGCACAAGCCGCCCGACTTCTGGAGCAGAAGATTTTACCATACCTGCAACCCACTAGGATACGCCCTCCCCACTGGGAGGATATAATGTTAGTGGATAAGTTTGATTCGCCCTGGCGGATGTACGCTGTTGCCGTTGAGAAGGAACGAGGTCTTGAGGGTATCCAGAGTGCCACACGCCGAGCCGCCCTGGAGTTCCACGACCCGGTTGCCATGACTGACTACGCTGTCACCGTGCTGGAAACGGAGGCTCTCGATAAGTACGAGACGTACGAGGCCTTCATGGCCGCCGCTGCGTTGGCGGGACACAGTCCAGCCTGCTTTTACCTTGCGAATTACTACTACCGTATCTCTCAAGGCGAATTCACCACCGAGGCCGAGAGAAACGCCAAACAGAGGGAAGAGGCCCATGCCTCGCGCGAGACCTGGCTGAGACCCTTCGAGCCTATAACGAATTGGGTTTATACGGTGTTCAACCAACCCATGGATCGCAAGACATATCGCATGCTCGCGATGGACTGGTACGAGCTTGCTTTTGATAAGGGAAACAATGAGGCTGGGTATATCCTGGCCATGCTCTTCCGCGAGGATGGCGATATGGAGAAGAGCCGTGAGGTTTACAATCTTACTGCCAAAAGAGGCCTTCCAACCTCGTTGTCGAAGAAAAGTCTGGTGGAAATGAAGGATAAGTGGGAAGACCGGACATTCAATCCTGGTTTGCCTCCTAAGCTCTTGAGGATTACTTGAAAGTAATTCCAAGCTGTTGTATGTATATCTGTCCTGCACATGGTTTTTTGCCTGTATACCGCTATGTGTTATAACAATGTATCATTTTGTGGCCATGATACCCTTCTATATAGTTCCCGCTCCCAAGCATTCGTGTCTCATCTTGCCTCATATTCCACGCCGAACTGACAAATAAAAAAAGAAAGCAAAAGATCAAAACTGTCGTTATGATTGACGAACATCATCAAACGCTATGCCTGTTTCATCCCCAATTCCTAGTCTTCCTTTCCTCCTGCCAACCCCGAGAAATTCACAGACTCCAAACCAACCAAGATATTCGAAGGATGATAATATCAACACAACGGAAGAGAAGAGAATCCTCTCGCAAAACTACAAAACCCTCAATCATCGTCTCTTCTTCCCCTTTCCCTTCCCGTGCCCCCTCGTCTTCAACTCCACAAACCCAAGCTCCTTCAACCCCTCTGCAAGAATTGACGAATCCCTCATCCCAGGAAAATCCTTCGCAGGATACACACGGAACGGATTAGACCACGCCTCCGCAAGAATCGGCATCGACTGGCCCGTATCCTCAACAGAGCCCCAATTCATCAATCGGAACTGGAGCCTGTATAGCCCCGCCGAGCGGATTGAAAGGTCTGCGAAGATGAAAAAGGTAGCTGGTTGGTGGAGTCGCGAGGCGGCGTGGTTGCAGACGTTCTGCGGAGGGTTGGAGAGGTTGGGATCGGTGGAGGATGGGTGTGCGGGCGCGGAGTTGGGGTCTGGGTCGGCGTCGACGTAAAAGGGGGACATGAAGGCTTTACCAGATAGTAAAGGGGTTGAGAAGTTGTCGTCTGTGCGGGCGATGCCGTCTGTTTCTCTTTCTCTATCGCGATGCCGGTCCCGGTCTTTATTTTGATCGCGCTCGCGCTCGCGCTCATGCGCATGTGTGTCTGTGGGTTCGGCCCATGGTAAAGAGGGCGAGACGGGGAATAGTAGACAGCCCACCGTGAAGCGGGGATCTTGGAGGAGATCCCGGTCTTCTTGTGAACTGGAGTCGAAGTCGGTCAGGAGGATCTGCACAATTGGGGGGCGGATCGACGGGGCGACGGTCTCTGTCGCCTGCGCCGCAGGCGCGTGCGGCGATGGGTTGTTGTCGGATATGTAGATGGTATCTCGATTGTGTGGATGGTCGTCTGGGTGGTGGAGGGGGTGATTCTGGCTCCGGTTCATGGTGGAGGAGTTTGTCGAAGCCGTGTGGCATTCGGTATTTCGCGGTTCGGGATGGTTTCGGGTCTTGATGAGTGCTGGCTAAGATAGGGTTGAATGCGTGGGCAGCGCTTTTATCTGACCAGACGGGACTGGGCATGGCTGTGGAACTGCTGCTATGTCTATATGGGATTTGGTCAGAATATGGGGGTGAATATCTCCCTGCATTGTGTAACCTAGGACAGATGTGACATGAGAGGGATTGTGTTCTGAAATCTCAAGCCAAATACATTGCATCAGGATGGGCCACTGACAGATCGAGGTGGTTCAACAGAAACGAAAAGAGAGGGACTTTACTGGGACTCCACGTCGTATGTCCAGCTCCGGTGACTGTCATAGTCCCGGGCATGGTTCGACGTTGGGTATCTCTCTTCGTATGGGTGACGGGCATCAGCACCGGGATAAGATCGCAGCGGGAGCGCTTGCGGCACCGGTTGTGTATTCATGTAGGCATTGTCGGAGGCGAGCATATATCGGGGATCCGTGCTTCTGTCCGGAAGAACCAAGGCGGGAATCCTCGAAGCAAGGGGTGCTCCGAGCATAGGTCGCTCATAACCCGTCTGGGGTACCTGTCGAGGCTCATGTCGGTACGGATATGGCATGGGTATCGGGCCGTGATGTTGAGTGCGGGGGACCGAATCGATACATGGCCATTCCGGGGAATTCCCACGTTGCTGGAGTGGTCTCGACATCTCGGAGACTTGCGTTATGTTTCAGCCTCGGGTCAGATGAGACATTGAATACCCAGAAGATAGTCACAAGTAGAATTTATAGATCGGTTGGGAATGGGAAAGAGCCAAAACACAATGCATATCCGGTGAAGATATCTGATCATCATGTGAAGTCAAGATCTCATCACACGATATAACTAGTTCTACTTCACAGATGTCAATTTGGCTAATCGGGAAGGGGAAAAAAAAAGGAAAAAGAAAATAGGAATCCAAATCCCAAAATTCAAACCGATTGCTTTTGAAAATAAGAAGACAAGGAAGTGGGAATGGCATCAATATGTTTTTTTTTTTTTCAGAGTATCCACTGAGATGAGCTGGGGAACGGGCCGAGCGGGTTTTGCGAGAATCCAAGTGGATTCGGTGGGCATTCGAAAGACGGTCAGTGGAAGTTGCGGTGGAACTGAAGTTGCGAGAGTCCAGGTCGTGGACCTATCGGGAGCCAAAATACAAATGTCGCCTTTTTGCGAACTGCCCATGATCTCGTACAAGTGGCTGGAGTGTGGCGTATTGGCCATTCTCTAGATATCTACATCTCTCTAGAAGTCCAATTCAAATGCAATCTGGGATCAGCTATGGATATCTCTGCCATTGAGTCTAGGCGTGAATAACTCGATAGATCATGCTGAACCGGGATCTGGCTATGGATGTATTTGGAGTTTCAGCAGATTTGCCCGGTGGAATATGTTGGAAGACTGAAAACTCCCAAGGGGATTGGGAATTGTTCCAGTGGGGCCGTTGAAGCTCTCGACACCGGCAGATTTAGGGAACTCGGAATCGCCTGACTATCGCGAATTCTCAACTTTCAACAGACGCAGATCATGACCTCATTGCAATCCTTAAACTGGAATGATATATGTTATAGACCCCAGAAATCCGTATGCACCAGAAATGTGACTACGTAGTTCGTTGTAGATCCTCATTTCATCGTGATTGCCTCCTTGAGAGCCGTGCGGATCTGCAACTGCATGTTGCAGTGCGATTCATATCACCACGTGTTGATCGTACAACCGGCGTGGAGAGGTTCCTAGGGAGCGACAAGAATCCTTGGCTAAGACCCTAAAGGCTTCAATATGGGCCCCCCCCCACCGTTATCGGTGATCCCGATGGCAAATGGCGTGGGTGGCTTGATTCTTGGAAGTGAAATCACTCGATGATATACTGTGTTGTAGAGAACACCGAGGCAAGCCGAGTTGTGATCGGTATCCTCGTCGACCTGTCTTGGGAACTGCTAAAATCGGGTCATTGGTAGACCTAGGTCGATGGGGCCACATTGGATTCAAGGCAAAATGACAGAATACCATCAAAAGTCCGCATGGTTTGAAAATTGAGTAATACTGGAGAGGAAACAGCATCCGAAAAGGATAAGACCGGTGACTACAACATTGTGGGAGATTTAAATTGTACCGAAGTGTATCACCGCACACCCTATATTAACATCCATGATTCATCTCTCCAAGTGTCATTGTTCACAATTGTCATTCTTCATGATTTCAGGTGTGTTCTACCCTGTAGGAAAGTCATTCAATACTCTAGATCTGCACTGGGATCCACATCGAGATAGTACGGTCCCCAGCAATTTCGAGAGTGAGGCCGTATACCACTAGGATATATTGTTCGCTCGTCATTGGCTGGAATCGTGAGATGCATCAAGGCACCCAGAGGACCATCTGAAGGCGCAGGTCCACAATCAATGACTCCGGTGTTCTGCCCGACATAAAGCCCGAGGAGCTGCCCGAAATGACGATCCCAGACCACAATATATCCGGATGGTTGCCATGGTTGGTCCGGACCATACCGCATATCCATGCAGCCGAGTTGCATCAAATGTAAGTTGTTGATCCCCATTTGAGGAACTCCATGAATGATCAAACGAGCTCGGATAAGGCCTAGGGTAGATGGCGTCATAGGCTCAGAGAAATCACGCAGCGCCGGAATCTGGGAGTCAGAAAATTCGATCGGTGAGTGTGCCGGCACCCATCGGAGCTCGAGCAATTCGAAATTCGACCGAAATTCGTTCAGCCTTGCCGGGTTGTAATCGAGCCAAGGGACAATATTCTGAGGCTGTCCGTCGAAGTCATTCAACAGATCTGTGATCCTGCTCAGTGAAGCCGGAGATTTAGAGCAGCCATGAACGCAAAGCTCAGCGTACAGTTGTCCATGATCAGACCCAATGGGGTTGTTACCGATTTCGGGCGACGTATGGTCCTCGAATGCTGCCCAGTTTGTATCTAACGGGTCTAAGGCAATACTGAGATGACGCTGACTCTCAGGGCTCCATTGAACACCCATCCTTTGCTCTATGTCATCAAGGCAAACTTGAAGTAGCTCCAGGTAGTCCTCTCCTCTTACTAGGTCAGGTAGTGCCTCGCCCACAATAGAATCACCAAGGAGGAATTGAAGATTCGGGAACTTGGCAATGAATGGCAAGTTATCACCACAATGTTGAGAGATATCTTCCAACCATCTCGCTGCTGTTTGGGATCTAGCATTTTGGACCAGAGCCAGCACTACCTGATAGGCAGCGATGCAGCTGTGATAGATTTCAGGCTGAATGTTCTTCAAGAAATGACTCCAGCACATGTGAAGCACCTCATAATTCTCAGTCCTAGCCAGTAGGCACATATATTCCTGGGCCTTGGTTCTGAAATCAAATCGTTTGCCAATTTGATCAGCGGATTGCGTCCAGAACAAGATATCATGCAAACTGTGATGTCGGGACATGAGTTCTCCCTCTCCTGTGATCTTAGAAAGAATGGGATCCAGGTCGTAGTATGGATCCTCAAAGGCTTTGCAATCAATTGCCTCAGAGCAATATTGGACTATCTGCAGACTATCCTCGAGACCTAGGGCTGGAAAGCCCATGTGGTGGTAGTCATTCAAAAAGTGCTTCAGGTATGACGTTGAAAGATCAAGAGATGCAAAATATAATGCTGTAGAATATATACCAGGCTTGATGGGAAGTTGGAGACGCTTCAGTCTTGTACACAAGTCACTGAGCACCGATAGGATTTCTGCGGATGTATTTTTCCGTTGACAGTTTTGCAGGGCGTTATTTAGCAGCAAACAATCTTGATCCTGCAAAAGCTCCGCTCCATGTTTATCATTGACATATCTCTCAATTAAGCTCCGCAAGGATGAGACATCGGTCATCTTACTATTGACACCCTCCAATAGCTCTTGGTTCCGCGAGGTAAGCCCTCTGAGGGAGGCCCACAACGGGGGAGGTGGAGTATTAAAGTTCCATTGCGGAACAAAAAGTTCACGGAGATACCCAGACAAGGCCTCATTAGCATTTGAGTCATGGACTGGCTCAGTTGAATCCCTCAAAGCAAATCGAAGCAGTTCAGATGGTGATGGGTCACGGGCTAGTAGTTTCAGATCTGCGGGATAGATGCTGCGCACCAATTGCTGTGTCAACACATTTCCAGTTGTAAACCGTCGTCTTGGTTGCTGCAAAAGCAACCGAGTGTGCGGTCGTACCATGACTTGGGACTAGAGTAGAGCTGATCTGGAAGATGTGGAGAAGATAAACACGGGCCGATAAGGGGGCTAAGTCTGGGGTTTGACTGGCAGAACAAGGGCGGTAGGGGAGGCGGTATTGGACCGCATTCGCGCTTTTATCTCATCTCCAACCAGCTTCCATTTCTTATCAACCTGGCTGCCAACAAAACATCCACCGATTTTTATCCATAACTGCTATTCATCGATTGATCAACCCAAGGAAATTATGGTCACGACCAGAAATGCGGATAAATCCGCAAAGGACGAGGTGAGCCAAGAACAATCGTCCATTGAGCGACCGACCGAGAACAAGAGCGAATCACCTGTCGCGAGTTCCGAAAACAAGGCGGAAGCCCAATCAGATGACAAAAAGGATGACGGTGCATCCAAAGCGCGCGAGAGAATGGATAGATTTAAAGCCCTACAGGCTCGAGCTGTATGTGTCCCTCAGAACATGACTCGTGCGGATCAATAGGCTTGGTCACTCCAAGACCATCACATCACTAACACAGCATAAAGAAATCTGCAACGGAGCGCAACCTAAAAGAGACTGCAGCCGAATCACAGCGTCTGACCACGGACCCCGCCCTGCTAAACACATTGTCCCGCAAGCATGCATTCGCCTCCCATAACCTCCTCAAAGCGGACACGGAAGCCGACGGAGAAGACTTTGAACGTAAGCGCGCATGGGATTGGACAGTTGACGAATCGGAGAAGTGGGATAGGCGCATGGAGAAGAAGCAACGCCACCGAGATGACGTGGCTTTCCAGGACTACACTCAAGATGCCCGGAAGATCTACAAGAGACAGCTGAGGGAAATGGCGCCGAACTTGGAATCCTACGAGAAAGAAAAGCTTGCCGCCATCGAGAGAGCCGCGGCCAACGGCGACCTCGAGATTGTGGAGACCGAGGACGGTGAAATGATTGCGATTGATAAGAACGGTAGCTTCTATTCCACCGCAGACTCGACGGGCTTTACAGACAGCAAACCAGATCGGGCTGCCGTTGACAGACTAGTCAACGATATCCAGAAGGCAGAGGAAGTGCGCCTCAAGAAACGCAAGGAGCGCCGTGGTGGCGATGATGATGGGGATGTGACATACATCAACGAGAAGAACAGGCAGTTTAACCAGAAACTTGCTCGCTTCTACAACAAGGTCAGTATCCTATTGATCGGGTTTTGTGATCGTTTCGCTAACATTTTTCTAGTACACCACCGAGATTCGGGACAGCTTCGAACGTGGCACCATGATCTAATTTGAATGTGAAATTGATTGCATTATTTTACATGGGCGGATGCTCCGAGATGTACTTGGGCATGGCATCAATCAACCGGCAGAGATTCTACGCGTTTTCCCCTCTGCCCCCGAAAAAAACGTTTTTGTACAAACATACAAGTCACTTGTTCAGCCAGCAGACCTAAAGCATTGTCTTTCGCCAGGCTTTTGTTGCAAGTGCCTCAATCTGTTTTGTTCCGACTGCACCCTTGGTGGACTCATCTTCCAATGCTTCAACCACTGCTTCGCTCACGACATCGACTTTAAGGGGCTTTTCGGCCATAGATCCAAGGAACCCAAGCTTATTCCCGAGGAATGCGTTGAACTCCGAGGCAACAAAGCCACCCATTGCAATTGGCAGCGTGAACTTCCGACTCGAGTCGTACATGAAGCCCGGACGTATGAAGATGCTTCTTAGGTTCGGGAGGGTGGATGTGATAGTTGCTTCTGCTTCCCTTTTAGTACTGATGTACCTGGCCGGCAGAAGCGGTGCCCCGGCCGCCGCAGAGATATAAACGAAGGCTGGAACATGCTCATTGGTGGACTCCTGGGCTAGTGCAATTGCTAAATTACACCCGTGTCAGCTTTCGAAACGGACTTTAGAACTCTTATACGCACCCGAATCTCGATTCATCAATTCATAGGTTAGCTGCCCATCTTTCTCCTTTGGCTCCAAAGCCTCACCCTCTTGTCTTGTTAGAGGGTTCTGGCTTCCAAGCTTAGATGTACTAAAAGCTCGTTGAAGGCCACTCAAGATTGGTTCTCTCCCTTGCACAACGCCTTTGTAGTCGGCTTCCAGCAGAATGCCCATTGTGTGAACAACAGCGGAGGCACCATTCAAATGTGACTTGTAGCTCTCTGGCTTGAGGATGTCGGCCTTGGCCCATTCCACGGACCCTGCCCAGCTAGGTCGTTCCCGTGAATCGGTGACTGCATCCCAGCGGGGCTCACCAGATCGGCTATACTGAGGTCAGTACATTGCTCTTTTGTAGATACATCCATAAACAGGCGTGAAAGCTACCTTAGTGATGTGACTGCCCATCCCCTTGCTGTTGCGGCTTTACAGATTCTGGATCCTGTAAGAGCTAGTCAGTGAAATGATATTAGGAGCTTATCCTAGATGGGCATCACAAACCCAAAAATCCGCTTCCTCCAGCGACGACTAGTCTTTTGGTCTGCATGCTGTAGTTGTAGCTTTGGGATAGCTCTGGAGAATGATATCACTAAAGTATCGGAACAAATATTCCAGAATATTCAGCAATTGGAACTTTAGAGCGAAGTGAAAGAGGTCAATATAGAGTTCTGCAATAGGTGGAGCAGTTAAATAGTTCAATGTAATTGTCTCTTGCAGGACTTTGAAGTTAGTGTCATTGATATCATTCGGTATCGTTCGCCTTCTGGACGGGTTACTTGAGCCCCGACGGATTACCGTTTTTCCGTGTCTATCTTCCGCCCTTGTTCTGGACGTTCCGTTCACGTTTAGTTCAACAATCTACAACCAACTTTCAAGATGCCATCTGCAACAGGAAACAAGCGCGTTAGGGTAAGCTCAAACTCCTGGGAAATGCTGAATTCAAATTAACGCGCTCGCAGGGTGTCTCGGTGTTCCGACCATTTGGTATGTCCGCAAAGGGCGCATTATCGGCGCAAGTCACAAGCTAACAAATACAGTATTTGGCAGTATAGCGCATCCCTTCGATCCTGAGAACAAGCCCGCAGATTGTCCTCCAGACCACACTCACAGGTGGGAGATATTCGTCAAGGGAATCAACGGCGAGGATATATCATACTGGCTGAAGAAAGTCCAATTCAAGCTGCATGAGACATACGCCCATAATGTGCGCTCGATCGAGCATCCGCCCTTCGAAGTCTCCGAAACCGGCTGGGGTGAATTCGAAATCCAGATCAAGCTCTACTTCGTGCCCGAATCAAATGAGAAGCCCCAGACCCTCTGGCATAGTTTGAAGCTCCATCCTTACGGCCCAGATGCGGAAGGGATGAAAGAACGTCGCGAAAATGTGGTCAGCCAGAACTACGAAGAGATCATTTTCAATGAGCCCGTTGAGCCATTCTACGAGATCCTCACCGGAGGCTCTGCTGCTAGTCAGCCTGGCAAGAGCAAGGGGAAGAACACCAAACAGATCGGACAGGGCAGGACGGCGGATATTCCCATGAATGATGCGCCCGGGAACCCATACAGTCGCACGACCGAGAGAAAAGAGCTTGATCGCATGGCTGAGGCCACGCAGACAGTCGAGCAGATGATCAAGGAAGAGAAGGAGCGTCTGATCGAAAGGGAGAAGTATCTGGCTGAGCTACGAGAGAGTGAGGGTGTTCCCACCAACACGAAGAAGCGGTGATTGCGTCGCACGGTTTTCTGAAGCCAAGAACCCGGGCCATTGCTGCCGTGTGGTTGAGATTTGAGCATCTCGTCTGAATGTGCCTCGCCAACCATACTCACTACTCCTGTACAAAGGCTCCTCGGTGCTGGGACCTTTTTGAGTGGCTCTACTGCCCTGAACAGTCGAAGTTCGTGTTTTTACACCTCTCATAATAGCCTGGCCACAAGATTCAAATTGGTCTGTTCCTACCTAATTCATCACGACTATTGCATTATCTGTCAGATACGACCGACGGGCTTGAAGATCTGTGTTATCCCAGGACCGTGCCTAGGACGCACAGGAGGTCTTTTGCTTGTCATCCGCGAGGTGGAAAATTTCAGACCATGTCATAGGGTGTCTTGGGCATGCACCAGGGATCCCATCCAAACCATGTTCATAACAAGTTTGCAACAAGGTTAACTGGGGTATATGCCACCTACTCGGGAAGGGAAAACCCTCAAAGGATGCAGTTCTATCTCTGTTGATGTACCTCCAGATTTCGGGACATATACTATGTTAGTTCTTGAAATGATTCTGTTGAGGAAGATCATTTTGAACCATAGTACTGGTAGAAACGCATATCATTTTACAAAATGAAAAGACAAGTCTATATCACAAGTTTCGTTCAGTCGTCGCACGTCCATCTGGACACCTAGCACTTCGCATCTTGAACCGTATCTCTGGTTCTTTTTAGGAAGGGTATCAAGTCCGTGCCACCCGTACCAGCAAGCTTGGTTTTCGTGCCTGTTTCTTTCATCTGAGAGCTAGCCGTGGCTAGATTCATTCTGCCCTTAGCCTGCTCAGCTGGATTAGGCTGTCTCGACGCCATGACAATGTATCGAGTGACCATCTGGATATGCGTATCGCGGAAGGACTTGAGCTCATTCACAGCTGCATTGTATGCATCTTTGAGCGGTTGAACCGGCGAGTCCAGTATGAACGAGCGAACATTGGATCGAGCCGACAGATCTTCAAGGAAGCGTCTATGCGGACCAGGCATATAGTGTCGCATTTGCTGCCTTGGTGTTAATACTTATTCCATGTTTGGAGACGGAGACTCCCAAGATATCCTGTGGTGTTCTTACCTGAATGAAACTCGGGCCACTAGTTTGCTTCCCATCCGTTGCAGAGTGTTTGATCCCAAGGAAAATATCAAGTGCCTGGATCAGCGAACTTTGTGCATTGCTCCCACCACTCAACTGGAGCCAGTGCTCTGGTCTTTCCACACCATCACTATCACCAACATCATAGTACACACCGTTGGGTAGACCAGCATGGGCCATATTCTTGCTACCTGCCAGGAACGGCCGAAGCTGGTGGAAGAAGACAGAGGGCTTGTTGTGCTCGTACATCCTTTTCAGAGTCAATGTGAGGTCGCATAGACCGTCGGCAAACCTGCACAAGAGCGCAGTGAGCAGGTCCACGTCGTTGGCCGCAACTGCCTTGAAAGCGTCCCGCATCAGCGAGATGAGCTTGATGCCTTTGGCTTCAACGGCAACGGAGATAACCATGAACCATTCCTCGTCTTTTGTGCCGGTGAAAGAGGTCTGAACGTGGAGGTTGTCCGGGTCTGTGATGTCTGCTTCTGGGTTCGAAGGTATGAAGTTCCATAGTGTGAGGCCAGCGTAGGTGGCACAGGGAGGGAGTTCCAGATGTGCTGATATCTCAAGGAAGGGCTTTGAGATTGAGGGGGGAAGTCTCTGTTGTCTGGATGTCAGGGAATCCTTGAACGAATAGGAAAGGTTGGTGGATGCTTGCATCTTTCGGGATCTCTCCCCCCAGATATAGGCATGAGCAAAATATCCCATAATAACACAAGCGCGCCGCCACTCTGGTTCTGTTTGAAGATTCTCGGTCGTGTAAACGGCCATGTCATCGATTTTACCACGGATCTGGCTCGTTTGAATGAGGTTCGGGAGTTGGCAGGCTATATCCTCCCAAGTCTTGTAATAGGGATTTGAAAGTCTGACCAATGGAAGAGAATCTTGGAGAAAGCCTTGCTCAGCATAATTTTTGAAAAGATCATTCAGATCAGCATCCGTTGATTGCAACATTGTGGATGATGATGGAGCGTTTGGGAAAGGGGAACTGCCTGTATATGAACAAGAACAAAGGGGAACGGCTGGCTTGTTTACAATGCGAGGAGTAATCTTAGTTCTTTATGGCCTCATTATTTTAATATCTCCCATCGGTTTATGTCGGGGCGATTTAGTCAAACAATCTATACAATCCGGAAGCTATCCGGATCTCTATCCGTCTTCCGCTCTGTAGAACCGTGTAGATCCATGCATATACATAGGCTTAGTTGTGTTACTTTGGTTCAACCGAATTAGAAAATGTTGAGAATATCTAGTTTTCCAAGCATCATATAGGGGAGTGCTTTTCAGATTCGAGATTCCGATTGAGACTTGAAGGAACCAATATTGGTTCTGTTGCTAATCAAAGATTTTGCTTTTCTTTCGTGCATAGTAGGCCTGTAGATTTATGCACTATGTATATGATAGTGAAAAATGGATGACCTATGAGAAGATCGATATATTTTATGTGTAGAACAATCCAAAGTGCTTCTATGATGTAAGGCTATAGACACGGATCGGGGAGACGGAAGCGGAACCTGATCCGTGTTACCCATTGTAGCCCTCGAAGGTCCCTTGGTCTCCGATTCGGCTCTTATAAGAAGTAGAAGCCTATTTCCGAACTCTCTATTTTCTTCTTCTCGTACACAATTGTCACCTGCTTGATACTATATTCGAGTCATTACACACCATTTATCAACATGACGGGCACCAAACTGTCTAAGCCAGTCTTTCCTGCGGAGGCAGCAACAAAGGATTATGCTGCGTCTCTGGATGCAGCAGATCCTTTGCGCGAATTCCGCGACCAATTTATCATTCCCTCCAAGGCGAATCTCGCGACGAAGAAGTTGGCAAAGCCAGGTGATACATTCCCGCCGAAACGCGAAATATAGTTTGATTTCTAACGAACTTATACAGGTCTCTCGTCAGAGCCAAGCACATATTTTTGCGGTAACTCATTGGGTATTCAGCCCAAGGCCGTGTCAAAGTACATGGAGGCCCAGTTGGATACGTGGTCGTCCATCGGTGTCTGTGGACACTTTACTGATCTTGAAGACTCACCATTGAAACAATGGCAACTACTGTCTGAACAGGCCGCTGCTTCAATGTCCCGTATTGTCGGGGCTGCTCCTGAAGAGGTCGCAGCCATGGGAACTTTAACGACAAACCTCCACCTGTTGCTTGCAAGCTTCTACAAGCCGACTGAGACCAAGCGGAAGATTCTTATGGATTGGAAGGCATTCCCTAGTGATCATGTGAGTGACACCCTACGAAAGGATTTCCCTAGCATCAAGACCGTAATAATCTGCTGTCTCAATTACCATGACTAATGCGCTTGTAGTATGCAATCGAATCACATATCGCTTGGCACGACCTAGATGCAAAGGAGAATATGGTTCTCATTGGTCCAGATGAGGGACAATACGAAATATCAACAGAGAAAATCCTGTCCTATATTGACGAGCATGCCGAAAGCGCAGCGCTGCTTCTTCTCCCCGGTATCCAATACTATACCGGTCAGTTATTTGATATTCCTACAATTACCAAGTACGCCCAATCAAAGAACCTCGTCGTTGGATGGGACCTAGCACACGCATATGGAAATGTGGAGCTGAAGATGCACGACTGGAATGTCGACTTCGCCGCTTGGTGCACGTACAAGTACGGCAACGCCGGGCCCGGCGCGATGGGTGGTCTTTACGTGCATGAGAGACATGGTCAGGTTGATTATAGTGCTGGACCAGATGCTCCCAAGTTCCGTCACCGCTTGACAGGATGGTATGGTGGAGACCGGTCGGTGAGGTTTAAGATGGACAACAGTTAGTTTCTTCCTCTTCGTGTCACGCGATGCATGATTTATCTAACCACCAGCAGAGTTCAAGCCCATTCCCGGAGCTGGAGGTTTCCAGGTCTCCAACCCCTCAGTGATTGATCTGACCTGTCTATGTGCGGCCTTGTCCGTCTTCGATCAAACCTCCATGGTCGATTTACGCCAAAAGTCTTTGAAGCTGACAGCATATCTGGAGTTCCTGCTTCTGAAGGATACCGATGAGAAGACTCGTCTGTTTGATATTATCACTCCTTCGGATCCCTATGCCCGAGGCGCCCAACTGAGTGTGCTGCTCAAGCCTGGCTTGCTACACAAGGTATCTGAACGCCTACAGGACGCGGGTATCATTTGTGACAAGCGGGAGCCGGGTGTTGTTCGTGTGGCGCCGGTGCCGCTGTACAACACTTTTTCTGAGGTGTTTAACTTTGTCAAGGAGTTCAAGGGCGCTTTGGCCGATTCGTAGTTGATAATTTATGTAACGAAAACAAATGTGGATAGAATGTCGAGTATGATAATGCAGTGTACAATGAATAACATGCTGGGGAACTTTCGGAGCTATTGAATCCTAGGATCAAAGACAAGATAGATATACAAAAGAGTTGAGGGTTGCTATTGCAAGCCCTTAGAAGTTCCCAACGCTTTCCCAGTTATCACCACTGCGTAGGAATTCTTGCCCCTGAGAAAAGAAATTGGCAGCAAGAATAGAGAACTCATCATTAGATAGCGTCAAATGCTGCGGTGAGAGCAAAGTGTTTGCTGGGTAGTCCTGACTAGGAAAGGCCGTATTGGTACCTAGTGATTGAGACTGAGAATTTGGTGTATCTTCTCCCTGGACATTCAAGCGAAACGGCGCAGGCAAAGGTGATGTCTGAGATACTTCGATGCCTGCAGGGGATGGGCCTGCATAAAGCGACTCCCCAAAGAGACGCCGAGCAGAGTCTGTGTCGCTGTTGGATGAGTATTCGAGGATTTCCCAAAATCGCGATAGGTCAATTAGGAGACTTTGGTTTTGTGCGCCTGGATCTGATTGATAGGTTGCCGAGACTGCGTCTTCTAGTCGCTGTAGTCTATGCGCCTGTTGACATGACGAATCAAATGTTAGAATTTTACTCTAACTCAAAAAAGAAACCCGAGAGGGTGGACGTTCATACCAGTCGGGCCATGTGCGGCCATCTTTCCCCTATGGTTTGTACAAACTTGACACACTTGGCGAATCTTTCACGCTTACGTTCTCTGATAGTCAAGTCTTCTGTGAAACTGAGCTGTAGCTCGATTGTAGCGACAACGGCAGCACTGTAGCCTAGTAATGGATCTGATACTAGAAATGACTTCTCTTCAAAGCAGTCGATGAAGTGAATGATCCAGGTTGTATGCGAGGAGATCAAGTCCGAGGTGTGCTGAAGAAAGATCTCCGGAATAGTACTCCGGAAATTGCGAAGACTGAGCGAGAGAAGTAGCGGATGATTGAGTAAACATAGGCTGGTATGGTACATGAATTGATTCAGAAACCATGGGCCCCAGTATTCACGATGAGTCTGTAATTCCTCGAGAGACCGCTCAGCGAGGTTGGCTGGCTTGAACCGGTGGATATATGGCATGCGTGTCTCGAGATCCATTTGTAAAGCGAGAATTTTCGAGTATTCGGAATGAGGAGACCATGGTGGGACATTGCTTGGGCGTCCGTGGAGGCGCACGTATCGTGCTGTCCTTGCAAATACTTCGCTCAACATTACCACATATGCAATTATTCCTTCGTCTTGTATGTCACTTCGCCGTATTTCGACAGTTGGTGGCCCCGGGGAGAGAAAGTGTGCTGGTCGTACCGGGCTTCGGGGATACAGAGGGCCTCCGGCCTGGGGTATGTCTAAGATTGGGAAGTCGCCGCCATGTAGCCGTTTGAGAAGACAAATACTCCAGAAACACCGTCTGCGTTCTTCGCGAACTATTGTGCTGGTTGACGAATGCGGCTCTTGTCCGAGATTGGCACATTGTGCAAGGTTCATTGCTAAGCTGCTGTGGATGCTCGAACGATGTGTATTGCCGTCTGATAGATATTGTTAGCCCAGCTCTAGATATTAGAAAACCGGAATCATACTCGTGAAGTCAACCAAGCTCAAAATGCAGAGACATTGAAGTGTCGAAAGCTCCACTGGCCCTTCTGAGATTCTTTTCATAACAAGGCCCCGAGCAACTTCAGCATAGCCATTTATCAGGCCAGTGGATTCGGCCTTATTTCGATGAGCGTATGAGAAGCGAAAAGCAAGTGCCAATATGGCAAAAGAAGTTCTGCTTCGCGTGTTTGTAGACTGGAGATAAAACTATCCCTGAAGAAAAGAGGCAGAGGCTGAGAATCGCAGTAGAGCAGATATAGCTCTGCAGTGGGGATAATCTCTTCCCACGGTGGTAGAGTAATAGATGAGCTTGGCACTGATAATGTCACAGACGAAACATGAGACTCTGTGGGTATTTGTGGCTCACTCCTCGAGCTGCAGCATGTTTCTAATAGTAAGCAATTGCTTGAATATGTATCATGTATGTTCTCACCCAAGTACATTCAAAACCTCCCCCACTTTGCTTTCAAGGCTTCGCAATCTATCTTCCTAGGATGGAATTAGTATTTGGATAGAATCTGGTGGGGGCTTGCATTCATAGAAAAGAATACTCACCAGAATGTGAGATGTTCGGTATTCTGAATCATTGAGTCTTGGACTCGACTCAGGAAGTGGCCGACGCCTTTCATCGGCATATAAACATTGTTGCCGTAGCCTGGCACACAGAGAACAGACCGGCTGCTCTCCGGGACATTTGGCCTTCTTACGCCTGCGAAATTGGTTGACCGCTATCTTTTAAACAACACAATGGGCGTGGTACCTGCAAGGCTCACAGGCCTGACGAACCCGCTTGGTGGGTCTCTCCGAGTAGGTGAAGTTCTCGTCTTCCATCGTTAGATTCGTAATATTTAATATCGGGATCTATGGCTCTCAATGAGGACAGTCATCCTAGGAGCATGTATCAGGTATTCCAGGACTCTGATTCACATACTATGCCGAGAGATATACTCAGTGCATGCTCTCACTCATAGGGATCTATGGATCTGAACAAGCAAGGCCGTTGTGTGTACCCGGAGACGGAGGTAAGACCGTGAAATTGGCTCCAGGGCTGGTGAAACAGCTGAGTAATCAAGTGCATTGTCGGGAAGCACCCTGGCCCCGGGAGTGCTTGTCAGCCATGGACTCGGCCCGTGGAGGCGCCTGGGGCCTGGAGCTCAGAAGCCTATGATGCTCACCATGTTCAATACGTCCACGTCTTCTAGGCTCACCTCTTGTGAGCTTCTATTGCGGTTAAATTGTCCTGAGCGGATGCCTAACTGACCCTACACGGCCGGAACCACGTGTGAACCACGTCCATCAAAAGATCTATGGGTCCTATGTATCGCACTCTAGGGATCTATTTGCACAATTACCCAGTCTCCAAACCCAACACAATTCAACATACTGCAGATCTTCAAATGAGGGCGCAGATTTGAACCTATAAATGCACGCTTTCCCAAGACGGTGTTGATTGTGATGACAGCTGTATTTGAGACTTTTAGAGTCCTAAATTCTGGTCACAGGAGTATCAAACCATCGGACGTCCGCACTATGTATATGGCTACGAGAGAGGTGAAGATACAATGTTTCATAAAAGAGGATTGTTGGTGTCTTGAGTATGCCCGCCCAGCCTTGGGAACAGGCAAGTCATGCGTCATTCATTTCGACCTTCACCAATTAAGATCTCTTTCCACTGCCATACGAGGATATGACCAATACTGTATTTAATGCGTAGACGTATTATTACGGCCGCTTGGATGCTTAACAGGTCCAATAAGAGCCGAAATAGCCCCGCTTCGGCTTGTTGCGAATCATACCACCACAATATCTACTCTATCAAAAACCAAACATGCGGCTTGGATCCGAACGGATACTTTTGTGGACTCAGGGAAACGATATATAGCAGCATCTCTTGGATTGGCGCTTGAATTGATCATATGTACAGCTCCAAATCTGCGTGGCTGCCAACCCATCTAACCCCTTCCTGGAGTAGAAATACACCATACAAAAAACAACTGATGCCGCAGCTTGAATAACCAACAAAACTCAGAATGGCATCATCTAGCTCTGCAAAGCGAAGTCTCGGGCCCTATGATTTAGATCCAAGTCTTGTGGCCCTATAAATAAGTCAGCATGTGAAGGTGTTAAATCAGTCACCCGTGCTCCTCATCGGGGCTTGAGGTCGCGGGCTGGGTAGAACTAACGAGAACCATGCGGCACATGGCGTAGGTGGTAGCTATTAGTAATTAGTTTTCTATTCTCGACCAGATTCATATCAGAATATAGGTCCACTCACCAGCACCGAGGCCGTAGACCGAGATGAGGTAGGGGTACATGATGTAACCGGAGCGGGAGGTCTGCGAGACAAAGTCTGAAGTCAGTTTGAATGTTCTCTCTGAAGCTCAATTGAAGGCATATGTGCTCCTTCCGGCATGTACTGACCTTCCACCATTGGCGCTTGCCATCGTGGTTCTGGAAGAGACGCTGGTAGTAGGGCACACGGTTCTCACGGAACACGAAGCTAATGAAGGGCAGACAGTCAGTATAAATTGCAGTCAAATGGCGGGATAGCAGGTTCCCGCAGCTGCATCAATCGCAATTGGGTCCCGAAGATCGCAAAAGGAAATTCGATGGTCGCACTCTAACGATCGGGTTTGTGCGGAGGGGATTTATGCAGCGATTCGAAGGGAGCACATACCCAGCCATGCGAGAGCTAGTAGCACGGAACATTTTCGCGGTTAGAAGCGAGGAAGGAGCGGGGATGTGAGGTACGACGTGGGCAAGATGGGGATGCGAAGTTGGTCCGGAATGAGCTGGATCTCGTGTCACGTGCATAGCATCACCTGATCGAATCAGAAGTTGTATCTGGTCATCATCCCAAAAGGGAAAAGCGCCAGAAAAGTGCCCAGACGCGTATCAACTTTTGAATATTCGGCAACGAAGCTTTTGAATTGACGCCGGAACTCGAAGAAGGATGTTTGGGGTCGAGAACTTGCTTTACCGAAATTCATTTCCTAAATACTCATGCGCCCGGCGCTTCTGCGACTGTTGAAGAGGCCGTCCGCCGTCTCGATCCTTAACACACTCACAGCAACACCGGTCGGAATTGAGCAATTGGAGTCCAGGTACAGGTGTCTGCGATGTCATTCACGAAGCACCAAAGAAGAATCACTCGTGGAACCCGAAAATAGCCCTGCCCGACATCAGCGTGAGGATACATGCCGAGGGAAACGGCCATTCAGCTTTCCCGTCTACGACATTGACGCCTCCAATGAACCGAATAACCTGGAACCCACGTCTTTTGTGGAGAATAAAGAGCATCAAAACACGACCAAATGCCCTTTAAAACTTCTATCTCTTCGACCGGAAAAGCTAGAATTCGAATCGGACGTCGGACACCTCAACAACATTGGAACTCGACTAGTGGACAACCCGGAGCATCGAAATAATCTTGATCTGTGGGAGGAACTTCTCCGGTACCGCCAGCGTCACTATGGTGACAATGGCACTCTACACATATGGGAAGGGCTGAGGGTCCGAGTGGATGGTGTATGGCTCCCAGTTTTAGGAGAGCAAGCGGACTTCTTCTGGCAGAGCTTTGTGGACATGGGTCTGAGGCGAGAAATTTTTCTCGGGGAGGTTCTTGACTATGCTGTTCTCATACAGGAGCAAAAAGGCAACCGATGGCCACAGCTGTATGAGCGAGTGGTGGGTGGACTTCTTGAGCAAGGCTTGACAAAACGTGCGGTCGAATGGCACAAAAAGCTTCAAATTTCTCATTTAGCCAGTGCAAATGATGTGCTGAAAATCCTTCCCTCGGCAATTCGTTCTTCGTCTCTTCCGGCTGGCACGGAATTTGCGATGTCGGCTGATCTCGAGCGGTCGTCCTTGTCACCGGGATTGCAGGCATTCCAAGCTGCATGCTCCACCATCCCCAACCATAATTTTTATGGTCCCGTGATTGCAATGCTCATACAGCATGGCCATGGAGAGGCGGCGATCCCAATGCATCATTTCCTTGCTCGACGCCAGGATCATCCACAGAGCCCTGAGGAGATACAACCGTTGCTGGAATACGTTGAGAAATTTGGGCTACGAAAAGAGTTCAATCGGCTCCGTGGCTATGTGAAAAAGCGGTTTGATACCGAAGCCTCGATTGATCAACCTGGCCCAATAGGTACAACCCTGATATCTGAGAAGAAAGTGTCGCAAGACGAAAAACCCTTCAAAGATGACATTGGTGCTAAGCTGTTTGCTACTCGTGCTCTCAATTTCGATATGATTGTTGGTGGATTGAAGATGCTAGGTGTATCAGAGATCGGCCACCGGACGTTACGCGAACTAGCCACGAGAGCTCACGGTAACCAGGATCTTCTGGACAAGCTGAAAATTCTTAAGCAGTCTGGCATTTCCATCGGAAGCACTGTTTTCTCGCGCTTAGTTCAAAAACTTGCAACCCAAAACCGCGACATTCTCCTCTCCGACATCCTTCGCAGCGATCAGCATCCTGACATCCTTGAAGACAAGCGTATGCAGGAGTCCATGCTGGTATCTTACTACATGGCACGGGATTGGCGATTGTACAACATGACCTTAGCGGTGCTAACAGAACTATACCCGGGTGCACCTGACCTCTCCGACATTCATTTCCGAAAGCATATTGCGGCCTGGGAATTGGGCGCGGCATCCAAGGTTGCCGACGAGCTAGCTCTCCGCGGCCGTACTTTGGACGAAACCAGCGTGGATTTCATGGCCGACCAGATTCTCACCCCTCGGCGAATGAATCATCGCCCACCGCCGGGTCAGCGCTTGTCTGCCGTCGACGAAGTAATCTTTATCTTCAAGATTTTAAAGCGCGTGGTTCCTGCGGGAGGGTATGTCAGTGCTGCATTTTGGGTTGAGATGCTCAAGCGTCTCGGTATGGCAGATGCATGGGCAGACTGGGATAAACTCCGAGATTGCTGTCAGTGGCTTGTCCGCCAATACGCCGAAATTCCTGGGCAGAAGCCCAACGTGCCACACGATCCCACCAAGCACACCAACGGCCGCGATCGGCGGATGCTCGATCTGGTCTTCAATCCACAAATGCAAGCGGCCATCGTTTCCTGGGGCTTCACGTTCCGAATACTGGAGACCACCGCATCGAAGTTCGCTATCGCCTCGCCTAACTCCCAAACGGACGAAAAACTCATCCCATGGGTACGGGGGCTGGTTCTCCTTCGAGAGCTAGAGCAATCCGGTCTTCGTCTTGACAAGCGATTGATTTCTCAGGCAGTCCGCCACCGGCTGGCCATGCTCTACAGCCACCATGTTCTGTCAGCGCGACGCATGAACCGCATGCTGCGGCGGCGGAACCCATATCCTTTGCAGCAAGTGTTGAACGATGTGTTCCAGGCCTGGGGCGATCCATATCTCTTTGATGGGATGGAACAGAATTTGGAGCAGCTGGTAAATCCGCCAAGGGCGACCAGGACGAAGCGACGTGCCCCGGGTATACGTTTATCGCTGAAAGGCCTATGAGACTTGCGTCCATGTATAATTAACAAACATGTAAATAATTGATTATAATACCCCATATTATACACGAAGTGTACACGTAAGCCCTGTGAGACGATGATCGTCAAGGATCAATAAAAGTTCATATAATTCGTAAATATCACTCTACCGCTAATGATTATGCCTAAATGACTGGGCTATGTCACAAGTAAATGACCCAATGGCAGTGCAGCCCCGGAGTTGTCGATCCACCGATCTAAGAATAGTTGAGACGGCAACGCGGCCTCGTAAACATTCTATTATTTGTATTTCAATTTCTATTAGGACTTGGATTTTCTCTTTCTCTTCCTTATGTATATTTGATCCTACGGAATATATTGATTACATCTTCCTCATTTGTGTACAGTTATGCGAGTGTTCAACTTTCTGGCGGTATTGCCCATGGTCCTTGCGAACCCTTTGATTCAGAAGCGTACGACAGCATGCAACAACTCTCCTGATCTATGCTCCAAGTCCTATGGAGAAATCACACATCTCGGTGCCCACGACAGTCCTTTCGTGCGTGACGACAGTACCGGCAACTCGATAGCGGCCAACCAGTATGTTCACCTCCAAATTCCAATAATCACATGGCAGACTAACACCCGTTGTCTAGGTACTACGACACTCCAACGCAGCTATCAGCCGGTGTTCGATTGGTAACAGCCCAAGTCCACAAGAGCAATTCACAATGGCGTTTATGTCATTCCAATTGCGACCTGCTCGATGCGGGGCTGCTGAGCGATTGGCTGAAGAAGATCAAGACGTGGCTGGATGAGAATCCAAACGAAGGTGAGTGAGCTCCGCAAGGATGTATGAGAAGAAGAAAACAACAGACTAACAATCTCCAAAATAGTGATCACTATTCTACTAGTCAACTCCGACGACGCCTCAGCCTCCGATCTCAACACCGAATTCACAACAGCCAACATCACCGACTATGCCTACAAGCCAACCACCCCGGGCACTGCCCCAACTACTTGGCCAACCCTACAATCCATGATTGATGACGGCAAGCGACTAGTCGTCTTTGTGGCCTCCCTTGACACCAGTGCCAGCTACCCCTACCTAATGGACGAATGGAGCTACATCTGGGAAAATCCATACGACGTCAGCTCCGCGTCAAACTTCTCATGCTTGCCGGACCGACCGTCGGCATACAAAGACAACAGCGCATCGGCACTAGCAGCGAACCTCCTCCCACTGATGAACCACTTCCTTTACTCGAGCAACCTCGCCATCATAGACGTGGAGTACCCGAACGCCAGCTATGTCGGTACGACAAACGGTGCGTCCGGCGGAACGGGCAACCTCGGTACTTCGGCTACAGAATGCAAGAAGGCGTGGAATGGGCGACAGCCAAGCTATATCATGGTGGACTTCTTCAACCGCGGACCAGCGATTGATACCGTCGATAAGTTGAATAATGTTACCAATCCCGTTGGCCGTAAGTCTGTTTCTACTTCGGCGGATGCGACCAGCGATGCCTCCTCGACGAGTAATGTGCTCAAGGCGCTGGTTGAGCTGGCAGATTCAGCCAGGTCAGGCACGTCGGTGTCTATGGGGAACTGGATTTGGACTGGTGGGAACTGGGGAAATCTTCTTGGTGGAGGAATTTCTTTCTGAGCTGAGTGGTTTGGCCTCGGTCAGTTTTGTCATTTTGTTTTTTTCTGAAGCGTTTTTGGATACTCGAGTCCTGCGGTACGGGGCTGGCCCTGGCTGGACGGTGCATAGGTATTGTCTGCATTCAAGGGCATGGCGTTTTGGATTAGAATTAGGATGGTGGGCTTCAGCATTTCCCCTAAGGAATATTTGGTATAGTCTCTACGAATGGAATGACTTCAAAATTAGCTCGTGGTTAAGTCCTACTCTAGTCTTTTCCCAATATCTGATGCACCTTGGTCACCTTATCCTCGAAGGACTGCACTTTATCAGTTCTGGAGAGAATTAGCATTCAGAACTGGATTGCCCAAACAAAAGACCTCACCTCGATCCAACACGAATATCAGTATGGATCCGAACAATGCCCTTCTGGTGAAGGATGGTATGAGCCTGTCCGATAACCTGATGAACCCGGTCCCAAGATCCTTCTACAAAAGTGAAAGAAGTTAGTCAATATAGAAATGGTGTTACACAGCCTTGTCAGCTCCCAGCTCTCCTTTCCTCCCATGATTTCAGTTCCAGCTGCAGGGACAGAACAGATGATAATAGGGATGGGAGCAGATTCCATATAAGAATCGGAACTACGGGGGTCGGGGTAATCAAATATGTCGTATATTACAGCTTCGAGACATGTATTCTATACGTACCGACAGTTGTGCCTGCGGAATGCATGGTATACTTCAAGCCGCATGTTTCAATCAGCCGCTGGACGTCAGCGACTTGGTCTGCGACGGAGGGCGAAGACGTGCCGATCTGGGCTGTTAGCTAGTGGAAATGAACAAGGGAGTTTTTAGCTTACAGGCACAAGACAGAAATCGGCGACGCAGTGGGCAGGAGTCGGAATGGAAGCCATGGTGAAAGTAAGTGAGATAGATGAAAAACAGAGGTTCGGAGATATTTGGGGAATATAGGGAGTAGATGGAAGATGAGGTGAGGATGTGGTCAGTGTGACACACCCCCATGTCTGCAGGGCTGAAACCTCGACATTTTGGTCTATAGAAGATCAAAAGTACACATTTACAACATACAGATTTTCATATTTACACATCTATACTTTTACAACTTTACCGAACCCTCGAGCCTCCTTATCATCTCACATCTCACATCTGCAGAGTGTCATTTGCTGCATCTCTACAGTTCGAGGCATATTGCTGACCGCCATTGCCCCGATAAATGCGGCTTCAACTTCGCTTCGAATATATTTTTTCTCCCTTCAAAATATTCCAAAATCTAAACTTCTCTATACTCTGTACTCCCGTATGATCGACTCCAGGGGGTACGCCACTCAGTTATTGAGAGTCCCCACAACTAAACCCTGCTTTTTTTTTTATCACCCGGGGGTTCTGTGAATGTCGGGCGTTTCTGTCCGGAATCTCCATCAAAATCTTTCTTTAGTCGCCTCAAGAGCTTTGTTCCTTTTCTCTTTACGTATCTCGGTTGAATTTTCGCGCATACTTTCGTTGAAATTGATTGGATATCCCAATCGTGTTCAAGTGTGATCCCAACTTAACTCGGTTTAGCCCCTCTGGATCGCTTTTAAGCTCTCACCACTGGATGCATATGCATAATCTGCTGAAGAGGCGTGTTTCACATATACTCCCAACCTTCCCATCTGAGATATTCATGCAATACATTATCTGTGGCAGAGACACCTAATTTGTCTACTATCACGTCATGATCACAGATATAATTTGGATTTCCAGCCCAACACCCCTTCCCGTAACGGATGACCAAACCAAATATCCTTGAACTCCCTAGGGGAGTTCGGCTCGTCTATCTCGCTGAGGGAGGAGCGAATGTGATTTATCGATTTGTCGGAAATCCAACACTCGGCAAAAAAGATCCGAAGAGGCCACTATCTCCATCTGCACTCGACGCGGATCATTGCAACCTACCATCCCAATTCAAGGGGAAATTGCTACGACTTCGCAAAGAAACTGCAGCCGACATCTCCTATAAAGAGATTATTCAAAACTTCGACACTATCATCCGACCGTTATTCAACCCCGAAGAACTAGTCGACCAAGCCCTCATCAGACTCCCAGAGGGTCTTCTTTCCAGCTGCAACGAGCAACTCCGAACTGCTGAATTAAACGGGTTACGTCCAAAGAAGCGCCATGGTGGCTATCTCTGCCTACATGAGCCGTTTGGCCTCCTCATCACCGACATGACGACGGCCGGAGATCCCGGCGCTAGCCTCGCCGAGTTGAAACCCAAGTGGCTCATCCAGTCGCCATCGGCACCTGCGACAGCGCATAGGTGTCGGACCTGTGCGCTGAGGGAGATGAAAAACCGCGAGTCACAACTGCGAGGCCTAAAAGTGCAGCGGTCGTTCTGTCCGTTTGATCTGGTGTCGGAGCAGTATGAGAATGTGCTGCGGGCGACGGGGCTGATCAAGGGCTGCAAGGATCGATCGCGGCTAGCTCGGATTTTGTATCGGAACCCCACACTTCAAAGGCTGCAGTCGCTGCAGAAGACTGAAAGGGATGTCGGGCTGCAGGGACCGGCGGCGCAGTCTCGGGAGATGTCGCTTGCGATGACTCTGCGGGACTGTACGATGTTTATCAAGGTGAGTCAAGATACAAACCCGGGATTTGTTGATCCCGTCAAGATGAAGGGGATCATCGTCCGGATCCGAATATTGACCACTCTACAGATCCCTCATGACGAAAAGTCACCAGTCGAAATCCGCCTTGGCGACCTCGATCTGAAGACAGGCGCCGGCGGGAAAGCTGGATACTGGCGAGACCTTGAGACGCAGCTGATTAGCCAGGGCTGGTATCAGGGAAGCGACATCAGCCAAGATTCGGGCGAGTGCGCTTTGCATAGTCCACGAAGACCCTCTCAGTCCCATTTACTGTGAGGCTATATCAAACTTGTTTGGAATGGCGATACAAGGTCTGAATGCATTGGTGTTTTTTTTTTTTTTTATCTTATGGAGGTTTGAACAAAGACAATGGATGCCGTGGGTGTGGTCGGCGTGGCACCTCTGGCTTGTATAATAATTGCTTTTGGTTTTTGTGATTTATTCTGGGGGTCTTTTTGGGCTTTGTTCTTTCACGGGTTGGTTTTGGGCTATGGTGGATTTCTGATATTATGTTTTAATGACTGGACGGTCCTTCGAATATGAAACATTAGGGAAAAAAAAGCACCTTGGAAAGGTGTCATTAATCCCTACCACAAGGTCCCAAGATTATACCTAAGCTCGTACTAGTCTATGAAATAAGTACATGTTCCTTGGATTCCTTCAGGGCTATATTGTAGGCTGATTGAACCTGCCGGTGGATCTGGTACCCTTGTGCTCGGATCTTCTCAAACCAGGAGGCCGAGGATGTCTTCAAATTTCTGAGATGCAGCCTTATTGGCAGCTTCTTTAGCCCGCTGGTCCGCCTCTGTATTCCATTCTCTTGGAATACGCCAGAACTGAATCTGCATTCCTTCCTCGTTTCGCCGTTTTACCTCCCCGAGTAAACATTTCCAAAGGTCCTGGTTTTTGACCGGTGCTCCCACTTTCGTTTTCCAGTTGTTCCGTATCCATCCTTTGACCCATTTCGTTATCCCCTCTACCACATACTCAGAATCAGTCGCAATGACGAGGCACGTACAACCTTCGCCAAGCCAGTATCGAAATCGTAAAGCCGCAATGACAGCGCGCAATTCAGCGCGATTGCTTGTTTGCGGTTGCTGAATACCCGTGGGACCCTGTTTTTCGAGCGGGAAGTCTACATAGCCACAGACTTGAGGGTCCGACGTAGAATTCCTGTAAACGAAAGAACAACCGGCTCTTGGGTTTACACCACCGTTGTCTAAGCACGCGCCATCTGTGTATATCAGGAATTGGTTGTTGTCGTTCCGATGAATGAATCGGTATACAGGTGGACTAGCCATCTCAGATCTGCCGAGTGGGAAAAGCGACTCGGGCGTGTCACTTTGATTTGGGGGTTTGAACTTGGTGGGGAAGGTGCGTTTCGTGCCGACTCTGCGCTCTGGGCCAGCAGCGAACACATTGAGAGGGGGGGCCATCTTGATTGGAATCCTCCGTATCATCATCCGTACAGTCTCTCTGTTCAGAGGTTTCTGCGTCATCTGACGACTCGTCCATGAAGCTGTAGTCCACGGTACAGTAATGACAAATTACAAGTCCGCGTGTGCTGCAGACGAGGCGACCATTGGGAAGCATCACAGGATGATCTGGGCGCCAGGCCATGTTGAATCTAATTTCTGGAGATGTTTTGAAAGAATCGTGATCTTCGGGCTAGCGGTACGGGATGATGGGGATCAACTTGTGAAGTCAACTGGATGTTTCCAGAGGGAAGAGTGCGGGTAAATTAGCCAAGGGCAAACATTCCCCCGCAGCTTCCATAGTTGAGGGTCCACGGGTATTTACATCCTAGCGCCTAAGTCTTATGTACGTTCAAGGGGAATGTGCTTAATTTGGCGGTGTTGGGAATGACTAGATGGAATTTAGGTAGAGTGTTGGACCTTGTCAGGACTCAGGGTCGTTCCTTCCACCTGGGCACGATAGATAAATGAGGTGATTGAGATGGCTTTTCTGGAAGGCGCGACTTCTAGGTGTCCGAGAGGGGAATGCGCTTGGGGTGGCTGGCTTCGTCACAAAGGTAGGGATAGGCGTACTAGATGGGCCTGGAGTTTGGCTGGATGCACCTAGTCCACCAAGTGCACCGAGGCCATTGATGCCGCTGAGGGGGGATTGGGCTGCGACATTGCTGCTCAGAGCTGTCAGGGTGGACAAGGTGAGAAGGATGTTGAAGTGCATTTTGGACTGTGTGGAGGGGTATTGGCGGGCGTTGATTGTGGAAAAATGATCTTCACTGAGGGCCTTTCTTGTGAGAATGAAGGTGCTGGGAAGATATGGGATGTATAAATACGGGTTGGGAGAGAGCAAGGAGGTGGTTGGATTTGTATAAATCACACCGCGGTGGGATGAAAGGCGGGACAACCTGAGATCAGTATCAGCTCTGACAGCAATTCTATATTATCAATTTTGGGGATTGGCTATGATAGGCTGTAGTCTTTGTTTTTGAGCAAAAGAATTCGTATAGTTCGATGCTAGTTGTGCAGGAACAAGCATACATTGAAGATCGCTGGCTATATCCCTAGATTAGCCATGCAGGTTGCTTTTGGTCCCCTGAGCTCCTGCATATTTCAGCACATGAAATTGAATATATGCGAAGTAGATCTTGTTTCAAGGTGTGATTGTTGGTCACGCTGTAGCACTCTATGCCAAAGGTAAGAGATCAGCAATCTGCCCTCTTAGGTGTTTACATTATACACAACATGGGTAAATAAAGAAATATTCAAGTATTCAATCAGCAATAATATCTACAAATAATGCAACAGAGAGAGTACTTGTGGACCTAGAAGAGCCGAGAATGATATCAGCCCACTTCCCGATAAGCGCCGAATCACACTTCATACAACTTCCCCAACATATCCCTGTACAACATACAACATAAAATGGACCCCAAAGTCGGAATCGGCGTCTTCGTTTTCAACGCTGCAGGCAAATTCGTCATTGGCAAGCGAAAGGGGAGTCTTGGCGCCGGTACGTGCATCCACATGCAACAGACAAGCAATTATATGTAACTATGAGCAATGCTTATCATTGATTCCAGGCACATGGGGTTTACCAGGTGGACACCTCGAATTCGGTGAATCCTTCGAGTCATGCGCGGCTCGTGAGACCCTTGAAGAAACAGGTCTGAAGATTCAGGATGTGCGATTCCTCAATGCCACGAATTCAATCATGAAAGCAGAGAATAAGCACTACATTACCATTTTCATGGGAGGAGTCTGTGAGGAGAATGCTGATCCTCTAGTAAGTTGATATTTGCTTTTTGTGTGCTCCGTGATTTTGTGTGAACTTGTTTTCTTTTTCGTGATACCTTTGCATATTCCCCTATTGTGGCTCTTTACCCTGCAGGAACGGAACGAGGATACACAGCTTACTTGTTCCTGTAGATCCTTGAACCTGAGAAGTGTGAAGGATGGGAATGGATCTCATGGGATGAGTTGCGGGTCTTTGGGGAGGAGGAGATGAAGGCAGGTGCTGGGTTTCGGGGGAGAAGGCTTTTCTTGCCTCTTCTGGAATTATTTAGACAGCGACCGGATTTTCGGGTCTAAGATTTCTAGTAGAATCAAGAAATTCACTTATTTTTCGCAGAGGTACAGATGAGACGAGACAGAGAGAAGATCTAGAAAAATACGGTGAAGCGCCAAAAGCGATGAAGCGTTGCTCTTGTATTCAACTCAGATGGAATATGTGTATAGATGTTGATTGTGTTATTCAGGTGTCGAAGGGAACGGATTGTCAAGAGGGTCAAATTGACCAGTTGATGAAGGCAGAGACCTGGCCAGTTCGCTCCTTTTTGCCAGTTTGCTTTTGTCAACCGCTAGCACAGAATCCATAGAGCTCACATACGACAACATCAGACTTTCGAAAACGAATGCTCTCTCCAACTTGAATCTGATACTCGGACACCTTAAAGAAGAGGTATCATAGGTCTTATATTTCATGATTTTCCCCATCGTTTCCGTGACCGCAATGTCAAGTTGATCTCCAAATCAAATCAAGAAACACGCTGGCCAGAATCTTCATCCGCAATGCGCTTGATACTCACTCGAAGGACTATTCTCGAGAAGTACGACCGAATTGCCTCTTGTAACCACAGGGGGAAGGCCCTAAGGGAACCCACCGCCGACGCATGCCTGGGCACGATGCTTTGCCCACTTTTCCGAGTAACGATATGTTTTACTACTGCCTCGGAGACTTCCTTTGGATCCAAAAGTGGTTGCCCGAAATCAGCTTGGTATTTAGTAAAGCCTTCGATCATGGGAGTTCGAACCCAAAGGGGGTGAATGGAACTAGGTGTTGTCAGTATCATTTGTTCTGAAAAAAAGGCTTCCACACACTAACCTTGTCCGTACGTTCGGAGCCTTGTACCAAAATTTCAGCTCTTGTCTAAGGCCTTCCTGGAAAGCAAGAGCGCCAGCCTTTGAACAAGCATAATTCACCATCTCGCCTATAGTAATAAAGCTTGCAACGCTCGCTACTGTAATGACATGCCCACGGTTCATACGGACCATGTACGGAAGAAATTCTTTCAAGATGAGGAAATGAGAGATGATGTTAACATCAAATGTCTGACGCAATTTCTCCTCTGGTGTCTCGAGGATGGTCCCATGGTAGAAAACAGCAGCATTGTTCACGATAACAGTCGGCTCTCCGTGTGACTTTCTAATAGCAGCGCCCGTTTCGGAAAGATGCCTCGTAGAGGTTATATCTGTTTGGTAAAATGTGACGTTGTTTGGAAGCTCAAAAGTCGGCCGGTTGATATCGAGGATCACGACCCGTACGTTCTTGCGAGAGAGATCTTCCATGATTTGTTTGCCGATGCCTCCACTTCCACCAGTCAAGAGGACTAGCTCATTCTCTGGCGTCCATGGGTCGTTGGCTTGGAAGTTATTCAAAATTCTCTCTGAAAGGTTTTTGTGAAAATAGTAAAGGACCAAAGAGCCGATCAAAACACTTAGCGTAGATGTGATGATTGACGCATTCAAAAATTCAAACATGATGTCAATGAAGAAGGTCCGAGGAGAAATAAACACAAATCAAGCCCGGGCAATTTGCAACTTCTTATACCCTCTGATGTGCTGGCCCAGCTATACTGCGGGGCTGTGTACAGGATCAACTGTCATTTTTGCCGAGATTGCTGAGCTTCGAATATGTACTCCGTATGTTGGTAACACTATGTGTAACAGAAGATATGCTACATCGGGGTGATTTTTCTTTAACTTTAAGGTGATTGTGATGAAATAATGACAAAATGAACTAAGAAGACGGTGCGTCTGACTTCTTACCATAAAGGTGGACGGATAGAGGTAAGTAGGAGAGAGGGTGGGAACAACCTTCGTATCTACTTAACCTGCAGTATGAGCCCACTAGGCTATAAACAGGAACTTTGGTTTTTGTTATGGTCTAGTGGTAAAATAGCTGTATTTTACTCCGACAATTCCTAAGATTATGCTGACTGGTATATCTATCTATCTAGTTAACTAGGTATATAAGACCTGAGATTCTAAGGAGATAACCCTAGCATTCAACATATTCCTATCTACGAGATAGATGGAGCTCAGGTATCAGATGAAGCAGACAGACCGAAGATCTTCCAACAAACGATAATTTTGACAGCCCTCCCTTCAAGACAGGACTAGATTCATTGTATGGGAAAGGCCAAATTATTTTCAACCCATCCGGCGAATCTCCCGGGAGTGAACTTAAACCCGACTTTACGCCGGCCGCATACTCGCAATCTGACAGGCCTTGGCAATATATGGAGACAATTTTCCGGGCGAGAGTAAACAAGATACAGCTGTTTATACTGTACGCGTGTTGAGGTAGGCCTACGGCGGGGGGGGACTTCGAGGTGTATGGCTGAGATATATTTTGTCATTGAAGAAATTAAAGCTAGAAGTGTGGGCGACAAAGGAAGTCGATGTCAGCGCTCGATCTCTTAGCAAATGATAGCTTGGAGTCAGCAAAGCATGCTTCTTAGACTTTGCTGGTGTGCTGACTGGACGAGGATATGTATCTACTTCTCCCCCGCTACTTCTCCCCGGTGGGATGTGATAGAAGAATGCAGAGCCATATTCGTAGAGCAGTGCAAACATCCTAAAAACCGGATCAGCATGTGAAATTATCATTGGATAATCAACCTATTGGGAGGAGTCATGTCAACTGACTATGGTGTCGGTTCATAGTGTAGATAACTTGTCATTGTCATAGTGGCAACTATCAGGATGAACATGGTGATGAGAGGTAGGGTTTGAGGGCTAGGTAGTGGTCTTTAAAGCATTTCTTATTCAAGAAGGACTCAATGTATATGCAGCTTGTCAACAAACATGATAGATAGTGGGTATAGGATAAATGTGTAACGGACACTATAATAGCATGAAGATCCACGGGAAGGGGATGCACTTTTGTATAGTATGCGGCACGTATGATCTGGTTTGCACAACAAATCAACACAACGTGCTAGAATCTCGGGGTCAGATTAACTTGATAGAGATCAGCGCCTCAGATACCTGCCAAGCCTAAGACAAGAATTGGAAACACCTTGGCATTTGCTTGACATGCTTGATTTATGCTCAAAACAACGAAGAACGAAGAACCCAATTAACTTGAACCGAAAACCCAGTCGGATACAATGACAGCAATGGTCGCAACCTGTAAAATGTTAGTCTGTACACATCCAAGACCCTGCAAACTCGAATACTTACCAACGAAATATCAACTCCGGGCATTATAATGACGTCCATAGCGGGCCGATATCCCTGCCTTGAGCCTCTCATCAAAGCCAATTTCTCATTATGATGAATGCTCTCCCGAACTTCGGCAACCTTTCTATCTCCATCGACGATATCAAAAAGCGCCAGCGCATTTCCGTGTCGTTCGATATGCAAAGTAAGCGTTTTCTCATCCATGCGTTTCCCCTCAAATGCAGCCGCATTCTCGAATGAAAGATCAAAATTCCCAGAGGAAGTCTTCCCCAATGTCCACCGCGGAGCACCCGTTGCTATTGTTGCAACATCACATCCGGGTAAGCTAACCGACCAACTATTTGTCCATGATAATTTTCGATGCAGCTCGAAGAGCGGCAGACCCGAATGATCGCGAAATTCCCGACATGAGCGGTCAGTGTATTTGCGACCAGTCACCGTGAACTGTGGCGTGCCATCCTCTTCAGTGATTTTATATGCAACGGCAGAGTGGGGATTGCCGAATGGTCTGAGCACGAGGGTGGTCTTTGAGCGTGCTATGTATTGATTGCGGAAGGCGATGTCGCGATTTGGTGATCGGAGGGTCTTGCGGGGCTTGGAGGTGTATGTTTGCGATACCCGGGCGTTGGAATAGTAGGTGTAGGACATGGCTGTTGGTATGAGCTGTCTATTCGTCGCATATGCGCTGGGCCTATGGTGGGGTGACTCTTTATACCTCCAGGGATAGCTTGCATGAGTGTATCTTGCATTACATATCCTTGTTGCGGCATTTATATCATCCAATACTTGATGATCTCACTCAGTGCTGAGCCACACCATGCCAAGGATTATACATGAAGCTATCTCACGACTTTCAGCGGGGTAAGTGAGATAATGTGCTTGTGGCTGCATCCTGTCTCGAATTGTGTGTGATTGATAGTATGAGCTCAGCCACCTCTCAAACCCCTCTCGGAATGCAAATGTCCTTAATATTTAGGGAAATACAACGAATGTCACATCTGCAATCCCAAATATGTACAATATATACAAGAGAAAACAACCTCGGATGCATTGGCCAGTAGTAGACCTCGGGAGCCAATATATGATGAGTCATGCACCCTCCACTTAGGCAGGGGATGAGCACCGTTAGGCAACCGAATATCATCACTCTTCATACAGGTCATTTAGTTACACAATGGGGAGATTCGCTGTCAAATCGCTAGACCATCTGGTCCTAACAGTCCGCAATATTCCCCAGACTATCGCATTCTATACAACCTACCTGGGCATGCGCCACGAGATCTTCACACCAGCTAACCAATCCATTCAGAGGTATGCTCTCTTCCCCCCTCATAATCTTAGTGTTGAAAAAAGCTATTGACTGTAATAGACATGCCCTCATCTTTGGATCTCAGAAGATAAATCTTCACCAATCGGGCAAGGAATTTGAACCCAAGGCCCACGACGTGATGCCAGGAAGTGCCGATTTATGCTTTTTGACAGACGAGAATGTGGAAGAGGTCTTGAAGGTATTTCAAGATGCCAGGATGGAGGTATGACCACCCAGTTTTTTTTGTATATCAGGTTTAAAAAGAGACTGATGTCTACAGGTTCTGGAAGGCGCCAAGGTTGTAGAAAGAACTGGGGCTGTTGGGAAAATTCGCAGCGTATACGTGAGAGATCCCGATGGAAATCTTATTGAGTGAGATCATGTTCCTTGTCTCTTGAAATACCAACTCGACTAATTACTGGCTGCAGAGTGTCGAACTATGTTTGATGAACCAATCTGGGACCAATATTCTCAGATATCATCTTCCACTGTGGAACGTATTCTTTCCTATCATCCTTCTATGAGGAGGTTAGGGCAAGTTTCGATTAGACTCACCTCAAAGATATATATATATATATATATATATGCACGGTACTTGTCCTGCTCCCTTGCCGAAGAAATCAACAATGATATTTACAATACTCTCACCGCACATTGGACGAATCCCATTGTCTCAAGTATCATCTAATTCTTCTTGCGTCTCGGAGGCGTGATATTTACTCGCTTTGGCCTTTCGTGGTGTCTTGGATTGTTTTATTCTGGCAAGTTAATCGATTGCACCCGTCGCCACTCACCCACACTATTCACTATCGCCCATGTAATACAGCGTTGACTTATCATAATTGACGGTGTTGAATATCCATGGATACTACTGGCTAGAAGATAAAATCCCAAAGTCATATCATGCAGTTTATCAGATCTACTTGATCATCTGCTAAGACCTTGGCTAGGTATGTCTTTGGGTCACAATTTGTTTGGGTAAACCAGAAGTCTTGAAAATCAAGTCATTTCCGGAGAGACAAGAAACTTTGTTTACAAATAACAGAGTGTCAGACCTTTTTGAATCGATACAGGCAACTGTATCATATCTTAGCCTTCATCGTTGATCCAGTTTTCATCAAACGAGCAGCTATCAGCACCAACGCGCCCAGAAGGAAGGTCAAACCACCCCAGATCTGCGCTCCAATATAGCCGTCGGCCCTAGCAATGAGAGCTCCGCCAAGGGGTGGACCAGTCAGGCAGGCAAAGCTCACTACCGTGAAGCCCATGCCAATGCGGACTCCGGTTTTGCTTAGATCGGGTGTAAGACTAGAGAGAGTCGATGGCCAGAGACCCTGCACACCATTGGAAAATATGCCATAGAGTACAGCAAAGACGTACAAGCCTGCGGTCGAATGAACAGCAGTCCAGCAAAACATCATCAAGCTAGCACCTAGGGTCAGTGGAATGATGGTGTTGAGGGGTCCAAACTTGGAATCGGCCAAATAGGCAGGGATGAGGCGACCGACGATTCCTGCTCCATTGGTAACAATGATCAAATTGGTCGACTCCGAGTAGCTTAGACCGAGAACACTGCGGCCAAATGCACCAATGTAGTAGAAGGCGAAATATAACCCCCAGAAATTCAGGAACATGCCTAGGCAGAAAAGTACGTAGGTCGGTTCCCTGAACGCTGCCCATTCGATGAAAGGACCAGCTCTACGTGGGGGTAGTCGAGTCTGTAACAGAAGCATGACAGGGATACTCGTAGCGAACATGACAAATCCTAACACCCTAACCGTCCAACCAAATCCGATTGTCGGCATGAGAGCCTTCACCAAGCCGGGAAGCAGCATACCTCCAGTCCCACTTCCAACCAGGCAGAACGCCAAGGCAAACACTCTCCGTTCGGAGAAATAGGTAGCGACCAGTCCCATCACAGGGCAGAACTGCAGACCACTACCTAGGCCTGTGCATATTCCCTGAGCGAGAAAGAGGTGCCAATAGCGCGTCGATAGCGAAGTCATGAACACTCCGAGAAGCTGCAAGAGGATCCCTGCATAAAAGACTGGGCGAAAGAAGCCCGCATCCAGGGCCCGGCCGGAGAACGTCCCGATAAAGAAAATGAGGAAAATCTGGACGGATCCAACCCACGATATCGCGGATGGTGAAACGCCAAGCGTCGATTGGTAGTAGGCCTGGAACACGCCAAAGCTGGCAATGTACCCCCAAGTGTTGAACGCCACGAGGTGGCCCATCATAGCTTGCGTCCATGCTTTTGCTCCTCCGTCGGGCGGGGGTTCAATGAGGAAAGGCTGTCGGTTGTGTGATGACTCGAGATCTTCATTCTTCTCTGTCATGGTGGTTTGACGTGCAATGCGACATGAACCATCCGATGTGGGAACAAGGTTAATTTGGGATGATTGAGACTCTATGTGTTCCACTGGAGTGTTTGGGGGAAATGCACCCTTGAAATGACTCAAAAGTGTCACATCTATAAGAAGCAATTGCGACAACCCGTTTTACCCGCTATACCCGCTATACCCACGCTTCTTTTTAAAAGCCAGAAGCATACTGATAATTTCAGTGAGATTTCAAGGTCCGATAATTTAGACATTTAGGCATTTCAAGATCCTTTCAGATCTCCATTTTACATGCCAAGCAGCTGCGGTATTTTATTTACCCAGTCCCACTGTCTAGCACTCCCTTTGGTACTTTCTTCGACTCATATGCCTGGCCTTGCATTTGAACATCTCCCCGGTGTGGCGAGTGGTGAGCTGGGCCCGACAGAATAGATTGACATTGAAGTATTCAGATCCGTCAGCCTCGAGACTTTTCAGACGAAATTGACAGCATTCTTGACCATCTCAATTGAGCAGTGCAATTGATTGAATTGAATGGGACTCGAGTACTTCTCGCAGTGTTATTAACGTTGCTGTCTATAATCATTTCCCGAAAGTGATTATCGATCATTTCATTACAGAGATTCTTGTGAAACTCTTGCGTAAGTCATTAAGTTGGTGGTTATTGATCACCATCGGCAAACTAATGACTACAAAAGAAGGGCCTTCAGCGCATCATTTTATCTACCTGCTATGATTTCCTTGTAGTTGCTATGTTTAAACTGCCCATGTGTCGTAGACACCAGCTTATGTTATGGGCCTGTTGTCTCTCCATCGACTCAAATTCTGCTACATTGACTTGGCTTCGCGGTTATATCTTGATCGTTCACTGGACAATCCAGAGCAAACGTCTTCTGCGACTTTCAATATTGTACAATGTCAACATCTTTTGGATATACTCTAGCCTGACTGTACTATGTGCTAGAGTCACAAAACTAAAGAATTACAAAAGCTCACCTTTCTTCCTGAACTATTAGCGAATATCAAATATTCTCCACAAAAGGCTGGTGGGTTTCACTCCGCCTATTATTTCATGCGGAATGTAAATCTCAATATCAATGACGACATCGTGGATCAGTCCTGGACAGATAGGGCCACTGCCCTCTCGCGTAAACAAATGGTCCTTATAAAGTATCTGAAGGGATGAATCACAATCCCAGCAACTTTCAGTGAGATGTGCAAATCTCGCCGAATCCCAAGAAATGCCTCTGCTTTACCCAAGTCGTCTTTAGGATATCTCCTTTTATATGGGACGGTTTAAAAGATGAAATTTCGACGATGATGCGAATGATTATAATCGGATCTTATTTGCTCACCTACACGCAGTTTTGGGGAACCAATTGTCTTCATATCAATATCAAACTATCAAACACAATTTAGGATAATTGTTCCGTGATGGTTCCCGTTCCTGAGGACCAAATAGCTCAGGTACGCGCACTTCTATTTTGTCAATTCCTCACATCTTTTTTCAGTCTTTTTTTTTTTCCAAAAAATTGAGAAAAAGAAAAAAGTACAAAATAAAAAGGCACACGATGATGATACTTCTATCTGTGACATACTTTTCATGGTGAAATTTGATACCTTTATGTTTCAAGACGGGTCTCTGAGTGTGCCAATCTTACCTTGTGTTTTGCAATCTCTACATCTTATGTGTCCATGCTAACATAAGTGAAGTCTCTAGTCACCTAGAAAATAAGACCTGGTGCTTTTGATTGAATTGTAATATCTGGGACGATATTGAACTAGGAATTTAGCCCAAATTCAGCCCTATCTTTGATACCTATAGGCTATGTGTAGGTAGAAAGCTTCAAATACCCAAGAGTTTAAATTTGTGCCATAATGCGTTAATAATTTAATAATTGTTGAAACTGATTGAACTGCTGATCAATTACTATGTAGTTATTTCCGCAATTCCGCGATTACATCGGCCAAAACTGCCCCTAGCTACCGGTGGACAGATTATCAATCGAGTGATAAGCAAGCCCTGGGAAGGCTTCAGGTCAGCATATATAATCGACTGATCCCCACAAAAGCTACTTATCCAACTCATCGAAGCTCCCACAATGACAACCCGCCTGCAATCCCCCCTATACACCATCACCCGCGCACTATCCAGAACCAATTCAAAGCATCTGGTATCCACCTATCAAACCCATCTATATCGGACCCAAACACAGAGACAAAAAGCCCGCTCATTCTCCGCAACCTCATCGCCAAAAATGTCCGCGCTCATAGATCTAGCCAAGAACAGGCGCACGATTTACAAGCTCGGCAAGAAAAGTCCAGTCCCAGACTCCAAAATCGAGGAACTTGTGAATGCCGCCATTCTGCACGTCCCCAGTGCATTCAATACCCAATCTACACGCCTAGTCGTGCTCCTACATGACCAGCATGATAGACTGTGGGATATCGCCATTGAGGCGTTCGAAGGTCTTGTTAAGGGGGGTAAAATTTCGCAAGAGATGTGGGAGAAGCAGACTTTGCCCAAGTTGCTTGGTTTTAAGGGAGCGTATGGAACGGTATGTTATTTGCTTTTACCTTTTGGTTTGGGGTTCCTTTTGGGACTCGAGATATTCAGTCTTTTTCATGGCTAATCAATACTCAGGTCCTGTTCTACGAAGACCCAGCACACATCAAGCCCATGCAGGAGAAATTTGCTACATACAAGGATAATTTCCTACCGTGGGCAGACCACTCCAATGCTATGCATCAGTACTTCCGTATGTCCAATTTATATGTCTTTTATCCTTTTTGTGTGTCGCTTTGGTAGATCTAACGGTTACCAGTCTGGACGGGCCTTGAGGCGCTCGGCTTCGGTGCAAACTTGCAGCACTATAGCCCACTCATTGACGGCAGTGTTGCCAAACAGTGGAATCTACCCAGTGAATGGCGAAATGTTGCTCAATTGGTCTTTGGGAGTCCTGAAGATGATGCTGGGGAGAAGGCGCAAAAGCCTGTTGAGGAGAGGGTCAAAATCTTCGGGAAGCTGTAGGGTTAGACATATACTATGACATATGCCTTAATAATTAAAGTAGCCTGCCCAGGCGGTTCTACTAGCGTTTCCAAGTGTCATAAATGAAGTTTTGATATTGAGTATAACTATATATACCTCTATATGAAAGTAGACGGCAGCTTTTACGGCCTCATGATATCTTACGGGTCTTTCCAGTGGTCTTTTCAGGTATCTCTCTCAGAAATCTTCAAGATAGTTTTCGCGCTTTCTATAGGTAGACAGTAGAAAAGGGCGAAAAAAGCATACCTTGTGTAAGAGGCCTTTCTACAAATAACCTGTGGCTTTTAGACAGCTTATAAGTATCAAAAATAAAGCTTTTAATCTCCTCACAATGAGAGATATCATCATTTATAGGTATAGAGGCCAAAAGATTTATTTTCAACAGTTTTGACACTTAAAAAACCAAAGAATTGATTATTTACAACATAGTATATAGACCGGTTTAGAGGCTACAAATTAAGACACTCAGACACCAAACCTTCCTCCCCAAAGGGGCTTGAAGCCGGACTACTACAGCTTCGTATTCCGTACGCAGTCGGTTATGTGGGAGGACTCACACGTTACGTAATTCCGAATCTCTGGGCACTTGGGCTAGGCAGGGCTCGCTGTTATCCACCTTCGTCTCTTGCTCTCCCCTTCTGCAAAGTGAGATCATTTATTTTTATTCACATCGCTCGCCAATGCCTCGGCCTAAAGTCGATCCAAGGCTTCGCAAGCGAACCGCCAAGGCGTGTGTCTACTGTCGCATGACAAAACAGAAATGCGATGGACTGGCCCCCTGCGAACAGTGTATAAAACGCAATCGCTCGACAAGTTGCGCTTACTCGCCGCATGAGCAGTCATTCGGTCGTCGTCGTAGCCGCCGGGAGTGTATGCCCCGTACTCCTGACGCTGTACCACAAGATATTAGGGAAACGGAAGTATCAGCTGTGGCACCAGGTTCCCTACCGCCGCCACATGGGACAGAACGATGTACCCAGTCCTACGGCGAAAGTGCATCTACGAATGAACCAGAGGTTATTGTACCTGGATTATCTCATGTCCTATATGACAATAAAGGGAGAGTTGGTAGGTACATTTGTTCTTCTGTCTCTCAATATAACTTTTTTTTGTATTTAAGCAAAGCCGATTCAAAACTGATAACGGTGGTGATCGCGTAGTATACCTCGGGAATTGTGCAGCCCTGTCTTTTCTTCAAAATATCCAACAGTTGATCGAGACTGAGACCGGATGCGCTTCTATTGCAGCAGATGTCGCGGGTCTCTCGGTGATTGAGGAGTTGCCGCCTCTTCCACCTGATGACTTGATGGCGTACAACTCCGAGAATACGGAAGAATTGGAACGTCTTATTCGGGTGTATTTTATATCTGTACAATTCTTCTTTGATCACCAATATTGGGCGGATGAAGACTAGCTGACCATTAACTAGACATGTGGTATAGTCGATCTTTTCGACAGATCTTATATCGAAAGTCTATTACATCGCTGGCTTAACGGCCTCATTCCGATAAAGAGTGGTTCTGCAGCGGTTCTATATTTAGTCATAGCCTGTGGGGCACAGATTAGCTCCTCGAATATGCTTGACAACCTTCGAGCACAATCTTTCTATCACCATGGTCGGCAGATAGCTTTACTTGAGCTGACCAACTATCCCAGTGTCGAGACTGTGCAAGCATTCGTTTTAATCAGTATCTTCATGTTAGGATGCTCTAGGCGAAATGGTGCTTCCTTGAACCTAGGAATTGCCATTGGTGCTGCGAAATCTCTCGGATACCACCAGTCCAGTGCAAATCTACCCTACGACGATAATGAGCGCCGGCAGAGGCAAGTGAATCTTTCCCCGGAGAACTATATGATACCGAGAATTAACATTCCGAGGACGTGCAGAGCGCAGATATGGAAAACCTTGCGTTATCATGATTTGTTTTTTTCTGCAATGATGGGCCGAAGCTCCTCCACTTCTGATACTAGTTTTAACATTGATGAAGCACCATCTGCTACCCCCATTGAGGATGAATATGATCAGAGCCTATCTATGACAGAGTCAGCGCGTGCATTCCTCGTCATGGAACATATAATTAACGATGTGTACACGAAACGAACGGTGTCATTAGGCTTGCTGCAGTCCCTTGCCCAGGAGTTACAGGAAAAGTGCTCTGTGCTGCCCAAGTCGTTACGCAAATCTTCCGGGCCTACGGTTCATGGCAGGTTGTGTCAATCAATCCAACAACGCAATCTTCGAAATGCGCACGTCACTTGTTCGTACTACTTCGCCATGATGCTACTCACCAGACCATTCTTGATTACTATCTTGAGGGCGAAGACACCCTCGGAATCTGCGAGAAACCCACGCGCAAGAGGCGCCAACAACGGCGGTGATAATGATATATCCTCGGAAATCGCCCATGGTGCGACAACTTGTATTGATTCGGCTACATACACTATACAGCTTTTGCACGAATTGCTCACAGCCAACATGCTGTTCAACAACATGCCATTTTTTATGTCAGTCACAAAGCGACCCCCCTCTCCACCCCCAAATCTATGTAGATCCCTTGCCCTAAACCTTGTGTCATAAGGAAATTTATCATCATTGACATGGCTTTAGTGCGTGGGTTTTCGTCTCTGTGCTCGTCTTGAGCTCGGCCTATTTTGGCCAATTAGATCCCCAGAGATCGATAACACGAACACTACGCCAAGCCGATGACATCCTGGCTTGCTTTGCAGTAAACAGCCCGCAAGCCAGGCGGTATCGCCTTATTTTGAAGAAACTTTCAAAAGCCGCAGAGTGCCAGAACCAGACAAAGTTGCAGTCTCGTGTTCTTTATATGCCACGATTATTCCACTTGGACTCTGACGGCTCTGGAGGTGGTCCACTCGCCGCAGGTTCCATTTCCCCCAAACTTACAGAACAAAACACCGGCAGATATGGCTGCACTTTGGAAGGGGAAGCAGCAGATGGTGGAGTTACAGATCAGCCTAAAACATGTAACTGTTGTGGGATTGATCCAGGCAGAGGAGTACCATTCCCGCAATCTGTCGTCCGTTCCGAAGATATCTTGAATGCTCCTGGCTCGAACTTGGGCGGACTCCCAATGACAACTACGAATGAATCGATCGGGCATGGATCCCTGTTCCAGCTTGAAGATGATGCATCCATTTGGGACTTCACCTGGGCCGGCTCACTTTAGTCCAGCATATTTTACACCGACCTTGTAGAGAATAGAAGAAACAGGTTACAGCAATGCCCTTGTAATCTTGTCACGAGCCTGTAAGTCCGCTTTATGGCCTTCCCTGGCTTGTAACAGCTCATCATCTTGGATTTTTATAAAGATAATTAGAATGCTATACATTCCTTGGTGCTTTACATACTGAGTGGCTGTGGCATCCCCGGCTTAGCCTCATAGCTAATTCTTCCCGCGGGCAAGAAGAACAAGGCTACTAGTGCACCACCCCTCACTTCTGGATAGTGATGCGTGCCAGGGCCGGGGCTAGTCCAGCCCTCGCCTTGCCAGCCGCTCATTCCCTTCAGCTCGGCGTTGGGGCTGAGCTGGACAACGCAGTTGATCTCGCCATAGGGATGAGCGTGATACTGACCACGATATTCATCGACGCTTTCCATGTAAACGGTCGTGATGCTAAAGTAGCGATTCTCGGGGCCCGGCCAAGAGACCTTGGAACGCCGGTACTTGGGACCGTCTAGCTCATCGGTCGCTACCCAACCCTCATTGTTGGCAAGCCCTGCCTTGATGAGCTCGCAGAACCCGTCGTAATAACGGTTGCCCCGGCCATATTCAGCATTCAAGCGGGCTTCAAGGTCCTTTCCAGGGGTTCTGAGCAAGCAATGTCAGAGGGAGACACGAGAAATCAGGATAACGAAAGAGGGGCGCGCTGCTCACAAATTTTCGACCTCAGCGAAAAACTCGCCCGCAAGTTCGACGAGACGTTGCTGATTGGGGTGGACTGGCTTGTTTTGGATATTGATAGACATTTTGGAGATATATTTAAAAGCATGTATAGGGAATGGGAAAAGCGATGCGTAAGAAACACCAGACTAATCAAGCGCTGTAGCGAAGTAACTCGGACGTAGATGGGAAGACTTATTATTCAACGAGATGAAATGAGAGCCCGAAACAAATAAAACCACTCAGCAATCTTTGCATCATCAATATGGGGCTGTTATTGGTGCAAAGTTGACTATACAGGGCAGCATCCGGTGCAGCATCCGGTGCAGAACCCGATGTACCATGTCCGAATATGTTCACTAGCATAGTATGCTTCAACGACACCAGCTAAAGCACGATGGACTCGAACGTGTTGCCTCCTAATTGGTCTGACTGGCATGTCCTTTACTGTCCTTCCACTCTTTCGCTTTCTTCCTCTTATCCGATGTACGAACACATCCGATCACGCATAGGAACATTCATCAGTTTCCGCCACGCCAATAGTTTTGCTCATGCTTGTGTGTCTACTGTATGGAGTACAGATAGAGAGAAAGTAGTAGTATAAAGCGACCGACGGCCGACTTGACCTCCCACGATATCACTGTACCCTCTCAGAGCATTTTCTTATAAGCCACCCATCCCATATCACTGTCAACTACACTCTTCTCCTTCCTATCTTATGAGGTACGGCCTTTCTTCTTCGTTCTGTAGTACATTAATCACCACGGCAAAATGTGGTTATCTTTCGCTGCGCCTCCCCTCGCCACCATCCCAACAGCGTGTCTGGCTCTTCTTCTCGTCTACTATATCAGCACGTACTTGTTCAAGAATAAAGACTTGTCGGATATTCCTGCGGCCTCGCCATGGGCTGCTTTGACGAGACTCTGGCTTCTACGCGAAGCGAGATTCGGTCGACGCTATCTCACCATCGACAAGGCGCACCAGAAGCATGGTGATATGGTCCGTATCCAGCCCAACCATGTCTCCATCGCCAATGTCGAGGCCATCAATGCCATCTATGGTCATGGGAATGGATTTCTCAAGAGGCAAGAGGTCCACTGTCGCATCGACTGTCTGTCCTGGAGCTCCACGGTTAACATCCACTCAGTGACTTCTACGACGCCTTCGTCGCCGTTTCGCGCGGTCTCTTCAGCACCCGCAATCGCGCTGATCACACCCGCAAGCGCAAGATTGTCTCGCACACATTCGCCGCCAAGAGCGTCATGCAGTTCGAGCAGTACATGCACCAGAACCTGAACGAGCTCCTACGCCAGTGGGATCTCATATGTGAGAGAGCCCCTGCAAACACCAAGTTTGCCCGCTTTGATTGTCTCCCGTGGTTTGCCTATCTCGCCTTCGACACTATCGGAGACCTTGCCTTCGGCGCCCCGTTTGGCATGTTGAGGAATGGCCAAGACATGGTCGAATACATGGACTATCCTGGCGGTCCCTCCAAATACATGCGCGCCATCGAGGCACTGAGTAGGCGCGGCGAGGCCTTTGCTGTGCTGGGATGTCTGCCATTTTTGAAGACCATCAGCCATCTCCTGCCCGACCCGTTCCTGCGACATGGCGTCCGCTCGGGGGAACAGGTTGCGGGGATCGCTATAGCGCGCGTCAACGAGCGTCTTGTGTCAACAGCAACAAATGACAACAAGCGAGTGGATATATTAGCACGCTTAATGGAGGGCAAAGACATGAATGGCAAACCCTTAGGCCGAGAGGAACTCACCGCGGAGGCATTGACCCAGCTCATTGCCGGCAGTGATACTACCTCAAATACTCTTACGGGGTGCGCTCTCCCATCTCTTCTCTTGCATCGAGTCTAATCAAGAAAATCTAATATTCGTAGTGTCTTCTATTGGCTTCTGAAAACCCCGGGTGTTCTGCAAAAGCTCCAGGCCGAGCTCGACGCCGTTATCCCCTCAACAACTGACGAGATTTCTTTCCAATCTGTCAAGGACCTCCCATAGTACGACCGTCTTCTCTCTCGATGTGCGAGCAATAAAACAAACTAACGTCATTGCACAGTCTTAAGTCCTGCTTGAATGAAGGCATGCGTATCCACTCCACATCAGCCCTCGGTCTCCCGCGAGTTGTCCCTCTTGATGGTCTGGCCGTGGATATTTGCGGTCACAAATTCGAACCTGGTACCGTTTTGTCGGTACCTAACTACACGATCCATCGCCTCGCGAGCATCTGGGGTAATGACAGCAACCAATACCGACCTGAGCGCTGGGAGAGTTTAACAGCGGATCAAAAGAAGGCGTTTGTACCGTTTGGTCACGGACCGCGGTCCTGTGTGGGACGCAATGTTGCGGAGATGGAGATGACGCTCGCGCTGGCGAGCCTAGTTCGGCGCTTCGACTTCGAGCTCTACCAGGATAATTTTGACACGTGGGAGGGATTCTTGCGGAAGGGGTTTCACTGCGAGATTGGAATTCGTAGGAGAACGACATGAAATTTGGGGGCAGATGCAGGAAATCAAGGAGTGCAGGGTATAGTTATACATCGTACATAGAGTAGCCGAGTGTGGTTTGGTGTTCATGCAAATTGAACATTATAGGAAGAAAGGAGCTCAAATCACAAGCAGAAGAATTCGTTAAGCTAGAGTCAAACACACACATATTTCACATATTTATAGCCCTCAGGACCTCCAGCTCTCCAACTATCTCTTCCACTCGTAGGCCACTTACATTCTATTTTATCGACCTAGACCACGTATCTTCATATAAAAATCGGTTGATAGCTGTGTGTTTACAAGGTATTAGTCCAAGTAGTACGTTTCAAACGGATGAATGTATGGATTAAACTTATTGGGCCTGTCACCTATATATGTGTAGACTAGTAGACTTGTACTCCATAGACTTGCTTATTGCTCGGTTCTTAACCCGGAGGGTACGTTGGCAATCGGGTAGCGCATTGGGCCGGGTAGCTTGGCACGTCTACATACCCCCTGGGAGGTTTAATGCAATAAAACAACCCCTCCCTCTGCTATCATCATCCCTGCCAAGCAGCCCGAAGCAGAGACCTCAAGGGTGTGAACTCAATGCAGCAGACTGGCGAGGCAGACCTTGTGCCGGACAGCCCCCTTAGTGGCGGGTCGCCTGCTGGAACTTCTCAAGTCGTAGGTGAATCCAAACCAATCAAGAGGGACTACCAATCAAACCCCATTCCTGATTCCGTGTCTAACGTTCCGCTGGACAGGCCAGGAGTTCTCGACATGGCAACTCGCGCTCTAGAACCCATCGACCTGGATGGTATGATTTCTCGGCTCCTAGACACGTTATCGATCAGAGCTACCAAGACAGTGTGTCTAGAGAATTCCGAGATCACCACCATCTGCGAATCAGCTCGTGGGCTCTTTCTTTCTGAGCCAGTTCTATTAGAGTTGCCTGCCCCCATGAAGATCGTGGGTGATATTCATGGTCAATACATCGATCTGATCCGAGTCTTTGAAATGTGCGGATTTCCACCGGAATCAAAGTATCTTTTCCTCGGAAACTATATAGGCCACGGGAAGCAGATGCTAGAAACTATTCTCCTGCTGCTATGCTATAAGCTCAAGTACCCGAAGAACGTCTTCCTGCTTCGCGGCAACCACGAGTGTGCCAGTGTTAGTAGAATAGGAAGCCTCTACGATGAGTGCAAGTGGCGTTGCAATGTTAAGATGTGGAAACATTTCGTCGACACTTTCAACTGCCTTCCTATAGCAGCGATCATATCCGACAAGATATTCTGCGTTCACGGTGGACTGTCTCCTAGTTTGTTACATATGGACGATATTCGCGGTATCGCTCGACCTACTGATATATCTGATCATGGGCTATTGACCGATCTTCTATGGAGTGATCCGATTGGAGTCAACACGGAAGAAGACTGGGTGCCTAATGAACGTGGCGTGAGCTTCTGCTTTGGTAAAAAGGTCATTAAAGACTTTTTGGACCGACACGGTTTTGATCTGGTGTGCCGGTCCCATATGGTGGTCAATAATGGATATGAATTCTCTGAGGACCGGACCCTAGTAACAATTTTCTCAGCTCCGAATGTGAATTGACTTCCTAACTTGCCAAGCAATCGCTAATGTTCTCTAGTATTGCGGCGAGTTTGACAATTCGGGCGCTATCATGTCCATCTCGAAGAAGCTCCTCTATAGTTTCGAACTGTTGAAGCCCCTGGATTGGGCTGCGTTAAAGAAATACATAGGTGAAAGGCAACTTAAGCGATACAATATGCGAGAGAGATCTGTAAGTCTTGTGTGTTCTTGTCTCGTGTTAAGTGACCGTGTGCAACAATGCTGGGAGTCCTAGCATCTACCCTTCAGCTACTGACGAATGACATTAGACCGAGGTATCTTCAGCCCAATCATGTTAAATGGGATATATTGGGATATCTGTATTCCTTTTCGTCAGCCATGTCATGCAGGAATTTCCCTGGCGCGATTGCTAGCACCCTGTATTGATCAGCCGGTATCTATATGATGAGTAGACCAGGTCGATAACCTAGAACTACATTGGAGAGCTGCCTTTGTCTGCAGAACGGCTTTGTGAAAGATAACGTAGAATGTCAGCAAACCTAGGGGTTCTATACACAGACAATCCTCGACCCGAGCACGAAGACCAAAAAGAGCAACCACCCTAGATCAGCCAGAAGACCAAACACACCTCCCACCAATACTAGCAATCTACCTCCTATCACGATACCAATACTCAGACGAATCACCAAGACACTCGCCAACAGTGACAGCTATAAGCGGAATCCGTTAGCCATAAACCATAACCACAGACAAACACACAAGAAAAACCTACCATTTAACCCCCTCCTCTCAATGTCAGCAAGCATATTATCCGCTAACATCCCGACCGTATACTGATGCGAATCATGCGCCAACACAATCGTGCCACCAGCATCAACCTCCCTCGAGAACTTCTCGAAGCTAATCCAATTCGTGTCAGGATTATCATTCTCGTAGTCCTTCGTATCAACACTAGCCCCAATAACATGGTATCCAAGATCGGCCATGGCACCGAGCACGACGGGGGTATGTCTGAGGAACGGAGGGCGCATGTATGTCGGCCAGAAGCCTAGGATGCGCACGAAGGCTTCTTCAAGAATCGTCATTTGATGCACGATTTCTTCGTATGGAAGAGTGTCGAGAGAGGGGTGGTTCCACCTGGATGGCTATTTGATTAGTGTGTGTTGGTGCTTGGACTGGCTGGGCTGGGCTGGGGAAGAGAATGCGGGTGGGTGGTATCAACGAACGTATGAGATCCCACTTGGTGTCCTTCCGCCAATGTACGCTTCACTATCTCGGGGGCGGCATCGATGCTTCCTCTGTTATGGCCATTGAGAAAGAAGGTTGCTTTTACGCTATGTTGAGCGAGAGTATCTAGCAGCTGGGATGTATAGATGTACGGGCCATCGTCAAAAGTGAGGGCGATAGTGCCAGGAATGGTACAGTGGGTGATTATGGCTCCGAGGGGCAAGCTGGAGGCGTTGGGCTGGAGGAGTCCGGTGGTAGTATTGATCTTGGTACTGTTCCTCGTGGGAGAGGCGTGGGATAGGGTTGTGGTTGAAAGAAGGAATGGGATTGAGAGAGCAATGAAATGCATTACGCTTGAATGAATGAAATAGGATAGAGTCCACGGGTATGTAATGATAATTAGAATGATTGTTGGTGCTGAATTGGAGTGAGATGAGGTTAAGAGATTCCAAGGTTGCCCAGGTATGAGGCGACAGGGCTACCTGGGAATCTACTTCGCTGCTTCCTGGGATTTGAATCAAACACAGAGTTCAATGATCTGAACATAAAATCGGCATTGAATATAGCTGAATGTTTGAAGATTGCATCCCCAGGCTCGGGGTAGATATTTTATCTTCCACATATAAATATGAATACATCAAATTAAAAAGGTATCAAAAGGGGTAGGATAAGACATTCAACGCGCATCTTTCCCACAGAAAAGAGCGAGAAGACAGAATAAGAATCCTCCAGAACAAAGACACCCGTCTAACCCTTCCGGGTGCTCTTCTTCGCCAGTCGTCTCTGTCCCTTCTGAGCCTCACGATCAAGGAACTTGCGCTGCTCGTCGGCACTCAATCCACGCAGAATGCGCTCACGCTCTTCCTTCTTGATCTTCTCGGCGGCAATGCGGCGCTCCTCGGCCTTCTCTTCCTCCTCGACACGGCGCAGCTTCTTGATCTCTTCTTCGCGAACGCTGCGAACCTTGCGCATGACTTCGCCACGGAAGTGGGCTGAGGCGACCAGCTTGTCGGATAAGAGTAGGAACTGGTTGAACAAAGGAAGAGTGGAGGCGTAGCCAGACGCGGAGGAGGCGAGGTTAGCAGCGAGCTGAATGCGCTTCTTAGGGATAGTCTCGTCAATCCTAGCGACACACGCATTCGTTAGCAACACATCTGGTCAAAGTCTCGAACTGAGGCTACTTACTTGGTGGGTCTGTCAACGGGCTGGTCTGTGACGATCAAATATTCAAAGTCATTACCGGCCTGCTCAATGGCCTGGATCAACTCCGGGGTGAGAAGGGTATCGCTAATCTCGGCACTCTCGGTCATCACGGTGACCCATGAGGGAAGCTTGGGGTTATCCTTGGAGAAAGTGAGGGAGGCATCGTAGCGGTCGTTGCGGAACTTGCGCATGTGGCTCTTGTGAACAACAGCCCAAATGAAGCCGTCGTAAGTGGAGCTAGGCACTTTAATGGGAGCAGAATCCTTGGCAAAGACGGGCACGAGATCCTTTTCCTTGCCATCAAAAGCATACAGCAGAGCCTCGTATTTCTCAACGGGCGGCTCCCAGCTTTCAAAGAAGAAGCTGAAGACATACTCCATGATGAACGTGATGGGGTTGTATCGCTTGGGCATCTTGATGTTGACGTCGAGGAAGGCAACATTCTGGCGGCCAGTGGCATACGCGGCGAACTCGGAGGCAGATTTCTCCTTCAGCAGCGACTCGGGGTTGGCAATCTCCACGGTGGTTGCATCGCCGTCGGCGGCAGCCGGTCGGGCGATTCCATCAAATCCGACGACGGCAAACTCCTTTCGGAGAGAAGGGGCATGGGCCTGCGCCCAGTCCCTCGCCCTTCGTCGGTTCTTACGGGCTCCCCAGAGGTGGAAGAGGACAATCAAGAGGATGACAGGCATGATCATTGCCTCCTGCTTGAAGTCGCTTGGGGATGTCCTCTCCCATACTCGGTACCAAGCTGTGTAAGGAACAGCCTTGGCGGCCAGTGTGTTGGCAGCTGGGACGGAGGTCGTGTCAGCGAGGAGGGACGCAGGCGACGGGTTAGGAGCTTCCACGAAATCGGCGAAGTCTACCAGAGTTAGCTCAGCAATTGAGATACATCAATTAACATACCATCATCGGATTTAGCCTCCTGGGAGCCAAACACGTTTTTGAACATGCCCGCCATATTGGAATTGGGATGATGGATGGAAGGGAAAGGAGTGGGAAGGAATCGAGAGATGGCCGGTGCCCGGTGCGGAGCTAAGTTCCTCCCGGGTCTAGCGCCTGTCTCCAGCTTTTCTACCCGCATCGGAGATTTAGACGACACGATTGGAACAGTTTGGGAAAACTCATATAATTCTCAACCCAATATCCAGCCCATCTTGTCTAGGTAACCCCCCATATCCTTCCCTAAGATAATCAATACAAAAAATGATAAAAGGCTAATGAGAGTGTGGTATCATGTAGAAATGATAACCTCCGAACAGAATCCAACGCCAACTGTACCATGACAGAACCCAATTTTGTACAAACCCGCTCCAAAGAAATCTCAATCTAGCTCAAAAAAAAGGAGGAACAAAAATAGACCCAAGAAATGACGAGAACAAGAAAGAACAGCCAAGAAAATCGTAACGGTCATGCTTGAGGTTTGCTCAAGTGTAAAAAAAAAAAAAAAAAAAACAAGGGCAGGCTGAAAGCTCAGTGCCCATAAGCAGGGGGAGGACTGTCTTCATGCTGACGGCTCCAGAAGCCACTGCACGCATTTGTCATAAGCTTGTCCTCACGCATCCGACGAGCAATTTCACCGGCCAGTCTTTCAACCAGAACGGAATCAACGCTTTCATTGTTGAGTCTTTCGTCTTTGGTGAACGGGAGAACAGTCGCAGGTAGCTCGGGGCGCTGATTGCTTGACGATCCCGGCTCGGCCTTCTCCTGAGGATAACTGCGCACAGTAGCGCGAGGGGTGCCGTCGACATCCTCTGCTTTGGATCCACGGATAGTGTCATGGTGGTATGACAAGTCCCGGTCTTGACGTGTTGGGCGGGAGAGGCTGGACAAATGCCTTTCGGGAATAATCGGCAAGTGGGAGTCGACTTCAGCTGACAAGGGTGGTGTGACTGGGTCATCTGACGGCTCATTCACAATAGGGAGAGGCGCGGAGACGATGGAGGGAGGTCGGGACGACTCGGTCACGACACTTTCATCGCTTACGCTCATGGCGTCATCGGTGGTCTTGGGGCGGCGCAAATCCACAACACGCTTCTTGCGTTTCCTCGAGTGAGCTTTGGAATGACGCCCAGCGCCCAGGCTCAGACCATAGTTACTCGTACTGAATGAATGGCTAGACATAGATGGTCGACTTTGCATTGAGACCGTGCTGGCGGTTTCGTGAACGGAAGACATGCTTCCCATCTGAGAGTGTGTACGCGAAAGGGTCGGGCTCAGTGGAGAGATCACACTCGAAGGGAATTCGCTGGTATCGATTGGAGAGGTCCAGGCTCGGTACACGACTTCCTGGATCGAGGGAGTGAATAAAGACAGCGTACGTTGTGAATCTGTCAGAGCGGCGAGGCGAAGTAAATTCTTTTGCGAGAAGAGGGAGTGGGTCTCGACCGATGAATCGAGGGAGAGCGATGCGATTTCCGACTCGTTCAATGCATTTCCGAGGGAATCAACGGGATCCTGAGGCGGGCTAGCTAGAGGATCTTGGCCAGGGCCTTCGCTTCTTGACTTGGCTGTGTTATCGGTCTCGTCGTTCATTTCCTCCCCTGTGCGATATTCTGGCACCCACAACCGGAGCGATAGTCGATGAATAATGGCCGGGAGCTCGTCCATGAACAATATCCGAAGCTGGGCTTCGATTTCTTTTTGTAGGAAGTCGCGCACGAAGGGGATCGAATCGAAGGTCGAGGACACCTTGAGTGACTCAAGCGGATCATTGCGAAACACGACTGTAATTCCTTTTTGCTTTGAGAAAACTAGTATGACGAATCCAGAGAGTTTGAAGTCGGAGAGGGTGATTTGTAAAGGTATAGTGAGCGGGGTGCTATAATCGTGACAGTGTCAGCAAACATATCGAAACAGACGGATCTGAAGAAATAATAAGTGAGACTGAAGACTTACGCTGCAGCAAGAGGTACTGGCGAGCCAAAGGTTGGTCGAGTGAGGAGGAAGGTATTGAGTGGATTCGCCTGAACTCGGGTCTTCAAGGTGAGAAAGGCGTCACCAGTATAGGACATCTTAAATATGCCACGAAAGCGATCTTCGGCCAAGTCGCCGATTTCCAAAATCTCGAGTTCTGGGGGGATGGAGCCCAAGTTCAACTCAGTGACGTGGATATCGTCAACGATTATTGGAGGTTTTGGCGATTTATTAAGAGCGGCAGTGAGCAGATCTTGGGCGCGAGTGTAAAAACTCGCGTCCGCCATCAAAGGCGACCAGTTGAAGTTGAACGCCATACCCAAGCATCGAGAAGAGTATTAAAAGAATATTAAGAGGACATTAGATGACATTAGATAGTCAAGGAGAGAGAGAGAGAGGAAGAGGCGGGAGGCGGAAAATGAAAAAACAAAGAAAAACGGCAAAACCCGAGGCGCGTGCTCTTCCGGGGGCCACTTGACTTCACTTTTCTTCTCCCTTTCACTTCATTTTTCTTTCTTTTTTTTCGGATTTCGGTTTTCTGTCTTTTTTTTCTGATTGGATGTATCACTCAAACGGCCTTTCCTTTTCTTTGCTTTGTATATATTCCTTTCGACTATAGAGATAGCCGGTACGTCACAATGTGACTTGCAGGAACCACTTCCGGTCAGCCCCGGCCTGATGTCCACTGTGGATGGCCTTGAGCCATTCACCATTCGAGGATTTTCGACTTGCATGCACCTAGACTCTTGGGCTATCAACTATTTTATGGCTATTTTTTCCCGAAATCCGGAGAAAGGGAGGAAAACACGGGATGTGTTTCTGACATGGAGGTGTGCTACCTTGGACTCCATACTCCATACGGGGGTGCAGATCTTCAAAGGTCGGAGTCCCACGTTTCATGTAAGATGTAAGGGAAAGACTCGGAGAATGTCCAACATGTCTCAATATCAAAACAATGAAAATGAAAATCAGAATAGATTCCCAGTACACCATGCCAAATGTACTGTTGATTGAGTCCAGATAACACCCATTTTCGGAACTGTGATTTGATCGTGGACATCTATATCTTTCTATCAAAGAATAATGCCGATTCTTATGCACTTCCTGGAAAGGTCATTTTCCACAAATTTAGCCCTCAAGCATATCTTGAAAGACATCACAAGGTCTTGGAAAAGTTCAAACTAATATAGACACCAGGATGGAATATCTTGTACTCCATATACGGAGTCCAACATACAAACAAAAGCCCAAAGACCCAAAGGCAGAATCTACTCACCGCAGCAACACTGCGCTAGACCTGATTAGGCTAAATATCAACATACTCCTTCACTTCGGGTCGAGATCATCTTTCTCGAACTCACTCTGTCGAACGGAACCATCCTAATCCCTTGACACAGGTGTTTTAAATCCCAGACTAATTTACTGGGTGTATAATTTTCCTCGACAATGCCAACCCGATCACCCTCGCCAGTTTATAGTCACGCGACACCAATGGAGCCCAAACAATCCAAACCCAAGTCGGTGGCTCAGCGCAGAGTGTACGGGAAACGAAGAGCCAATGCCCCTAGGGCGGTATTTGACCAAGGAAGCCCGATGAGAGAAACCAGATCCAGAACCCAACATGTCGATCCCGTGGAAAACCTCCAAGCGAAACTAGCCCGAGTGACAATCGACCATGACGCGACCCACCAACCAGACAATCATGTCGAGCCTCCAAATATTGAGAGAGAACAGCAGCAAGAGCTTGCAGAAACTCCTCCCGATGAATCAAGTCCGTCCACGATAGAGGACACTTCTGATACCCCGGCGACGCAATCCTCCATCGAGTCCTCCCTGGAAGAAGCGCCAAAACCGAAGCAATGCGAAACGACGGTGGAGGTCAGAAAATGTTCGGAGGCTCCAGAAAAGCCCCCTCAAATCACATCAGATTCTCCAACTCCGATTTCAGAGTTCACAAACGAGGATCGAGAAAAGCCAAGTACAACATCTTCCTACAGAAGGAGAGCGGAAAGAAAAAAGACTGCTGCACCGAGAAGGTCGTCTGGAGTTATTCACGACAGCAAGGCCAGCGATTATGTTGGCCCAATTCTGAATGAGGCACTATCTCCAATTGCCGCACAAGGCATTCAGAAGTTCGCTTCATGGGCTTCGCGATCAGCAAATATGTTTGATGTCGCAAAACTCGCGGAGGGGTCTTACGGTGAAGTCTACAAGCTTCATTTGCGGGAGGAGGCTTGTAGACCAGTGGTTTCAAAATCAAAGTTGGCTAAACTGAAATCATATGGCGATGGAGTCTTCAAGGTTGTACCTCTGCGAGCCAAGAGCGGTCCCGGATCCAAAAAGTTCACCACCATTGACGAGATTGTTTCTGAGGTCAAGATGCTCAAGTATTTAGACCCTATCCCTGGCTTTGCTCGCTTCAGGGAGATTCATGTTGTTCAAGGCCGTTTCCCAGAATCGTTCCAAAACGCATGGGATCACTATAAGATGACTAAAGACGACTGCATAAATCCTAACCCGTGTAACAAGAGAGCTTATCCCGATACGCAGCTATGGGCAATTGTGGAGATGGATGATGCAGGGTGTGAGCTAGAGAAGTTCGCTTGGTCATCGATTTTCCAGATCTATGACATCTTCTGGGGAGTTGCCATGGCTCTGGCCAGAGCAGAGGAGTATGCTATGTTCGAACATCGAGATCTCCATTTGGGAAATGTTTGTATACGTTCTACGCGGGAAGATGGCTGCATGGATCCTCCTACAGAGCTCGATATTGCTCGCCAGCCATCCTCTAGTGGGTTTGGGATCAGCTCACTTGAGACTACCATCATTGACTACTCGCTCTCGCGAGCGGATCTGCTCCTGACCGATGACCCCGCCGGTCTCACTGAGGTTGCATCATCAGACCTGGACAAAAAGCAATTGTTCGATGCTGTTGGCCAAGATGAAGACGAGATTATGCAAAGAAACACCTACCGATAGTATGTTATCCCATGTCTGCTCATCTGGTTTCTTGAACAATTTGCTAACATTAGAAATAAGTATGCGCGCAACACTTTACACTGGTTGCCCCATACAAACAGAAAAAATGGCGGATATTCCTGGTATTTGGACAGAATACTCCCCACGCACCAATTTGGTTTGGCTACTGTTCCTGCTCCAGAGTCTGTTCAAGAACCGCAAGCCTGACGCATTGCCTACACAGCCACAGCGAAAGGCTCTTGCACCTTGCTCGCCTAACAAGATGACACTGAAGCCGGAGACAGCCAAGGGGGAAGAGCAAAACATGGCCGGGTCCCTCGTCAAGGAGAGACAGACCAAGAATGCCCACGCTGGTATTTCCCGGCTTAAGCAGACAATGGAAGACAGGCTAAAAGCCGTTCTCGAACTTCTCGATTTAGAGCATGGACATGAAGACATGTGTTGCGCCGCGGATTTAGTAGCCTACGCGATGGACTCGCAATGGCTGGGTGAACAAGACTTTTTTTAATGATCCCCTGGTATCCAACAAGCATTAGCACACGGAGTTGCATGGATTTTGTAATTTGCATGATGGGGAGTTATCATTTATTTACCCTTTACATATTGTGGGCTTGGTGCTGGTGTTGAGATATAGGTGCATTGCGTTGGATAGGCCACCAGCACAAGGGACTTGCATGTATATCATCTTTCTGTTCTACCTTTTTTAATACGGAATACATTGCATCAAACTACGGGCATAATCAAATGGAATCGTTGTCGAGGAACGTGTCCACCATAAACCGTCTATTGGTTTACAGTCCTGTCCTCTGACATGAATGTGTATCTGTTCTTTTTTTCTATTCTAGTCAAAAGGTCTAACCCCTTGATTGTTTCCGACCTTTTGCATGTTATGTTCAAATATCCCAGGGAGGACGAAACAAACAGCCCAGCAGCGACCCCGAGACAAAAACAGTAAGCACCATCGAAAAGTCTTTAAAAAACAAACGCTTGTCGGCCCCATGCTTTTTCACGGTTGAGACAACGGTCTATCTCAGCCGGATATGTTGTGAAAATTGAAAATGGCGTAACATCGTGGTTCGTGTGTCGTAAATGTAGAAAAATTACAAATCAGATCCAGTACCGGCACGGAACAGCTTGACCATCAGCTCAGGTCGGCTCCAGAGCGAGAAAGACTTCTGGTCAGTCCAGTTAACAGACTCGGGGAGCAGCTCCAGGTCGAAGTTCCACAGAAGCTTAGCAAGCAGAAGACGCATCTCTGCGTTAGCAAGGCTGGAGATGAAAGGTTAGGAAACACTGCTAGGTATGGCGCAGGCAAAAGCATGGGTGGAGTGAGTAGGTAGTAATAGAATTTGTGCTTACTGTTGTCCGAGGCAGTTGCGTGGACCATAGGAGTAAGGCTGGAAGGCCTCCTTCTTGTCATTGCTGTACTCGTTGTCGTTGGACTCGCTCAACCAGCGCTCTGGAACGAATGCCTCGGGGTTCTTGAAGTGTGAGGCTGCGTGAAAGGCGGAGTACAAAGAGACGGATACGGATACCTGTTTGTATACAACTGCTGTCAGTATCAAGAAAGCCATGAAATGGAAAGAGCAAATAGAGAACGAGCTCCATGCCCTTCGTATATTGTCCACAAAACACTACAGAAAATATACCAGCACTGGAGAGTTATACTCACCTTTTCAGGGACATAGCGGTCGTTGATCATGGCTCCTCCCTCGGGGACAATTCGCGGAAGCATGGAAGGAATAGGTGGGTAGATGCGCATCGCCTCGGTCAAAACAGCATTGAGATATGGGAGATCCACAAGGGTGGACAGCTTAATGTCAGCGTCCTTGTCGAAAGCGCCACGGATTTCCCGGGTCAGACGCCCATACTTGTCACGGCAGCGCAGAAGGTAGTATGTCACACCAGAGAGCAGGGCAGCGGTAGTCTCACTGCCGGCCAAAACGAACACCGCGGAGTTTGTATCCATTTCTTCAGACGACATACCCTTTCCGTCCTTGGAGTGCTTAAGGATGTACGAAGTGAAGTCGGGGCGAGTGGCACCCAGGGCGAGGCGACGACGGATCTTCTGGACGCTCAGGTCAAAGCTGGCTTGGCGTTTCTGGAGCAAGTGCTTGGGGACCAGGACCCGGACCAATGGAACAAGAAAAGGGTAGAACCAAAAGACTTTGAGATAGGCACTTGCCTTGACTGCATCCAGAATAATCCGAACCCACCAGTGGTATGTGCTGTTTGACAAGCAGCCGAATGGTTCTCCAAAAGCGAGGTCGCCAATGAGGTCGAAGGTAGTGAAGTTGAACCAGCAGGTAATGTCAATGTCCTGGGACAAAGCACTTCCCATGAGACCCTTGAGCTTTTCAATAAATATTCCGGCGTACATTTGGAGTATTTCTTCCTGCTCACCCAGAGCTTTGTTGGAGAAGGCATGGGTCAGCAAACGGCGCATGCGGGAATGGTCATGCTCATTGGCTGTGATGATTGCATTGACACCGTTGGGAGTGGGTGCATACAAGGCTGGATCCTTGATGAAGACCAGTTGTCCCTTCTTGCGGTGACCGTAGATATCCTTCCAGGCGGTTGAAGCACGGTAGACGAGGGCATTTGGAGCAATACGAACAACATCTCCATATTTGTCGTGGAGCCGCTTCATGGTCGAGTGCTGCTTACCCTGGATATCCCAGATGAGATGAACCAAAGGAGTGATGGCAGCCAGCTTGGGTCCAGGGTAGCCGCTCAAAGGGTGAAAGTAAAGAGTGTGGATGATCCAGCCCACATAATAGACAAGCAGCTGTATTTTTGATTGAGATGAGACACAAAATCATTCATGTCTTGTATTTCAGCACTCACCAAGGCAAGGAATCCACTCAGTAGACTCCAGAAGGAGGGGACAGCTAGGGCATGGCACCAGCCGCTCATAGCCAAGGAATCAAAAATCATTATGAAGAGTAACTAGAGACGGTAAGATACACGACCAAAGACACCTAAGGAGGTCCATCTTACTGAAAGACACACAGAAAAAAACGAATATCAAAAGAGGGAGGTGTGTGAGGAGGTAAGAAGAGAGGAAGAGAAGTGAAGGATGAAGGAACGGGGGAGGGGACTGGGGGTGTGGGCAAACAGCAGGTGTCCTACAGTACGAATGGGGTGGGAGACGTAAAAGGGTGTGCAAGGTGATTAGAGGGGAGTGTGCAGAGTATCAGGTGTGTGTGTGTGTTTGAAATCTACTGAAATCGCGAAGGTGATAGCCGGCAAACTTCGACTTGGAGGCTCAAGTTAGGGCTATCCCAATCAAACGGAATATAGGGCTACATTAAAGGACTCAATAGGTCGTCAAACAAAGGAGTACTCATGCAGAGATCAAGTAATGAAAGTATTTTCATGGCTCGTCATTCGTTAGATTTGGGTCTATTAGATGAACACAAATTGTGTGGCACAAAAATCAACCGCTGGCAACGGAGAAACTCAACAAGCTCCCAGCAGCCAGTCCACCAACAAGAACCAGGCTCATGAATCCACCAGCAGCCGGTCTTTCATCAGCAACAACCCAGTGACTAGCGCCCATCATACAGCTTGTCCCCAGATATCCATTGCTTGCACCAAAGAAGAACTGTACAAGTAAATAGAAAACGTCACTCTTGACGGCAGCCCCTTGGCCGTTGACATTGCAGAGCTGGTACAAGGGAATGAAGATAACACGGGCAATGGCCACAATGGCAGCCATCTGTGGATGTTGCCCCAAAGACACCCCTGGAATAGCCACACACATTCTCCCCGCCAAGTCGCCCAAGTTCCAAATGAGAAACGCCAATGGAACAAAGACACTAGGATCATAGATCCGTGAACTGGCAGGGTCATTGACGGACTTGATTTCCGCCGTGTAGACTGGGAACACCATAGAGACCAAAAAGCAGACGAACACAGCGAATGCCAGGAAGCGCAACTTGACGAACAAAGTCCAGAGGCTGACAGTCTTGGAATGCTCGTGCTCATCGGCAACGGACTCGTCGTCATCTCTTACCAACTTTTGCCTCACAGAGGGCTGTTGTCTCAGAAGATAGAGGAAGGCCAAGAGAGCAATGACCGAGACACCCGTAGACGCAAGAAAGTAAATAAACGCCGATGCCGACGAACTCGTCTGCGGCATGCTGGGGTCTTGGTCTCGGTCAACGCTACCATTCTTTGACGGCACAGCTAGCACAGAAAATATCTGAACGATGCAAGGCAGTACACCGGCAACACCCTGCCCACTCATAATAGCCTGGGTATATTCCTCTCTCCCAAACCCGGAAACGTATGCAAAGACACCATTTTGGTTGATACCGGTGGCTAGACTCGCGGCGAACACCATTACCATCAAGAAGCCAAAGTACGCCCTCGGCGAGGATTCCGTCATGGTAACTGCTGAGAAGGCCAAGATCGTAAATACAACAGAGTTCATCAGCAACGAAAACGTTATTCGCCGTGGATAGGAGGCATTCTTCTGTAGCTTTGCCAGGGTATAGGCGGATGCGAGGTTGGTGACGGTTGATACGGACTGAATCGACGGCTGGTAGTGCAGTTTTGTCCAATCGTCCGACTGGAACCGGCTATAGAAATAGGGTGCGGCGGCGAGGAACATGTTCCTTATCGTGCTCCACGTTAGTTTCATGGTTGACCAAACACATATAGCTCATTTCTCCCGGTTAGAAGACTCTTGAGTTCTACTTACCAGGCCCAAAGCATAGAAACTCCTAGAAGGAAGAATATGCCATACTGTAAGCTTGAAAAAGAAGCTCGCTGGTGTTGCTGCGTATATGTTGTCTCATCGGCGTCATCTGCGGCGGAGTCCTGCAGTTGCTCATACGCCGCTGGACGGGCGATGAGACTACGTATGCGGTTCATGTCTGTCTTTTTAAGCTCTTAATTGATATGCGTAAGTAAAGAATTCTGCAAAAACAAGGGGATTATCTCATAGCAGAGAGCTGCATTGAGGTTCCAAGGGGGCATATGACTGGTGACTAAGCAAGATATGGATGGATCCATGTGCATGGGACAGCCCCGTCAGGCGATCTATGTTGTACATCTCAACTGAAAGGTTCTCCGGTCAGCAGCTGCCAGACTCTTTTGTAGCAAGATATATTCAATCACTACGGTGTCCAATGCTGTGTCCCTTTTCGAGGTGCCAATTCTCGCCTTTTGATATCTTCAAAAATCTTGTTAGATACATGTATGTCTTCGATATGTTTATCTCTTTGAGGTTAAGCAATGAAAGTAGAACTGAAACAATAAGGTTGCTATCAAGATTTGTACACAGTCGTTACCGACTTGGAATCTATCACAAAATCAAACGTGCAGAATGTGTATGGGGATATGAGAAGGGTGAAGGGGGGGCACAGTGAGAGGTGAGTGTAGATGAGGGAACATGTATTTGGACAAAAGGGATTCAACAAGAATGAACAGACATCGTAGTAGTAAGATAGTAGTATAAGAATATGGCCAGAGGTGAGCGAGGTGTAGATAAAGATTAATCCTTCTTCAGAGGGAATGTCTTTTCTACTTCCTCTACGTCCTCTTCCTCCAGCTCAGGCTCTGACTCCTCCTTCTGGAGCTCCCAGAGCTGATCTGCCTCAATAGGCTTGCCCGCAGGGGCCGTGGTTTCGCCGCCACTCATTTGCCATTCCATGAGCTTTGTAAACGCGCCATCCGGGTTAGAACTGAGCTCGTCGTAGGTGCCTTGCTCCGCAACCTTGCCGTCGTTGCCAAGGACAATAATTGTGTCGGAGCGCTTGATGGTGGAAAGTCGATGGGCAATACTGATTGTCGTGTTGTTACCGCGAAGCAGAGCGGCTAACGCACTGTTGACAAGGGTCTCGGATTCGGCGTCGAGGGCAGAAGTAGCTTCATCCAGAATCAGAATGTCAGGCTCCTTGATGAGAGCACGCGCAATAGCAATGCGCTGCTTCTGACCACCAGAGAGCTGAGCTCCACGAGCTCCAACGTGAGTATCAAGTCCATCGGGCTGTGATGTATTAGATTAGCTAGGTTCGTGAAAATAATAATTGTTCGGCGGACTTACGAAGTCGCTGATGAATTGACAGTTGGCCTTGCGTGCAGCAGCAATGATCTCTGAGCGTGTTGCCCGAGGCATACCATAAGATATGTTATCGGCGATTGTTCCAGAGAAGAGCACGGGCTCCTGGGAAACCACGCCGATCTTTCTGCGAAGAGACTTCGCGTTCATTTCCTTGATATCTTTCCCATTGATCAAGACCCGCCCCTCGGTAGGACTATAGAATCGGAGCAAAATGGAAGCAATTGTGGATTTGCCTCCACCAGATGGTCCAACGATTGCAACGTTGGTTCCTTGGGGAATCTCGAAGTTCACTTCCCGGAAAATCTTCACGGCTGGACGAGTAGGGTAGCTGAACGTGACATTCTCAAATCGAATGGGTCCACGCGCGGTCTCAACTTTGAGACCCTTAGTTGGATGAATTGTGGGCTGACGATCTTGCAGCTCAAAGAGTCGACTCGCCGCACCCACGCCCTTCATCAGCTCTGAATAGAAGCTAGAGAGGCCGAACATGCTGGAACCTGCATAAGCAGTGTACATCAAAAACGAAGTCAATTCTCCAATACTGATAGCACCCGATTGAACCATCCCACCTCCAACATACAGCAAGGTCAAAATGGTCATATTGCCCATCAAGCCAGTCTAGTAGGAAGTCAGTGAAATTCGGAAAAGAAAAGCCTTAGATAATCAAGACTGTCGACTTACCGAGCTGAAGAAGGTTGCGCTGATCAGAGATTCTTTTTTGCCAAGCTCGAATATCTTGCGGACTTGTTGATTGTACCGGTGGACTTCGATGACTTCACCGGCAAAGGATTGACTGGTCTTGACGTTTCCCAAACGCTCTTCCGCAATCTTAGTCAATGATCCCAAGTTCTTTTGGATTTTGCGACTGAGATTCCTAATGGCTCGGCCATAAAAGAGAGCGCCGAGGCCGATTGGAGGAAGCAACACAAGCAAGATCATAGACAGCTTTGCACTAGTGTAGGCCATCAAACTGAATCCAGCCACACCACTAACAGCAGCTCGTAGACCGTCAGACAAGTTCTGGGTGATACTCTTGCCAACAATGATAGTGTCAGAGCTAAGGCGCGAAATTAGATCACCAACCCGATTGGCGTCAAAGAACTCAGCATCCTGCACAAAGGTTTGACGGAAAAGCTTGGAGCGTAGCCTGGCTACAATTCGCTCGCCAACAATTCGAAGAATTATGATGCGCCCATAGTTTGCACCAGCACCTAGAAGTAGTATTCCACCAAGAGCAGTGTAAAACATGGGCATGCTCAGGCCGAACAATTCGCCGCCCCCTTCCATTGCACCCTTGGTCGCAGCGTCCATGATTTTACCAATGGAGAAGGGAACTGCCATTGTGATCGATGAGGAGACTAGGAGAAAAAAGAAGGCGAAGCCGAGAGCCTTAGATTCGGGGCGCGCGATCTTCAAAAGCCGCCAGATTTCGGCGAATCCGGATTTCTTTCCCGATGCACCTTCCTTGGCCAACCTGGCGCTCATATTTACCTGCGCTGCCTGCGTTGCTCGCTCAGACATTTCAAAGCCCTTGTCCTCCTCCTCTTCTTCTTTTGGTTCCGAGGCTGACCGGGTAATTGGGTCTGTGGAGGTCGCGGGTGGCTTCGCTTGGAGAAGTTGAGGTGTTGAACATAGATGACGTGTTTGGGAGACAATGCGAGACGTAGAAGGGGTATATTTGAATATGTTGTTCTGGACCAAGAGTGGGTTGGCACCATCGCGGAGTGCACCCGAGGCGGTTGAATAGAGACGGTTCAACCCATTGTGATCGCCGGAGGAGACAAAGGGGGATCTTGTTTTGATGAGTAGATCGCAGGCAAATGAATTATATGGCCTCAAAGCCTGCCGTGGGCTGATGCCCAAGGCCAGAGACACAGGCAGCCTGGCACCGCGCATCTCGGAGTTGTATCGGATGAGGCTCGAAATGAAACGGAGTTACAATGATGTCACCGAATTAAACCTAGACATGACATATCTGAACGGAATGGGTTCAAATCAAGCACATCACATGTTACACATTCGGCTCCTTGGAACGTGTGATGGATTGAGAGCGATGTATCCAGAGCTTCGTCAGACGCCGCCATCGATCGGTAAAGCGGTTTTCGGGGCCGATTTTGCCTTGATCGACCGCTCGTGATTTTGCCAGAACCTACCGCCTGTGGAAGCTGGTCGAGAGCTCTGGATACTTCGTCTGTTCTGGTGCTAGAAGCTGTATTGATTTTGAATTTCACTGAGTTGAATCGCTTCAAAAAGGATACATTCGTCAAATTGCCGCACCATTAGTTGCGGGTTATCCAAAACTTTTGTTTCCCGCCTGTCTGATACATCACCCCACCTCATACCTATTCTACACATTCACTGTCCCACAAGATGGTGCTTGACTACAGTAAATGGGACGCCTTGGAGCTGTCCGACGATTCGGACATCGAAGTTCATCCCAATGTCGATAAGCGCTCTTTCATCCGAGCAAAGCAGGCCCAAATTCACCAGCAACGAGACCAGCGTCGGCATGAAATCAAAACTCTGAAGTACGAGAGCATTATCAATGATGGATTGCTGTCGCGCATCGACAAGCTTCTTGATTCTCTCAAGAAGCACGAGGACTCGTCTGCTTCCCCCGATGAGTTCATTTTCACGACGATTATGGAGTTCGCAAGCAACCCCGCTGAAGACCAGGCCCCGGCCCCGCCGGAGGGAGTATACACACACGAGGCGGAACAACCCAAGTTTTCCCAGATGCTAAGCTCACTGGTGGACCAGGTGAAGAAGGAAATCGGTGATGCTAAGCCTGAGAACCTCTTCAAGGCATACATTCAGGGTGTGAATGGACACTTAGAAAAGATCAAAGCACTGCAGAAAGAATTGTTCGCAAAGCTTGCGCAACTTGAGAAGGAGGAAGGCGCCAAAATCACCAGTGATAAGCTACATGAAGGCTTTAATCAATCTCATGTTGCCAAGGTTGCTGAGAAGGAGAAGGAGAAGGCGGCTGCCAAGAAAAAGGAGAGCTCTGTTGAGCTTCTGAACCCTGGTGCAGGAAGCTCCACCATCAAGGCCGACGATGAAGGCGATGATGATGATCCTGCCGATATTGAGATTAGTCCACTGGCAAAGAAATTTGCTCAGCTCAAGCCTGGAGACTACAGCGCCTATCTAAAATTCATCTCCGCGAACCCAGATATTGTCGCTGAGAAAGAGACCGACGGCCTACTTGTCGAGGCATTCAACAGTCAGCTCCAGGGCAAAGATGAGTATGCTCGACACTGCGTGCACCAAGGTTTGCTTCTGCAATACTGTCGCTCGCTTGGCCGTGATGGTATCCAGCTGTTCTTCACACGGTATGCCAATATTTCGCTTCTTTTTTCAGTCAATGGCTAACATATAAACTTCCAGCATCACTACCAAGGATCACCGCGCATCAACCTTGTTCCTCAATGACGTCAATGAAACTTACAATCGTATCAAAACTCGCTCGGCTGAACTCAGCAAGGATGGCTCAGCATCCAACGACCCTGCAGGCGTAGAGCAAATTCAGCTGCACGCTGTTGACCCCAATACCAAGATCACCATCAATTTGCCCGCTGCCAACAGCGAGGATCCCACTGAGATTGAGGTGCGCAAAATCTTCGATGCTTTCCCTGAAGACCTGCAAAAGGCGTTGGCGACTGAGTCCCTGGACGAAGTCAACAAGGTCCTTGGCAAGATGTCCGTTGAAGAGGCAGAGGTTGTTGTAGAGCAATTGGGCAATGGTGGTATGCTCAGCCTGGAGGAAGGAATTGTGGATGCCACGACAGCAGAAGGCCAGAAGAAACTGAAGGAGTTGGAAGAAGAGGGAAAGCAGGAAGTTGGTGAGCCCGGTGGCGACGTTACTGAGCTTGACTAAGGCTATGTAAAAAGCGATGGTAATATGAATTGAGTATGCGTTTATTTCTGTTGAACTGAGGGTAGGTTACCAACCACTTCCAGCCTTGTTGTACATTTGTAGCTGTTCATTTTACTGTTTCAAGGGTTTTACTCTTTCAAGGGTTAGCCTCTATCTAAAATACTTGGATCAGGGCTCATCTACCGGAGGAATCCGTGGTATTAACGATGTTATCAATTTGAGTGAGATACTAATTTACAAACCCCCCTAAGGACTTCGCTGCGTGGAGTTAAATAAAATAAAAATGACAAGAGACATAGTTGCCAGATCACAGTCAGGCTACCAAATAATGCGAGAAGGGGGCTGTGGAAAAAGCCATATCATATGAGTAAATGTGGGAAAGTTGTGAAATACCACGTCCTAACCCCGGACTCCCGAATCTTCTAACCCCCACGCGCCAAAGTAAACCACTTAGATTCCGCTGGATCCGGGAGCCTCCTGGTCTTTTCGAAGGTCGATCAACAGTTCGCGGAAACGCTCCTTTCCGGAGCCACTGGCACCGCCCGCGGAGCCCTTGCCCGAAACATCAACCAGCTTAGCAATGCGCTCCCAGCTGGTGCCACCAGCGGAAGTGTCCTCTCGGTTGGCGAGGAACTGTTCAGCCTCGGAGCGGGCGTGGGAGCGGTTCTTATCGGCCTTGTTGTTGTATGAAACGTAGAAGTCGTCAATGTCCTCCTGTGCCTTCTTGACGGTAGCGTCCTTCTTTTCGGCGGAGATTTCTGCACGGCGGGCGATCTCAGCATCGCGCTTCTCGCGCCATTCACTAAGGATTGAAACACAGGAGTTAGCTTGGATATTCTAGACCGAAACAAGACGAAACAAGATGCATGCAGATCGCAAAGGCAATGACCCCGTCATCCAGAATTTGAGATTGAACTCACCGAACAGCATCTCCCTCATCTTCGGGTTCCTGTGCATTCTGATATCCGGTGCGGGGGAATGGTGAGCCGGAGCCAGTGATTGTGCCACCCGGAGCAACGCGCTGCATAGATATAACCCCTGGTCAGCATATCGCATGTTCCCCACCATGTACCAAATAGCTAATTCATACCTCGTTCTGGTTCTGTGTCGCTACTGAGGGGAAGGATGATTCGAATTGGCCAATCTCCTCAGTGGGCTCGTCACCTGCGCCGAGTAGGTCGTCCGCGCCTACGTTCTGGCCGCTAGCAACGTGGTCTTGAGAAGTAGCAAATTGGTCGGCATCTTCACCGAGCGCAGCGCGCTCACGGGCAAGGAAGTCGTCATCGGTGGTGCTCTGGACATCGGCTACTTCGGTTTGGCCTAAATGCGGGTCATGTTAGCTCCGGTGTAAGGAGAGCAAGTAAGGTGGCTTGAGCATACCCTCAGCGAAGTCGTCTAGGGAAGGGAAACGGTCAGCCATACTGGGGATGGATTTTCTTTGACGGTTGTATGATTCAATAAAGAAGTTTGAGTCAAGAAGATGGTCGTGAAGAGAAGTCGAAGGGCTAGGAAGACGATGGTTAGAGGAAGTAGTGTTGACAGGTGTGGCCGGGGCGGGCTCGGAGCCCCGTTGTTCTGCCGCTTCCGGGGCGGTAAGCTTATCCATGTTTCGAGCTTGGGGTACAAACCACTTCAACTTCACTTGTGATGGAGAGGATTGAGAGTCGAGATCTTCGTTTGATATTCCTTTGACTCTGCTCCAGTGACTTTACTTGATTGAAATCTAAGTGCAGTCCTAAAACTCACCCGTGTGATCTTCAATTGCTCGTTGCCTGTTTGTCTTCCACGGTGATTGCGACTTGCGCTTCTAGGATCTGATAAATTTCATTTTTCAAAGTCCTTCTAATTCAGATTGCTATTTTGTCATCATGGCTTTTACTGATGATGCTGTGAAAGCAAAGCTATCCGCTCTGAATGACTCGCAGGAGAGCATCGTTACTGTTGCGCAATGGGTGATGTTCCACAGGTATAGACACTTGCTCCAACCTCAAAGAGACTTGCTAATCTTTTCGCCTATAACTGAAGACGCCATGCTGAACGGACCGGACAAATCTGGCTTCAAAAGATTCGCGATTCGCCGCCTCCCAAGCGACTCAACCTGATCTACCTAGCCAATGGTACATATACCCTGCTACACTTAAGCTCCGCTCCGCTTGCTAATTATATCTGCAGAGGTGGCCCAACAATCTAAAGTACGCGGAAAAAATGATTTTCTCATTGCGCTATCTCCGGTTCGTTCCCTACCATCCCGCCATTGCGACTCAAAAACTAATATAGCCCTAGATAATCGTCGATGCTACATCAGCAGCTTACAAGGGCTCGTCGAGTGAATACCAACAAAGAATCCGCCGAGTCGTGGAAGTCTGGAGACAACGCAATGTATTTGATGGAGCTATTCTGGATGCAGTGGAAGCTCGTATAGACGGTAGGTCAACTCACTTGGCATGACGGACTAGCCAAGCTGATCACGCTGCAGAACTCGACAAAGCTCGTCCTACAAATAAGAAGCAAACACTCGGAGGCTCCTTCTTCAAGGACACTTCCTCAGGATCCACACCGTCCGAACTACAACCTCTCAACCCATTGCAGGTTGCTCTCACCAAGGCCGTCATCAGCTCCAGCAATTCCACCACAACCGCTACTTCTGAGTTCGATAAACTTCATGATCCCAAGAACCCGAAGCCTACACTGCCCGTTCATGCCGCACGTCTGTCCTCACTATTGAAGACGCTCGCCAACGCGGAAAACTCCGTTTCCGAGGTAATCAAGTCGCGCCGCGCCTTGATCGATGGGCTCGAGAAGATCCTCCAGACCAACCGTGCGGAGCTATCAAAGGAGGAGGCTCTTAGCGCTGAGCTATCACAGAAGAGAATCTCAGTCGATACCGAAAAGCGTGAGGTCGAAGATGCGATTATGCGCGGTCTGCCTAGTGAAGAGTCATCCATGGATCCCGGTGAACACAACGGACACGATGATTCTTCCGCCCGCCCAGAAGTTGAAGCATTGACGCCTCCCCCGGTGGAGGCAATTACGCCGGTTGGGTCCCCACAGCCAGAAAAGCAGCAGCTCCGCCGCGGCCCTTTTACCGAGGAGGCGGACGACGCCTCAGAACGGAACCCCATGAGCATCCCCAACATTCAGGAGTCAGGCAACGGAACTGGGATCACTGATCAATCCACTGCTATTTCTCAGGACCATGAAAATGATTTTGATATTACTGCCGATGGTCACGCAAAAAGGCGCAAGATCTCGCATGGCGAAGAGGACTATGCGGCTTTTGCAAGCGGCGACCTCGATGCTGATGTGGCTGACCTACTTGCCAGCCATGCCAAGTAAGTGAGATTGACACATTATGGTCAAAGCTATATGTTACCTAGTAATGTATGTGCAGCAACTGCCATTATTTGGTGTGATCAATTCATTTCTTTTTTCATTCCACCAAGTGCCTCTTGGGCATTCTCGTTTCGGTTTATATTGGATGTCATTTGTTTCGTGTATGAATTGACTAATGTATTGGTTGGAACCTGGAATACATGGCATTGATCTCAGGCCTGTAGTCCAATTTCCTCCGAATTCTGTGCACATAGTGGTCAATAGTAAGGTAGGATATATAGGTAGGATTACCCTGTTAATCCTTTTCCGATAAGCCACGTTTTCGCCCTGTTCTGGTCTCTTTGTGACATCAGAAACTAGATGTGTAGATTCAGCTATATTCACAAGTAATGACCACGTCACACCAGGCTTGAACATCCATATACATCGCGTCTAGGTGCCTTATTACTTGCAATAAAAACTTAGTCACTACGGCAATTATCAATATGTAAAGTGAAGGCCTGCTCTTTTGGTCACATTAACTATGAACCAATGCTAATTTGCGGGGAAAAAAGTTATCGGAGGATATCCGGATCCATCCACCGATCTCGTGCAAATCTGTTCGACAACTGATGCCTTCGCCCTCGGTAAGCCAACACAGAGCGGATATTGTTGGAAGACTCATCCTCTGGGGGTGCAGGTGGTGGCGCTGAACTGCTTCCCTTTGGTTTCACAACCAGTACAATGATCATTCCCACCACGATCAGTAGGAGTAATAGCATGATCTTGCGCTTTGTGGTTCGTTTTTGATAATTAGTAGCCTACACGGGTTAGTTTCACGGTTAAGCGATGCCTGATAGAAATTGGATGGGGACATGGGGAAGAAAAATTGCCAGTGAAGATGGAACATACCACTTTAAGCTCCTTATCTGCAGCCTTAACCTCGGTGCCCATTCGCTCGACATTGTAATCTATACGGTCCAACATGGTTCCTTGGTCGATAATCATGCTTTGTAGTTCACGGAATATATCCGAGAGCTCAATAATCCCCTTGGCGATATCGTTGATTTCGCGCTCCCGCTGCGCAATAGCAGCATCATTCTGGCCGGTCTGGCGTTGTGAGGTCTGCTGCAACATCGTCTGCGAAAAGGACCTGTCGGCATCTGACTCCATCATCGATGGATCCGTGTATGGGTTCTGGGCTTGCGTAGGCGTGCCATCGAAGGGCGTCGCGATACCCTCGAGATCTCGCAATTCTGCACATAAAGAAACAACACCGCATTAGCATACCTGAGCCAACCGATTCCGTCTCCGCCGCGGGAAGAGAGCAAGAAGAACACCAAAAGAGATAAGAGTCCCATACTTCGCAAATAAGTACTTTGCTTCTTTCTAAACCTGGCACTAGCTTCCTGCACCCTGGCAGCAAGCGAGATCTGAATATTCTTCGCCATGGTCTCCTCTCCACTCGTAACACCACCATGCGCCTTGGACTCGGCCACCATAGTCTCGATGCGCATGATGGAGCGCTGACAATCATGAAAAGAGCGCGTGACTTCCTGCGTCAAGCGCTCGATAACACCTTCATCCTGCTTGCGCAGGTCCTCGTCACCGAAGCCGGGGAGTAGGTGTTTCTGGTGTAGTTTGTCGAGCTGGGCGGAATTCTGGGCAATCTCGGATAACAGTTCGGATACCTCTTCCTGCACGTCGACCCAGCGCGGCGGAAGAAGGTCCATCTCGATAACCATGTCACCATCTTCGTCTGTTTCGGATATTAGGCGCCTGTTTTCCTCCGGGTGCGAGGGTGTGTCGGAGAAGCCATTGCTGGGTGTGAATTGTGGCTTTTTGGCTGGGTGATGGATTAGGGATTGGCGATAGGAGAGGTAGCTGGGTTTCACGGTGAAGTGTTAGCTGTTATGCTTTGTAGGCTGGGGGTCTTATGGTGGTTCTTTGCTTTTTTGTCTCTTTCCGGCGCTGATGGTTGCGCTTGGGGCTGAGTAGGGTATATTGGGGGATTCATACAGATTGGTGCGATCCCGCCACATGATGAGGGCGTTGGGAGGATTGAGTCTGGTTTACTGAGTTGAGATCATAGCAATCATGATCAGGGTTGATTGAAAGGTAGGAGCTCTCCACATGAAGGGGTCACGTATGCCCAGGTATTCATCATGTAATCGGTTGGTTTTGTCCACCTGGAGAGGGGTAATTTTTGGTATTGGCAAGACAGCTTCACACATAGTATTTCCCGTAATCTCCGGTATTAAAAAGATATCTCTGTACTGTAGGTAGATCGTGTGCTCAATTACTTTCTCGTACATAGAACTTATCTCAGTATGAATTCTTAAATGTCAATTTGAAGGCTCAAAAACAACGTATATCATTCATTAGTACAGGCATCTCGACGGCGATAATGTGCTATAGTCTCTTCGGTTCTAGATCTACTATGAAACCCACCCCGCAGTCTACATCCTTACACTGAGATCAAAGCAAACACAAAAGCCAAGACCTTCCTAATGCAATTAGGCTCCCTGGCATTTCCTCAACATGACTCTGGAGTGAGATCAAGCTTTTTGGGGCTACCTAGCACCTAAGATGCAAGCAGATATTTATGTATGAAGAAGAAAAAAAAAGAAGTCAGGTATGATGTTTGAGGTTGAAATATACCAAAATCCAAGTCTGTCAACCGTGGCAACATTTCAGCCCTGGGAGGGTCCTACCGCCCTGAGACGAAACGACGCTGACTGGGCCCCTCAGGCACGCTATTTTGGTCTCGTAAGGCTGTTCCCCTTAACACTCTTCATTATTTGACCCCTCCCTTACTTTGTACTTTCATCCATCTACATTCATCATGGTATGTCCCTGATACTCAAGCTGATATCCTTCAGCTTTGTGTTGAAAATAAAAACCCCCACATTGCGGGGCATCACTGTGCAATCTCACTGATCGCATTCTCTAGGCTGATTCCCTCACTGAAGAGCAAGTGTCTGAGTACAAGGAGGCCTTCTCCCTATTCGTGAGTGACTTCATAAGCAGATCTTTGACGTGGTCGAAACCATGCTGACCGGGAGTTGTTTTGCGAAATAGGACAAGGATGGCGATGGTACGTGTGGTCGCGCCCGACAGCTCAGTTGAGCCCACAGCAGTGTCCTCTGCTATCGAATCTGAAAAGGAATAGTATTCTAACACGCAATCCTACCCATAGGACAAATCACCACCAAGGAGCTTGGCACCGTCATGCGCTCGCTGGGCCAGAACCCCTCCGAGTCCGAACTGCAGGATATGATCAACGAGGTTGACGCCGACAACAACGGCACCATTGACTTCCCTGGTACTTATTCACATCCCACCGATGTCAAAGAGAGATGAGTTATTGACGTGCACTAGAATTCCTCACTATGATGGCTCGTAAGATGAAGGATACCGATTCCGAGGAGGAGATCCGTGAGGCTTTCAAGGTCTTTGATCGCGATAACAACGGTTTCATTTCCGCCGCCGAGCTGCGCCACGTCATGACTTCCATCGGTGAGAAGCTGACCGACGACGAGGTGGACGAGATGATCCGCGAGGCGGACCAGGATGGTGATGGTCGGATCGACTGTATGTTTTGGAAACAATCTTGGAGCCTACCCGCGCTTGCCTGCCCAGATGCTAACCTCTCCGTCTCCATACAGACAACGAGTTCGTCCAGCTCATGATGCAAAAATAAACGATGCATTTGCACCGTGCGCCTTTTTCCATGTTAGCTGACGTCGCGGTTTTTTTTAACGAGAATGTTTCTCTTCCATTTCAATTCTCCAATACCGATTTCCTGTAGTCTATACTCGCTAGGCTATACATCTTGGATGATTTACGATCACGCGTGTGCTTTGAAATGCAGACGGAATGGACTGGGCGGTACTTTGGGTCAAGTGTTCATAATATAGGAATGATGGCTTTCCCTATAACCCTAACAGTGCTGGGCTTTGTTACAACGTTGCCACCTTGTTAACCAGCCATGTCCACAAAACCTTGTAGCAAGTGTATAGGTAGTAACCGTCTATCTCAGTCCCCAACACTCTGAGCATCCAACTATCGATTAAACCTCAAAACCTCCATAAATTGCCTCGCAACATCCGCTCCAGACCACGGATCAGGATCCTCCTCAGCACGCTCACCAACCACAGAGCCAACCCCATCGCCATTAGTATCAACCCTAGCATCAGCCCCGGACTCAGCCTTCTTCCACCTCCTCAGTCGGTCCTTAACTTCCATCCCAACATTCGGTATAAGAATTGCCTCCCGAGCTTCAACGCCCAATCTCCCCCAAAACTCTCGAATCAGCGACGCGGTCGCCGCATACTCCGCATCGATATCCGACTCCTCGATCGCAGATCTAGCGAGGTCGATGCTCGTAGCTTCAACATCCACATCACCGTCACCTCCAGCAGCACCGAATGACCCATTTCCCCGGCCCACAGGAATCGCCTCCACAACCGATGGACCGCGCCATTCGACCTCAATGACCGTACCACGCACCCGCGCTGTCGGGAACGTCTGCCGCACGTCACCAAGACGCACACGGAAGTCACCAACCTCGTAGACGATCCCGTTCGGGACAGCTAGAGTAAGCCGGTGGGCCCAGAAGGGTTGACAGGCGTAGGTAAAGTGCTGGAAGAGGGTTCCGTATGACGCGGGGGGAACAGTTGTCATGACCATTGATGGGGAAGGGGAATGGTCCGGCGCGATGCCATCTATGGGAGCAGGCGCGGCTGCTGAATTTTGGTTTTGATTTGGTGCTGGGGCTGGTTTCTCGGCCTCTGAGGTGTAGATGAAACCGTGGGTTGGGTAGTGGGTTAATGAGAGGAATTGCATGTAGCGTGGATTTGGGGGTTTCTTGTTTGAGTTTGAGGACGCGGGGAGTAGGCCTGGGGTGTCACGGAGCAGCTTTTGCTCCAGACCCCAGCGGCCGATTGGAGTTAGTTCTTCATTTGGGAAGGCGGCGCGAAGGCGCTCTGTTACTAATTGCAGGGCTGTTGAGGCGTTTGGGTTTGAAGGGATGAAGTAGACACTTTGTGGTATTAGTTTGGGGTGTTTCTGTTGGCTTGGGATAGGAGGTTTACCCTGTGATAGGCATTTCTTATGTTTGTTTTCTTCTTGTATTGTGGGCAGACCCAAAGGAGATTGGAGTGATCGTCACAGCAGTGTTGAGCTGTGGGGTATCAACTGGGATTGATGGGTTGAGAAATGTCGTGGGTTCCCAGATAGCCTTCAGTCCTGCTGGAGATTGATTGAGGGAATATTTAGCAGGTAGTCACCCTGCAATATAGATAGATATAGAGATCAATCAATAAGAATGATGATCAAGCCCAGAGTCAGGGAAATGATTGAAGAGGACTTTTAAACAGGCTAGGACCTCTAAATTCTATCGATCATATTAGTATAAGAATTGACAGGGAAAAGAATCTGATACCTTTGGAAAATTTAATGTTTCTATATGATGTTGTTCTGGAGAGTCATCAGCAATTCTCCAGAAAGCCATAATGAGTGCAAACAGAGCAAACACATAACGGTGTTGAAACCAGCTGGGCAGATGTTTTTTGATAATTCCGTTGTTTTCAAAGTTGTTTGTTCACAAGATTGCAAGACATCGGAAAACTTCTAGTGCTGGTGCTTTTTATCCCTCTTTTTGTCTCATATTGATTTGGCTCAAATTTCAGCCTTACGGTCAGTTTCTCAGCTTCTCTATACCACTCCCTCAAACCCCGGATGCAGTACTCAAGCAGATAATAGTACTCCGCGTGGGTCTCTCGGTAATATGATGTCAGTACAGCAATCCTTTGATCTCGAAACGTGTTACTGTCCGATCTTCCAAAAATCGATATGAAAATCGACAAGATCAATCATCAGAGTCAGGGGCCGCAGTGGGGTTAGTGGCGCCCTCAGACTACAACTTAAGCACAGCCCTGGGAGACAGAAGAGCCTCTTGGCACTTTGATGACAAGTCTAGACTTGACTATACTCTAATAATAATATAGGTTGGACCCTGCAGTCCCTGATTGCGTGGCCTGGCGTGAAAGGGGTGACATTCTCAAATTGCACCAATCATCATTTGACCCTGTGCATCATCATGCCTCTCACTTCCAAAAGCCACCAAGGCCGATCAATGGAGCTCCAGAGAACTCGGCCGCGTCTGATTCCCCTTCGCAGAGACCTCTCACAAGCCATGACGTGCCGCATTGTGTAAAAATGTGTCCATTTCCTTATTTTGTTTACTCAAGCCGACAGGGATCTTGTTCTGTCCGAAACATCAATGTCGGCTTTTGTTACTAGTTCCTTGACTTGACTTGTCATTCCACTCCTTCTCTGAGCTTATGACTGTTTCTTTGTTATTACTTTGGTTATTTTGCACCCCTACTCCATCCATTCACTATGTACAACAAGCGCAAAAACCGACCTCTATTAACAGCATTTTTCCTGATTGTTGCGACATATTTCTTCTTTTTCTGGCTACCTAGTACAAAAACATATCGAGGTCGCCTAACCAAGCCAATCTCTAGAAAAGACAACACCATTCGGCACGATGCCATTCGTTTAGATAAAGTCACCGAGAGATTCCCCGTTACGGAGTACATCCCACTGCCAAAAAGCTCCGGCAAAATCCCCCGCATCCAGCATAAATTTCCCAAAGAAACCAATAGCGAGCGCAAGGCCAGGCTCAAGAAGCGCGATGCTGTGAAGGAGGCGTTTCTTCATTCATGGAATGGATATAAGGATTATGCGTGGATGCGAGACGAGGTAAAACCCCGCACTGGAGGGTATCAGGATACATTCAATGGCTGGGGCGCCACGCTTGTTGATTCGCTAGATGCACTTGTGATTATGGGACTGGACGATGAGCTGCAGCTGGCTCTGGAGGCTCTGGAGGAAATCGACTTCACAACGACTAAGAGCAAGCAAGTGCCTGTCTTTGAGATTATCATTCGCTATATGGGTGGCTTCATCGCTGCCCATGATCTCACCGAGGGCAAATACCCGATTCTGCTGAGAAAGGCTGTTGAACTGGGTGAGATGATTTTCAATGCGTTTGATACGCATAATCGCATGCCCCAAGTGCGCTGGGAATGGACTAGGTATGCCAAATATATTTAATGCAAATATCCAATAAGAACTCGAGACTGATAATACCCAGGTCCGCCCAAGGCAAAGAAATCGCACCATCTTCACGCACAAGCTTAGCGGAAATGGGCTCCTTGACCATGGAATTCACTCGTTTGACCCAATTGACTGGTGATCCTAAGTACTATGATGCGGTGCAACGAATTATGAACGAGCTCGAAATCGGACAAGACAAGACTCGGATGCCTGGCATGTGGCCGACATGGATTGACACCGACACAATGGACTTTGATGACTCCGAGTTCACCGTCGGCGGATGTGCCGATTCCGCGTACGAGTACTTGCCCAAAGAACACATTCTTCTGGGCGCGCAGACAGACAAATATCACCGGATGTACGAAAAGGCCATCAAAACACTCAATGAGAATCTCCTGTTCAGAGGAATGACCCAGGACGAGGATCAGCATTTCCTTTTCACATCTAACGTCATTGCACTGCGAGGTAAATCAAAGACCTTCCAGTACACGCCTGATCACCTCAAGTGTTTTATGGGTGGCACCGTGGCCATTGGGGCTAAGGTCTTCAACCGGCCAGAGGATATGTATGTTGCCCGAGGACTCACCGACGGCTGTGTCTGGGCATATGATGTTATGCCTACGGGGATAATGCCGGAGATTTTCAAGGTCAGCCCTTGCAAAGACATTGATGAATGTCCATGGGATGAAGAGCAGTGGATGTCGGATGTCATCTCGCGGTCTATCGAAACTGAGGAGGACCGCGAGAAAGCGGAGAACCGCATTCAGGCTGAGCATCTACCACCAGGTGTGACAAGTGTTCAAGATGCATCGTACAAGCTTAGGTATGGGTTTCTCTTATTTCTCGTGATGTATTTCACTAACATACTATCCGTCCAGACCTGAAGCTCTTGAGTCCTTGTTCATCATGTACCGGATTACTGGAGATAAGACTCTTCAAGACTCTGCGTGGCGCATGTTCAAGAACATTGATAATGTGACTCGGACTAATTTTGGCCATTCATCCATCAACGATGTGCGTCATTCGAGACCAAAACACGAGGACAAAATGGAGAGCTTTTGGCTTGCGGAGACTTTGAAGTACCTCTATCTTATCTTTTCTGAGCCAGATCATATCAGTCTGGACGACTATGTGCTGTACGTTTGCCACTTAGCTGTTTGTATCCTGTCTTCTGGCGCTAATGATTCTTTCTTACAGGAGCACCGAGGCCCATCCTTTTAAGCGGCCAAAGAACTAAAGTGTTCTGGCATTCTAGCATTGCGAGTCTATGTACTCCGTACAGCTTTTCTCATCAGCAATATCTCAATTTGATTCAACAGGACCGGCGTTACGGGCATTATATTACGGCTTTCAATACACAGCATCTGGTACATCCACAGGCGCCATAGCAAAAGATATCCCAATCACTACTTTATCTGTGCATAATATCCCGCATCCATACATCCTACAAGTAGGCATAATACAAGATTAAAATTATACATAAGCAGAGACATCAACAGAATTCACCTTCAAATCCTCATCCTCCCGCCTCCTCAGCTCCGCTTCATCCTCATATTGTATGGAGTACCGGACCTCCTTATGGATTACCATCTTATCCTCCCCATCCCCTTGCTCAGTCACAACACTCGCATGTCTAGTATGCGACCTCGGCACGAGTTCAATCAAATCTGATGCCATTGCAAACGACCCCACAGACCCAGCCCTCACACCTTTCTTCCCCTTTTCCATTCTCTGGAAGCTCTGCTTCTTGCGCGGCGGACTGAGCGGGAACATCGACCGACTCCTTGGTGTAAGTATCGTAGCAGGCCTATCCCCATTGCTTCGATTATCTATAATCGCTCCGTGCGCATGGAGGGTGGTATCAAGACTTGAAGGACCCTTACTCGGTCCTTGGGTCTTTGACTGTCGCGACCCAGAGCCTGAACCATTGAAAGCTGGAGTAACCGATGGCCATGACCCGGTACTTGCTATTTTTCTCTGTATGCGAGAATGCGACATGGACCTTGAAACGGCATTTGGTCTCGATCTCGTGCCTGACCCCGACCCAGACGCGGTCTTCGAGCCATCTTTCGTGCCGTTTGATCTTGACGCGCTAGATTCCAGGGTCGAGTCACCCGCTGTACCGTAGTTCGTGCTGACTGCTGCCATGAAGGGCCGGAGGCAGAATACGCTGCATGCGACCAGGGCGTAGTGGAGCTCGACTTGCATCCAGACTGTTGGTCTGACAGCGGCGAGGGTTGTGTCTTCGTTATTTAGAGCGGTGTGGAGGGTTGAGATGTGAATCAAGGAGAAGATTATAAGGCTGGGATTGTGCGATTAGATTGGAGATCGGGGATGGGGATTGAGAATACATAAGTGCCGATGCGGATCACTCACGGGAAACGGAATATAAATGCAAAGCCGACGGCTAGTTTGCGGCGAACGGACATGAAGAGACCTTTCAAGAGCATCACAGCTAGGAGGAAAAGGAGGAGTTCGGTTGTGACGTCGACTGCTGCGATGAATTGCCATCGTATGTACTATTTTGGGGAGATGAGAGACGGCTTCGGGGACTTGATGCATGATATGTACATCATTGGTGGTTTACGTACCAAGTTATGGCATTGGCCGCTGTCGTTTCGCCAAGGTGTGTTTAGTTCACAGTTGACTAAGACAATGAATATAGCCGGGATGATCCAGACCGTGCAGAGAGCTAGTGTTGCCCAGGATGCGCGATTATGTGGTTTCTGGGGCGTGAGGCGGAGGTAGATAGCCACGACGCAGCATTTGGAGAGGTAAATGATTATTAGCGCGATGATATCGCTTGTTGCAATTAACTTAGGTAGTCGTTTAGTTGGGTTCGTTGATTCAAAGCAACTCAAAATCAAATGACAACTCACAGCCTGAATCTGATCGAGTCGACCATCCTTCAATAACGATATAGAAGTTCCGAATCCGCGCGAGCATGCATAGAAGATGAGGCTTGATTGCACCACAGCAACAGCCTGCGCACAAATTTGAATTACATGTCAGCAGTGTGCTCAGACAATCCATCCAACCCCAGCCTGACTCGATACGACTCGGTTTTTCGAGTCCTAACTCACTGTGGCACCTAACAAAACCCAATCATCGCGCGCAAACGGCGGAATCAGCATGAGTCGCACATAGAGCCGGATCAAGAAACACGCCAGGGACATAACGAGTCCCATTGCGGCAGTGATAATCACCCACGCGCCATGGTGCAAGTCATCGACGACCTCGAAGGGCGGCGACTGGCCTGGCGGCACATACGGGCCCATGTCAGTGGGCAAGAAGAGTGGCCACTGCAAACGGCAGCAGATTCTAGACAAATATCGTTCTCCGGGCTATCATTCATATCATGTGGGTGGATATATTGCGGTGTTGTGTGTAATGACTTATCAACACAAACACAGGAACGACTGTAAAAGGCTGTCAGATCTGTCAGCCATGTGGGCTGGATGGCAGGGCGGGAATATGTAAATCGAAGAAGGGGTTTGATTTGAGACGCTCGGACACTTTAGTGTAGAAGAGCAGAAGCAGGTATGCAGGCGTCATGGCGAGGCGAAAACGGTTGAGCTAGGTTCCATTTCTCCTATGCACTTGCAATGGTGATTATTTTTGCCTTGGGGGAAATCATATGCCGATACCCGATACATGAACTATCGAGTTCAGACATGTAAGTTGGGCTGGCTGGGTTCGCTCGATATACCATGCTGGGGGTCCCATTCGAATGCGCATGGCCGGTTTATCCCTTTCTTCCGTTGAAGGGTACAAATGGTGTCGATTATTATCATTTTTGGTGTAAGTTCAGGTCATCTGGTTGGAATGGTGAATTGCCTTCCCTCCCTCACGTCGAACGTCGAACTTTCAAGTACATTTGTACTGTGGGCACGCTGCTCTAGGGCACGGCGGCCCGCTGTAGGGGGTCATCGATCGCCATGGGCCTTTGAGCATTAGGCTTTGGCTGCTCGGGAGGTAATCAGCCGATAGGCCAGATGGTTTGCTTTTGAGCAAATGAAGCGAGGGGCTTATGCATTCACCCGCCATTTCGGGGCGTGGATTGTGGCGAAATTGTCTGGGGGATGGGCATCAAAGGGATGTGCGACCGAGATTAATATTATTAGTGAATTAGCGCGAGTGATGCATCAGAAATGTGTTGGGTAGTTGATGCCAGGTCTGTTCAGGGGATTAGGATTGTTTCTATCTTGCATTTTACGTTGTATACTCTATATCATTTTGATGACTGCGCTCTTAACCTCGGAAGAGAGAAAGAAGTCATAATTGATGTTTTGCACAACTGCATTGACATTGAAAGTAGCATTACTACAACCCCGATAGCCAGTCCAGATTTCAATATCTCCCAAGTATGGAGATGTTAAGTTGACAACCCCCCTTGGCATGCAAGGATTGGGATTCCCATTCCGGGCAAGAGTCAAGGGATAACAAACCTCAAAAATAAGTTTCAACAGTCCCATTCCCAATTGAAACTGGTGCATCATCCTCGACCAAACAGCGATGTATCATTCGGATCGTTGCTTGGGTGTTCCGAGAGGGCTTGTTCTCTCCCACATGGCGTCCGAGAATTTTCCCAAGCCATGCCTTGCTCCCACGTCAATACCACGCTTCGATCCCTGTAACTCAGTGGTCGTCAAGATTCCATTCCTTTGAGTTTTCTCCTAATACCTGCTTCTTCTGGTTACGGCCTTTTTTTTTTCTTCTCTTTTATTGGCATTCTCAGAGGTTACGTTTGTCGGGTGCTTTTATACTTCACATCCTAGGTTTTCGGGGTGTCAAGTTGCAAGATATAGGCTTTTGCTTTTATTCTCGCAACTCCCTGCTTTCTTGTGCGAAATCGTCTTGTCTCATCTATGATATATTTTAATATAGTCATTGAGTCACGCACGCAATCATGACAGTATCCAGAAAGTCCAGACCTGACTCGCAGCAGACGATGACTGTTCTTGAGGACGAAGAGGAGTATGAGCAAAAAGGCCTTGTTGAGCCTCGGTATATGGGCACGCTGGCAGATCGGCGTGATATGAATGCTCTTGGTCGAGTGCAGGTTCTGCGAGTAAGTTGCTTTTTTTTTTTGTTATTCCGGTGTTTTGGCCTTGCTAACATTACAAAGAGGAACTTTCGGTTTATATCTATTGTTGGATTTGGATGTACTTTGATCTGCACATGGGAAGTAATCTTGACGTACGTACTAGCCCCTATGTACAGTAATTATGCAGACTACTGAGCCCATTAATAGATTGCTGGCGGCGGGCTTGACCGACGGCGGTACAGCAGGCTTGATATGGGGATTCATCGGCGTTTCAATCGGATTTACCCTCGTCTATGCCAGTATTGCTGAGATGGCCTCGATGTATGTGACTGGCAACTTTCTGCCACTAGCTAGATCGCCGCTAATCAATCAAATAGGGCTCCCACTGCTGGTGGTCAGTACCATTGGGTGTCGGAGTTTGCACCGAAGAGTGGACAAAAGTATCTCAGCTATATCACAGGTAACATGACTACCTATTGCCTATCTAAGTTTGATGTATCTAAGTTGAATGAGCTAACATAAAATCTCAGGATGGCTATCTGCAATGGGCTGGCAATGTGCCATTGTGTCCATTGCATACCTTGCCGGCACCATCATTCAAGGTTTGATCGTCTTGAATCAGCCAGACTATAACTTCCAGAGATGGCATGGTACCATGCTGGTAATTGCCATCTCGACCTTCTCAATTTTATTCAACACTTTCCTAGCCAAAAATCTTCCCTTCGTGGAAGGATTGATTTTGATCATCCATATTGTTGGCCTGTTCGCCATCATCATCCCGTTGTGGGTACTCGCACCACGCAACAATGCTCGCGCAGTCTTCACGACGTTCAATAACGGGGGCGGCTGGGATAGCCCTGGGACGGCAACATTGGTCGGCTTGTCTACTACCATAACATCCATGCTTGGTTATGATTGCTCGGTTCATATGTGTAAGAAAGAGCTCTTTAGACGACCTTAGACCTGGTATGTGGTGCTGACTTTTAAAAGCCGAAGAAATCAAAGACGCGTCAGAAACACTCCCAAAGGCTATGATGACATCTGTTGCCGTTAACGGCGTGTTGGGATTTATCATGCTGGTCACACTGTGCTTCACACTAGGCGATATCGAGAATGTCCTCGACACCCCGACAAGATTCCCGTTCATCCAGATATTTTACAATACCACGGGTAGCGTCGCTGCCACAAACGCCATGACGGCCGTCTTGGTGGTGACGCTGACCGCCAGCACAATTACCGAAGTGGCAACAGCATCGCGCCAGCTCTGGTCGTTTGCCCGGGACGAGGGGCTGCCCTGTTCGTCGTTTTTCGCATATGTAAGCCACGTCTTCTCTCTGTGCTGGCCTCTGTGTGATAAGAAACACAGCATGTTCATCCAGATATATTAACAAGTCATAACCAGGTCACACCGGGCTGGAACATCCCCCTCAATTCCGTGATGGTGTCTTTAGTCATCACAGTGCTACTATCGATGATCAACATCGGGTCGCAGGTTGCTTTAAATGCGGTCATCTCGCTCACCATCACATCCCTGTTGTCCGCGTACATCATCTCGATCGTGTGCGTTCTTCTGAAACGGATCCGGGGCGAGATGCTCCCACATCACCGGTGGTCACTTGGAAAATATGGCATGGCGGTGAACCTTGGGGCATTGGCGTTCCTCTGTCCGATTTTCGTCTTTGCATTCTTTCCCCTGTCAACGGAGGTCACCGTTGAAACCATGAACTGGAGTGTGGCGATGTATGTTGGCATTGTTGGATCTGCAACGATCTATTATGTCGCTCGTGGGAGACATCATTTTATCCCGCCTGTAGCTTTGGTTCAGAGAGATGAAACTAGTTAAAGTGGCATTGGTTTGGCTAGGTTGGAGTATTTGTTTTTTGTTTTTCTTGTCTTTATTTTCTGTCTATGTTTTGGCTGCTGGGGGGATTGTGTGTATTTAGACGACGTGATGATGTGACGTACTCCTTACATAGTTACGACCTTGAGATTATGCTGTTATCATCACTCTGCACCTTGAGTATCATTGCTTCGTTCGTCCTATTCGAAGACCACCCCACCGAGTAAATGGTACAATAATGAGGTGGTGCTCACCCCTATTCACGATGATACTTACTCGATTGAAATGTCTCGGAGACTTTCAAGGGCACGGGGACCTATCAGCCGGTCATCGGCATGAAAATTAAGTTATCAGATGGAACCTAGTATGTATTAGCCCAAATTTGTCTTCCCCTGAAAAACAAGGGCCACTACCAGTCATATGTAAAGCCCAGTATTCTTACCCGGAATGATAAAGAAGATAGAGTGGGTACAATAGCTCAATGCAGTGCTATTAGTACGGAGTACATATTATTGAGTCAGTCACACACTAAATGTCTTAGAGATGAGCTATCTGTGAAGAAGTTAGCTCATAGTATCGGCAGGGAATGATTTCATACTATATATTATTATTGACTCAAGGATCAGCCAGTGGATCTTCTAACTGAAAGAGTCAGGGGTAATCTGTTTTGATCTGTTTTGTTTACGGAGTACGGAGTATGTATGTACTATTTTTCTAGAAGATCCTCTGACCCACTGATTGATCTCGACCGGCCTGACATCCCCACTTTGAACCAAATGGTTGGGAAATTGATTCACCAACCGTTAGGGACGTGTAAGCTCAAGCTGGGGGAGCTGAGGGGGGGCTGTGATGGGCCAACGGAATTCAAAAGGTTAGGTCCGGCTGGTCGGAAAGTGGGGGGCGTTCTATAGAGAAAGACCCATTCAATGAAGAGATTTTGATAACATAAGAGCCCCCTTTCTAGGTTGTTCCTATAAGATAGGGCGCCTGCGTACATATGGAGCGGAAGTGAGGACAGAGTTTCCAATTTTGGGAGGTAAGGTTATCAGATCAGATGACATAAAAACCTCCCGAGGTCGGAGGGCGGACAAATCCGCCTATCTGATTGATCTGATAACCGAGGTATCATATCATTTGTATTGTATCGTACTGTTATGTATATTACAGTTTTCAATTCAACATTTTCTGTCGGCCCACCTCGGAACGTACATTTTTTATTTCCAATTGCAGTTACATTATCCCTGTAGAACCCCTGTACACTACTATAACGTACGTTGTATGGAGTAGGCTCTAGGTGAATAGTTTAAATTGCAATCATCTGACATCTTACTAAAGTTATTCCGGACCAGTTAACAGCCGGTACTTGTCGGCTGTTGCTGACGCCACCAAATACGTGTAAAGTACAAGTTCATCTTCATATGCACTGTCGATCGGAATGGATACGATAGCTTGAAATGGAGTCAATGCCATATCCAGTAGTTGAGTCCCTATTACTGCTGACAATCAAGATCATCGTTAGTCCAGATCTGATATATTCTAGCTCTTTATATGGTAAAATATCAATGCCGAAACCAACCGCGTAACATACCCGATGACGAAGAATGTGGCAAATCTGATAAATCCCTGTTCTATTTCTGATCAACGCTTGTGAGACCCTGTATTTCTCATTTTCATACCGTCATTTTCACTTTCCCGAATCTGTACGGAACTATCGTCCCGACCATTATTCGGGTCCACGCTTTCCTCCCTCATTCCACTCTTCTATTTTGTTTCTATGCTCTTTCCATAGAAAAAAAGGGGGGGAGTGTTCTCTTACGATAATTATCATCACGTCTCGACTCTTATACCCCGGTCTTCCCTTGTTGCGCCGACTTTTGTGCAACTTTTCGGTGACTCCCAACACCTCTTTAAATTTCCTCATGGGTATGCAGAGAACGATCAATCCCAATCCAATTGTTGAGACTCACATTCTGATCTATCAATTAAGTTCACGCCGTTCAATCTATCATGCCGTCGGCGACTTATGCTTCAACGGGGTCTCGCCCCCGCAGAGGCACTTATCAAGAAATTCCAGTATCCTCGACCTCCCACCCAGATAACCCAATTCCGGAAGAGCCTCGTGGTGTACGTTCACTTTCAGTGACTGACACCACATTCAATGTCATCTCGTCGGGCTCCTCCCAGGGCACTACATCGAGCGGTTCAAATTCCCCAAATACCCCTCTAACACCACCCACCGAGTCCCAATCGGAAGAAGAAAATGTGGAGGAAAAGGTCGACGATGGTCGGCAACGGCGACGAGCATCGACTGTCCTCATTTCACAGAACGCGGACGATATGCGAAGGGTATTGGAAAATGTGGGCACAGCAGGAACTCAGAAGCTTCAATCCCTCTGCTGTGGAGGGGGTGTTGTCGAGGACAGGCACTGCGCCCTGTAGATGGACCGATCTCAGGCTTCAATTCGATTGTTGGACCTGTCGGCAACAAGGCCTTTGATAGCCTCAAGCTAAACCTCAATCTCCTCACTATGGACAGTAAGCTATCCAACATTGCCCCGCTCCCAGAGAAGACCGTTTCGTTCAAGCCAGCCCCCGCATCGGCGGTTGAAATGGCCTTTGGCCCAGCAGACCACCCGCCGGAATTCGTGCAGCCGCACCCACCTTACCAGGTATACCGTGCGCCTCTGTTCCACACCCGTGAGTTGACGGGGCCTGGCGCCGAGAAACGCACGTATCACTTTGATATCGATGTCACAGACTACCCTGCCGAAAGCGGGATGGTCGATTTTGTAGTCGGCGGTGCAATTGGCGTGTGCCCCAAAAACAAGGACTCCGAAGTCGAAGAAGTCCTCAACCTCCTAGGTGTGCCAAAGTCTATGCGCGACAAGAAAGTCCTCATGCGCACGACCAAGGGCCGTTGGCCGACAATCTGGGGTGACGACAAACCTCGCGAACTCATCACTACCCGTCGCGAAGTCCTAAGTTGGTGCTCCGACATTCAGAGTTACCCCCCAACAAAGCCACTATTCCGCCTCCTCGCTGAGTACACGAGCGAGCCAAACGAGAAGAAAATTCTCGAATATCTCTCCTCTGCCCAAGGCCAAGGGGCCTTCTGTGACATTCGCACAAGCTCTTTCGTCTCCCTCACCCAACTCCTAACCGCCTTCCCAAGCTCCCAACCACCCCTCGACCACCTCCTCTCCGTCCTTAACACCCTCATGCCCCGCTTCTATTCCCTCTCTCAAGACCCCCAGATCTCCTGCCAATACAAAGGCACCGAATGCCGACGCCTAATCGAAATCGCCGTTACAGTCGCTGAATCCGATGACTGGCGTGGGGGAACCCGCACAGGCGTAGGATCCGGGTACCTGGAGTCTCTTGCGCGGCGAGCGATTGCAGCCGAAGCCGCTGGCGAGAAACTCGATCTCCACGTACCCATGTTCCGCGGACTGATGGCGAATCCACTGGCGAAACGATTTGCGTCAGATGGCCCAATGCTGCTCATCGGCGCGGGCGTTGGTATCGCGCCTTTCCGCGGCTTTGTGCAGCGCCGTCTGCAGTCGGCAAACTGCGCTAATAAGGTCTGGGTGCTGCAGGGCGTGCGCGACTCGCTGCTTGACGAGCTTTACTCGGGCGAGTGGGGTGTGCATGAGGATAAGGTGCGCACAGTTGTGCAGAGCCGTAGGGGCGAGAGTCGCTATGTTCAGGAGGAGGTTAGACACCAGGCTGATCTTGTTTGGTTTGTTATCAACTCGCTGGACGGTCGTGTCTTTGTTTGTGGTTCCGGCAAGGGTATGGGTGAAGGTGTCGAGGCTGCTCTTATTGAGGTTGCTATGGCCAAGGGCAATCTCAATGCTCAAGAGGCCGATATGTTCTGGCAGCGGAAGAAGGAGGCTGGACAGTACATTGCTGTAAGTTTGATGTGCTTTGATTTCTAGGGCTATGCTGACTCTTTTAGGAAACTTGGTAATCACCTCCATTCCAGGTTGGCTTGATGCATCGTGCCTTGATGGCTGAATGCTCAGTATAATCATGTGCAAAAGACATTTTCGGTTTTGTCTGTACATACTTTGTCCCATCCTGCCTGCATCTGTAAAAGCTCTGCGGTTGTTTTTCTTTTTCTTTTTTTATTTCTTTTTTTTTTTGCTTCGAGCTCATGGCTAGACTCACTCGACCAGGTCGTCGACTGGCCGTTGTTTTTGCTCTTTGCTTGATTCTGGTCTTTTCTTAGCGTGGTGGTTATCTGTTCTCTCGTCTTTCTTATTTTGCATTCTTAGTATCCCGGATTTACTTTGCGTTCCTCGGGTTTATGGGCTGTTATCTTGGTTCTATCTTCAATTGAATATGCATAGGTCTATCTTTGTTCTTTTCTGATTTTTCGGTCTGTTATTATTGCCATGGTTTGTTTGCTGCTTTGACTGATATCATGTCTACTTCGGGGCAGCCTCAAGTCCCAACCCAAATCCCAAAAAAGACGACTTAGCATACCCCGACCAACCCATTTACATGGGAAATCAAGCATCAAATCCATTTCTCCGATCTCTCATGTTTCTTTTTCCGCACCGTCACGGCCATCCTCAGCTGACCTTCAGAGCCAACCATTCTCCTGGTTCAAACCAACCTACCCTCTACATCTACAAAGCTTTGATCGGTTCTCTTTTGAGAAACAATCACATCTGATTGTCCCTGCGGCGGTGCAACACAGGCCCTTAGCTCCGCTAGGAACACTTATGTTATGATGGTTGCCTAGAATCTTAGATTTCAAGCCATTACCCAAGGTAGGTTGACTGCTTTTCCCGTGGTCTCATACTTCTCTATCTTTCTTCTTGTTTCTGACCAATTATCATAGGCCCCAGCAGTTCACGTCGCTCCCCTCGACCATTTCCCCAAATGGGATATGTGAGAGCTATGTTTCCTTCCCACTAGCATGAAGTAAAATGGATCCGAATTCATTAAAATCCACCTGTTCTCAGATATCTCCTACGATACATGCTAATTCCTAGAGTGTTTCACTTTGGGTTGTTTCATTGTGATTACACCGCGATATCATATGATAGTCCTTTTTGAAAACCCTTGGAAGTACCCACAATTCGGTACTTAAGACTGGACACCATCCCCTTTATCACGCCCGCATTCCATTGTCATATTGATGTTGGTGGACAGCTTCAGTCATCAGCAGTAAAAACTCGGAGATGATGGACTTCCATAATACTGGCTCTTTGGCAACACCGAAAATTGGAGCGATGAGCGATAACGCAGATGACACAATGTTTGCCCAGGGCCTAGTGGACTTCTTTTCACATTTTGCCAGCACCGAGGTTATTAGCCATGGGACTTGTGACTCTTCGCCGCCCAGCAGGGATCCACTTGGACTGGAGTTCCTAGCCCGCCATCCAGCATTCCCTCCGCAAATTGCTACCGAAGGACTTGTACCCCTCCTCGACAGTTACATAGACCGGTCCGTTTCAGCAGTCAAATCAGCCAGTGCCGTGCGGTTGGCGCTTCCACAACACGACTTGTCACAGGCTTTGAGTATATATGGCATACCTCAAGCCCCGGCGGTACCATGTGTGTCACAGTCCAGCTTCGGGGATCATGATAGGCAGGCAGAGCCCCCCGGACCGAGAGAGTTGTACCGCATAGCTTCAAACTGCATGTTGTCGGCTTTTAACTTAAGCAAGGCTGTCAAGGGCGCCAAGAGCGCCAAGGGTGCCAAGGATGACAACGTGGTGCGCATCAGCACGGACCGCCCAGTCATTCCTAAATCGACCATCGCTCTAAGTCCTGAATATGTGTTTGCGACCTTTATGTTTGGAGGACTCTGGTACTACTACGCCAGTCGCTCTTCTATCGAGCCAGTCGTGGACAATTGGTGCTCATGGCTCAATGACAGGATTGCTGGTGCTAGGGCACCGCCAATCAAGAATACTCCTTGGCTCGGCTCTACTAAATCGTTGTTTGCTGCCAATACAGAGCATGATATTCTTGCAACTTTGTGGACTTTCGTGACTCGCGGTGCTGGTAATCTTCAACCAACTGGGTATCAAGCTAGCTTCTCTGAGTTCTATTCAATGATGGCCCTCCGGGCAGGTGTCTCTTTCGTGGCCTACGACGGCACCCTCTTAATTGATACTGCTGTGGTCATGCAGACAGTGGCCCAGGTTCCAAATCTCGGATATGATGGTATGACTGGTGACCAAAGAGGAGCTGTGATTTTTTTCGATTGCGACATGGGCAAAGCCTGGGCGGCTCGTTTTCTTGCAGCGGTCCGCTGGTATACCCACTGCTCTCCTAGTGCCATGGGATTAAGCACAATAGCAAGTGGCTTATATGCATATACATCACAACGCCATGGGCCTGGCTACTGGAAATACATCCGCCCACGGCTCATCCACACACAGGGTCAAGCGTCCAGCTTTGACTTGCCTGTCTGTACCCCCAGCTTTTGGTACGATGGTGGACTTGAAGAGCGCCAGCCACCACCACTCCGTCCATGCAAACACTGTCCACAACCTATCTATGATTCCCCCATAATTGGTGCTATCAATGCCGTCTCGTCAATCACAGAGTGTGAGACTTATGAGCAATGGCGCTCTCAAATTGCTATATCCGTTGCCAGCGTGGATAGTTGGCTGCGCGACCTTGCAACTCGTGGTGAGAGCGATGTCTTACTCCGTGCCACAATAGGAGCAGCCCCAAGCTTCCTCACTCTATTGTCTAAGACCCTTACTGCTGTACTAGAATTCGATTGATTGCCTTATGCAGGACTTGGGAATTTAATAGAGGTATATATATAAGAAGAGATCTGCCGGGATGTTTGAATACTGCTCTTCTATCGTGAAATACAATAGTACCGTTCTTTTGTCGTATTGCCACCTTCGCGAATGGGTCTCATGTGTTATAGCTCCAGTGTTTGTGATATGATACTTGAACAGGCCTCTTTTGTTAGATGTGTTCGGAGCGAAATCAGGAGAGCATCCAATGGTCCGATGCAGAACCGCCATGGCATTAGGTACCAAGGTTGTGACATCCATAGATCTCAGAGCTGCTTTCCATGGACGTGATTTTCTTTTGTACCGAATTTAGAAGGCGATCTCGGGAAGGCCGAATGTGGGGCTATTCATCACTGTCCACCTAGATGCTCCAAGATTCTTGCGACCATCCTCATCCAATGAGATCCTTCTCACCTTAGGTCTCCAATTCACATCGCCCCCTTGTCAGTGTGCCGACATCACAGCCCAAGACGGTCAACAAATCTGGATTCGAAAGTCCCTTCGCTCAGCTTGGGCAAAGGTCTCCCCTAGACGAGGTTGGGGCCATATCCAAGGAAGCGCGGATGACAAATTTTACAATGTACAGCATAGGAAGCGGGAAGTGCCAGTCCTGATATCCCGCAGAGGATCCGCAGTATTTCCTAATCGGGCGAGTTGACGTTCAATTTGGGCTCTAAATTTAGCCGGTCAGGGTAGCCAAGCTCTCATCAAGCAGAACGCAGACAAAGAAACAGAATATTATCGACATGGTCTTTAGCGCCGAGTCAGGCACTAATGCATAACCTACCGATCCTCCCGTTGCTACACCTTTCACCATCCAACAGATCATACCACTCCAGGACAGGATAGGAAATCCATTGCCGAGCCCTGCCTGACTGCCTAACCTGTTCAAGAAAGAGACGCCTGACACTGACCCACGTCATATTTCCAGCAAGAACCGCCATGTAAAAATAATGAGGACGGATTGGACCAATAGAGAAAAGAGTCGAGCATATTATGTCCCATGGCGGCGAGGGATTGGTGGCCTTGTCATAAACTATCTGCTTGGCACACCTAAATCATGCATGAACTCCTGTGACACAAGTCTATATTGTTTTTGGACAGCCAGATAAGCCAACAAATTGGATTGTCTAGGTTCCAAGTGCCTGTTCCGCACTTGCTGGAAGCCATGCACCTCTCAACGGTCTAGACATTTAATTTTGAGGTTGGGTTTATGCAGAGAGCCCGTTTGGGATGCCTTTGCATGACTGTGTTACTATGCTGCGGTACTATACCGCTCATTATTATATTCAATCTTCCCAATCGCTGTACTTTTGTGATACCCACAAGGAGATGAGAAAAGGATTGAGCCGACAGTTCAAGATCATTGATTCTCAGACCTCTAGGCTGAATTTATTAAAAAAGAAAGAAAGAAAGAAAGAAAGAAAGAAATCCTTATGATAGAAGCTCCTACGTCCGAATGATGAAAATCAGGTTAGACACCCAAATTTGGAGAAATACATCAAAATCCAATGCCAAAATGCCAAAATGCCGAAGATAAAATAATAATCACACCCCCGGTAGACCCAAGTACCGGGAAACGGAAATTACAGACGCACGGTTCAAATATGTATTCCCACCGATCTGGAGCAATTCCTCCGATGCTACTTAGGATATACAAGTCAAAAGTGGATGCAAGAGGGATATTTTGACAGAGGACGGAGTACCCCTCTCTGTTCTCTGGCTTTGCAGACTCAGACATTCGCATTTTGGACCAGTCACTTTCCCAGAGACGACCCTGGTTGCCTGCGAGATCCGATGATCTGCATTCCCTCATGCACGATCTCGGATCTCTGAGGGTCGAATGGCATGGCAGGTATGACGATCGGCTGAAAATTCATTTTCATTTTCATTTTTCTCTTTTCTCTTTTTTTTTTTTTTTTTTTTTTATTAGCTTTGGGATTTTCAAATACGTTCAAAGTTCGGACTTTTCAAGAGATTTATGAACTGGCGAATCCAAGGAAACTGGTAGATCCGAAGCTTCGAGGCTAGTTCCTGGAAAAATAAAATATCCAAATTGGAAAAGGATCTTCCCTTTGATGGGTGGATCAAAACTCTTAGCTTGAATGCAATACCCAAAGGACATACCTTAGGGCCCGAGGTGACACTGCCGTGTTTAAGTCATTAAACTTTCAAGTACATAGACTTGGGTGTCAGATGCAGACGGGTGATGGATATTTGAGGATAGGGCTAGAATGGAAGACGACAATTCCAATCCTCTTTTGCTTACGTATAGGATTCACTAGGAATCTCAAAAAGAAATAGGAATTTCTTCCAGCTGGATTGGCAAACTGGCAACCAGATCACACTCAGCTTGCATTGGTTTAGGCATCTCCAGACTCTCTCGCTCTTGAAATTGTCAGAATGTGACTAGTTTCTCGGGCGGGTCTATTAGTGCGATATGTGTCGTGTCAAGCTGAGAAACTGCTCCAGAATATAGTGCTCTAGGTTCCATATGGAGGCGATACGCGAGGCAAAGATCCTTAGCGCAAATCATTTTCCGATCGGTGACTTTTTTTTTTTTTTTTTAAATAAGCACCTAAGATGCGGACACACCTGAGAGATATCATATGCGAGCATTGGGATCAACTTCTCACCAATTGACCTCAGTACCGTGCACAAGGGGAAAAGGGAACCAGCCAAAGCGGGTTCTCAGGATCCTCTGACGTTCGGGATACAAAAAAATCCCCCCCAACAATTCAGACGCCACAAGCTCTGGAAGGAAGTGGAGATAGAAATTGAAGAACCCCTAGATCCCTGTAAGCCAATACCAGCCCCTCTTTCTGATCGATCAATCATCGATCGATCGAGCCGAGGCGTCATCTGTGTGGTTTCTCATTCGTTCAAATCAACGAACATTTCCGTCAAATTTGACCATCTGGGTTAAGCTCCGGAACACGATCTTTTTGGAACCAGTGATAACTCTCCTTGGAAGCGGCGATCTTTTCCTTCGACTTGATGATTCCAGCTTGGACTATTTGTTTTTTTTTTCTAAACAGAAGTGATCGGGTTATATCTTTGATCTTGGATTGAACCCTCTGGTCTACTCCATGGATATTCCTTTCTTTTGAATTTCTCTAGTAAGTCTCCCAGCCAGAAAAAAAGCAATTAGAATGTGATTTGATTTGATATATTACAATTAGCTTTAGCCTGACTCAGGCACATCATGACAGAATCCTTCCCCTCCTTACTCCGTACTCCTGTGGACGTTCGGACATACCCAACCTTTTCTATATTGCTTTTTGTTGGATCTACCGCGGTACTTGGAAGTATAGCGGAGTACCTCGTTCTCGCTTTCAACTTGAGAATCTCTCTTTTTAGGATAATATTGACCTTATAAACGCTGGCATGGGATCCCCCGATTTTGACGTACACACTAGTGAACCCTTTCTTTTTTCGTGTTTTTCGATTTAAAATAAAATCCATTCCTCGCCGATAATCTCCAATTCCTCCAATGAGAACCTTGGAACACCTCAAATATAATCTATAATACTCCGTAGTTCATGAGAGATCCCAGAGATTCAACCTTAAGGGCCCCTGTGCCCTTGACACGGCTGTACCCACCAGCCCACGATCGTCATTTTTCGGCCCCCCCTGTTCTTGCTTTTCCATGGACATGTAACAGCCGGATATCTCTCTTTTTTTTATTTTTCTTTTTCTTTTATTTTCTTTTTAATTAACTGAGTTGGGGCGACTTTTCATTTTAGTATAATGTACGGGGCCCTGCATTATTTGGGACCGCATTTCCATCTTTGCCCTCATTCCCCAACCTTGCATATAATCTTGGCCTGTCTCTCTCTTTTTTATTATTCTACCATGTCAACGTAAAATCAGCCTGCTTTCCCTGGTGAGTGACTGTCCCTTTTTTACACTTTTTGTTACAAACTTTCCCGATATTCGATTCTGACCGTGTCGAGTATAGTTCTCTGTACACCGTGAAACTCTTTGCTACACAGACATTTCTATCCTTGTCCCCAAATACCTTGTCTATGTCACAGTCCCACGAGGTAGACGAAGATACCGATATGGCTATTTCGTATACCCAATCGTCAACCGGACACCCTCCTCAAACCCTCCCCTCATTTCGCGAGGTAAGATAACAGACTAACCTGGTGCACTGCCTGAAATGAAATATCTAACATCTCGCAGCTCCTACCTCCCCACCTCCACGATGAAATTGAATCAACCTCCCCATTCTACAACACACCTCCCCACCTCCACGATGAAATTGAATCAACCTCCCCATTCTACAACACAACCCGCCACTCACAAGACCGCCCACCCTCCGGGCACGATATGTCCGACCCCCGCTCAATCCCATATGGCAACCAATCCAGCAACATGGCCTACGATTCCCATCGCGAATACACGGTCTCCCGAGGCGCAGAACAACAACCCCGCATGCCAGATCCCGGCCACCACCACATGCATCTATCCGAGAACGCATCCCGCGGTCCCAGCCCCATTCTCCCTCCAATCCGCGATCTGGACTCCATGCCCGGCCGGGCAATGAACTCTTCCAGCAAAGGGTATCCTGAGCGGGCACCACGCTCAGACCCCTTCGTCGCGCAGGAATATCGCCAGCCCGGACCGGCAGCGATGTCCACTGATCCGCATCCCCGCGGTGAGCACTTCGCTGCACCTATCATGCACCCCCAGTCACCGTATGGGCATCCTCCTATCGGGTATGCGGATGAGCAAATGTCGCCTCAGATGATGGGACATGGTCAGGGAAATTTCGGGATTATGGGCGATCAGATTGATCCCAAGACAAAGCGGAGACGGGGGAATTTGCCCAAGCCCGTGACGGATATCTTGCGGGCGTGGTTTCATGACCATCTGGACCATCCTTATCCCAGTGAGGAGGATAAGCAAATGTTTATGACGAGGACCGGGCTATCGATCAATCAGGTGAGCATTTTGACTGACGATTGAGCTTGCTTGTATGACTGGATTGCTAACACTCATACAGATTAGCAACTGGTTTATCAATGCTCGGAGACGACAACTACCTGCGCTGCGCAACCAAATGCGAAGTGGTGCGGATGCGGAGTCTCAGCGACAGTCACCTTTTAGTGATGCTGACGGATCGGAGCATCTGCCCTCTCCTCATCACTAGAGTGACGACGAACCTGGACCTAGAGGTTCGGGTCTAATAACGGCCTTTTTTTTTTTTCTCTCTAATTCTGTTCATTTTTGAACGTTACATGGCATTCGCAACGTCAGCGTTTTATTCACTTTACGACTGGGAGGCTTCTTATTGTTTCAACCTACCCTTTACGAATCACGGGGTTGAGGATACGGCGAGCTCGATAGACTGGCATCTTATCTCTTTTCTTTTCTTTTCTTTTTCCTTTTCTTTCTCTTTCCTTTTTCTCTCACCCTCCGGTTCTCTGGACTTCACCCTACGTGTGTCGCATCGCCGTCCGGTACGGATACTTTGGTCAGGCATCACATTTTGATACCCTTTCTCGTTGGTCGCGTTTACCAAGCGGAAACATTTTTTGTTGGGAAATCAACAGGCAAAAGGGGTATGCGACAACTTCTGGCATTGGAATCCCACCAAATCATTTCAGTGATTGATTCTACTTTGTGTTCTTTTCTTTTTTCCATGCTACACCACATTTTCATTTGCATTGAGTGCCCTTGGACAAACCCGCGAAAATTGCATTACTAGGTGTTTAGAGGAACCTTCGACTTTCAGATCTACACATTTATATTTATTTTTCAGCTTCGTTCTCTGGTTCTGATAATACTTTTTTTATCCTACAAGCATGATCCGAATATCAAATGTCCCAAGATGAAAATCCGGAATCGGCAGATCTCAGCTGCCCACCGCGCAACCCGTCTCCACTACGTCTCCATCGACACTAACCCATGTTGTATGTTCTTGTTCGCATCCCGCGGGAACGTGGACCTGGCCTTCCCAATGGCTCGCAGCACTGTGTACCTTTCCCCCTCCGGCAATAATGACCTCTTGCGAGTATTCACGCACCCTATCAGAAGTATGTGAATTACTTTTGTCGTATATTTGTCTCTTTCTCAACCATCGAGAACCTGAAAATACCATTGAAAAAAGAAGTGGTTGTCGGGCCGGAGGAAGGAGACAACCAAGGTTTGGACTGTCACTTAATTCCAAATTGATAGACCCGTAAACTAGTGGATAATTCGACACTCCATATGTCAAGATCGACCCCAATTTTGACTTTTATCATTTTTATGACGTCGATTTCCCAAACATCCCCCTCAATCCTACCACGGTCTTTGTTCCTTTTGACCTTGAAGTTTGGTCTTGGAATCTGCTTTGCTCTATTATCATCACATTGTAAATCTTATCTTTTCAATAACACTCATGGAATCATAGCAAATACTGATCTACACTATCTACCCAAGTTTCAGTCTCCCGCGAACTGACAGCTGCATACGACTTAAACTTCAACTCTTCGGCCTCTCCGTTGGAGTACCGTGGATTTTCCACAAATCTAACAAAAATCCACCGATCCACAAAATCCACCCCAGACCATGGAATCCTTCGCTTTACGATTTATTAGTGTACCACGTGAGCTCCAGATTCGATCTGATCTCCAGTGGTTTTTTTTTTTTTTTTTTTTTTTTGGCTCTGCCATTGATCTAACTAGACTGAATTTCGATGTGGAGTTGAACATATTAATTAACCACTTACAACGATTGAGCCATATATGGCTTAAAATGGAATCTGAGTATATACCGCTTTGGGGAGACTCTTCGTAGTTTCTCAGCTCAAATCTTATTCTGATTCCGAAACATATCCGAAGCGAGTGTGCTTGGACAGGTGGAGTTTCCTTCCAATCACATCACCTTACTCAAATATTGTACCTGCGAGTACATCTGTTGGAGGGGTTCTAGTCGTACTCGGCTTGTTTATACTCTGTGATTTTCCCGAGATATCCCCTGAAGACACAATTATGGGGTTCTGACACGACCCCAAAATCATTTGATTGCAGATCTTAGGCTTCGGCCATCTTGCCGAGTAGAATTGAATCATTTGAACCGGGTGGGTACAATATGCCATGTAGGTTCTATACCATACCACTTAGGGTACATAGCTTCAAATTTGAGACCTCAGTGGGGGGACTGCAACCCACTTGGTTGAACTCATATTGTAAAAGTGATATCCAATGCACATCCAAGGATTCGAATGAAGAAAAAGAAAAAGAAACAACAGAAGTAGGGTTGCAGTTACATCTATCTACTCTGTAATTCTACCGCAAAGAAGTAAATATGCATATAGAATGCACGATGTAGCTCGACTGATTAAGAAGCAAAACCAAAACAAAAAAAAAAAAAGTAAGCACTTCATAGCCATACCCTCAATAAACAATATACAGAATCTGGAACAGGGGGTAATGCCGTACCCAAGTCCACATAGGGGGGAGCGGATATGCAAGCCACCAGCACAAACCCCGAACATCCAGCATCTCCGGCGCCCACGACTGGCCGATCTAAAAAGCAAAGATGCACCCAACAAAAAGTCGTGCAGCGTACATCCAACGTCCCAGAATTTGGCCGTGCTTGACCAAATCACAGTCTATGGAAACCTTCACCCCCTACCTTACCGATGCACCGTCGCAACCCTGCCTCTTGTCACTAACTAACCCAAGACAAAGACCCAAACCCGGATTCTGCGCCCTACGATGGAGTCCCGATCCGTGTCTTTGTCCACCCCCTCCTCCTCCGATGTCCGGTATCCCAGATACGTGCATCCGACCCATCATATAGCGGTGAAATCGGCATCTGACACTTCGTTGTTGTGTACGGAGTACCAAAGCACAATTTGCGGTATGTTGGGTGAGTACTGTGCTTTTGTCCCCCCGTGCGTCATACATATTATGTTGGGAGCGACGTGTATATGCGTGCGTTTTCCCTTCCCGCGCTGGTATGACATGAGCGTTTAGGCCTCGGCCTGGGACGTGCGTGTCGATCACCGAAACGTCTCTGCTTGAGGTGGGAAATGTGGGCTCCCTGTCTTTTATCGGAGGTGTCAACTGCGGGATTTGTGAGCTATCTCATGTCAGGATTTGGGTTTTGCTGATCGCGTGTAGATCGATAGCTAATTCATCTATATTGTAGTCTCACCGTAAACTCCGGAGGACAACGGAACACTTACATATGCTGTGCTCCGTACAACGTATGTTGTATGTAGTCTGCACATATTTTGAATAAATGGATCGGAGCACGGAGTACGCGGAGCTGTATAATGTATACGATATGATCTCCACATTAGAGATTTGGGTCGCGCTGAAGTGGGAATTGAAATAGAATCACCCTCGTCTACTTTGACTTGAATATAATATTATTTTGTTACGCAATTTATTTTTGGATCTTGCTCGCTGGAAGTCGCCTAGCACGGTCCCGGTTTGGTCCCCGTCCCCGTCCTCCCACAAACTATTGAATCAATCCATATTGATTTCATATAAATGATCGGCAGACCCACCGTTCGACGCCTATTATGTATGAAAATCAATAGCGTCGCTTAGCATGACCGCGATTGCATTTTTGACATTTGCGCTCTCCTTTTTTTAGAGATATTAGCACGGGGGTTTGTTCATTTGTGGACTAGCGTGATACTTTGTAGACGAGATAGCCGCTTATGCTCCTTCTTAACTACTATACACTATGTATATAAAGGCTGTCCTTTCAATGCTGGACGTAAGGTGTGTTTACGCTGTCGGTGTGCTTGTGGATTGATTCATGGTTTAGGGGATATTGTGTACCTATCGAAAAACAGGGTTGACGCCGGTTATTCGTTTGTAATCAGGGATGGCATGACTCGCCATGTCCCAAAATTCATTTCATTATTGACATGTCTAGTTATGTAGATAAACTTGGCGGTTATGCTGCATGTGCACGCCACTATCAACCATCTATATGTTAATTGGCCAATCCTAAGCAGCGAGATGCAGCTATTTACATCAAATTGTTCCCAAAATGAAACATACATGATGTCAAGTCAATATCTGAGTCACGGCCTTAAATTGGCCACCACAGTTATGCAAGGATGGAAGCAAGCACGGACATGCATCAGCCAGTCTTTGTGTACAGAATGTCCATGACTCGGGTTCACCGAGTTTTGCATGTTACAAGTAGAATGTCATGAGTCAGAAAAAAATTAGAATAAATGAGATGTCAGACAGATCTGTCCGTCGATGCATATTGCTTCTCGGGTATCTAAGACCTGGCATATCTCATTCAGGCACGCTAGTGCACACTCGATGTGATTAGCGTCAGGGTACCCTGGTATGTAAGCATGACATTTGACCTAACTCCTAGTAGATGGGTCTTTTCTAGTGATTTGCCTATCTAGGTAATTCAGTCCGTGGGCGCATTAGTATGAGTAAGAGTCGACCGTTGGCTAGACTATTTGCTCGCAAGGGTTGCTAGTATGGTTTGTGCTGAGACATACCTCAAGCTTCTCATTGGGCTTTATGGTGTGGCCGTGATCTATTCTTTCCTTTGGTTTTGTGTTAGCTATTACGGCGTCAATATCTAGGAATATTGGGAATCATATATTCATTTAATCAGTTTATTGATCTAGGCTTCATCCCGGCTATCGAGTATGTGGAAATTTATTGCTTAGAAAAACTGGCCATGAGAATTAAACCTGTCAAATGCCCTTCTCTCGAGCTATTTACCAGACTGCTTCCTTAACCTATGTAATCCGAGGTCACCATACCCTAATATTGCTCTCTAAGTACGCCCGTTTATGTAGGAATGCTGCAGAATGCTTGAACTTTTCCCCTGCTTTAGGGCTAAATTTTTCTTTCACAGCCGCATGTTGAACAGATAACCTCGAGCACCCCGGTATACGACCACAACGCTATGCGACATATAAAGAAGATGTATATGTCCATCAGCTGGCCTTGTGTGTTTTACGGCTGGGGTACAGCCATGTTTCATAGCCAAGTTGACTGTTTTGCTGCACTTATGTGTGATTATTTCGAACTTTGCTTCTTTTCTCACGTTGTCTACCTGCACTGGGATGACTGTCTCCCTACTCTGGCTATTTGTGAGACCCTTTCCTCGTAGCGATGATCTCCCAACTGTTCGGAAGTGTAACAGAGCATGCCTCCCGTGTATAGCGCTTATATAGCTTTGTATACTTTCTGTCGGGGGCAAAGTTCTTACCTCGATATAATGGCCATACGCATGCCTATCCAATTCCTTGTTTGTATGCTCGAACCCAGCATGATTTAGAGATTTGTGGAGTCACTAAACTTGCTTGCTCTCACGATTCCGATAAAATATATAACCGCATCAAGAGCCGATCCAATGGATTTCAAAAGCTCAGAAAACGCCCATCCAGGGAAGTAGCAACATCACAGAAAGTACATTTACCCAATTAGACGCAAAAATCAACACTACAAACCTGAAGTTGCCAAATTATGACCGCGAGAGCTCCCAAGCCCATGGTCACGTGCAGAAAGCGGCGTTAACCGAATATAAGCGTGTGTATGCGAATCCCACAATGGGTTTGCTTATAATACACATTTTGGCCCACCTATATAACAAGGCCGGCTGGCCCAATGGCAAGGCGCTTGACTACGAATCAAGAGATTGCAGGTTCGATCCCTGCGTCGGTCACTACAATTTTTTGTGGTTTTTTTCCCCTCTTGGCGTAAAATGTCAGAAACAATGTGTCCAGCACGATGGTGCGGAAGTGCAAGATCTGGCGATGTTGTCGTTCCCCCCCCTCGCGTCTGTCATACATACCATCATAGTAGGAGAGAGAGAGAGAACAAAATGAAACCAAAAAATGCGAGGAAGAAGATGAGAGCAATAGAGAGAGAGACACGATGCTCTTGGTCTCATGGAGACGAAAGTGAGCAGCAGGACAGTACAATGTTGGGGAGGCCTCAGATACAAGGCAAACTGTAGACGAAATATATCTAGCAATATGGCACGGAAGCATTAGGCGACCAGTCTGACCATGTCAAGTGTCAAGTGCGCACAAATACCAAGGGCGGATGACGAGTCTTGTTAACAATATTCCTCATCTGCAATGTACCCGTCTAGACTGCACGTACTCCGTTGAGATCATCTCAACAGTCTCCTAAGCGCTCAGGGGACGCAATCCAAGATAGAAACATGCAGCTTCAGCACCCACATATTTCTAGTATATATTGAGAAAGTTAATTTCCAAATGGCTTATCCTACGGCAAGCTTGGAAACGCCACAGGACTTTAACTAGATAAAACGTTCCGGCGACACTGCATTGATAATGAACACCGGGGTTTCGGGGTCTTGGGAACCCCCGAGGTCCTTTTGTCAACGCTAACGAATAAATCCCGAACCAGAGATTGTGTCTGAGCTTAAAGCTTATGTACAATCCAGAGGCATATACATTGGCCCTGATCAAACTCAAACATCCGGCTATATAGCATGATTGTGGAAAGGAGGGAGTGGATCAATCCAAAATACTATAACATGTGCCCGATTTAGACACGGGCCGAGAGATTGACGGAGATAAGTCTCGATCCATCACAAACAAGACAGGGATTTCTAACAGTCAACATGGTCCTTATCTCTGAGAGAAATCGTGTCTGCCTTGCTGGGCACCAAGTCTAAAGGAGTTTGTAAGCCCGACAACCTGTACATTTTTAGATACACGTGCGGTTCCCTGGCCGTTGTTGATTGGAGAAATCATGGTCAGATGGCCCTGCAGGGAAGATGCAGAGAAGCAGGAAGGAAGGGGAAAACTTCCGACGGGCCAATCAAATTGACCGTGCTTTTGATCTCCTCACGCCGATTGATGTGTAAGGGTGGCGGGTTTGTGGCTTCCTGTAGCCGTCTGAAGGAAATATACTTTTCTCAGTATCATTCTGCGAGACATGGAATGATCGGCGTATATGTCGTAGTTTCTAGAAAGATAATGACAATGGTGACAAATGAAGTTTATATTGGATTCGGCACTTTATCTCCCTAACATACATACCCACGTTCATATCCTTGAACCCATCGCCGAGTCTCTGGGCGTAGCTTGATCGGCCGGTTTCGCGCCCAAAATCAAAAATTTACGCAATAATAAACTTAAGCGATACGGCTCGCATAATGCAGCTTAATCTGGGGTCCCGATACTTTAGGCCGAGGTGACTGTCGGCTGGTTCATCACCTGTCGACCAGCCCAGCCCGTCGATTACCCCAGAATCCAATGGGCCAAGCAACACCTCTGATCATCGTATATTAAATTCTAACCTGACCGCTTTTTTATCCGAGCTTCCCGCGTTCGAGGTCCCAACCAAAAAAAAAAAAACAACACTAAGACCCGGAAGGGCAGGCAGTAAGCCCTCTTTGCATAAGACTTATACCAAGTGGATCAAGGGGAAAAAAAGATACCTCGGGAGATGTTTTCGGGTGACTACTCTCTAGTCTTCCGCATTGCCACTCAGCATGGCGCGATTAGCAATTTGAGAAGGGTTGCATCCCAATTTCGACCCGTTCAAGATAAACACGGCCCCTTCGATGATCAGCGCTGTCAAAGAAGAACTTTCCAGACCTTTACTGATCTTGATTGACCATGATTGACCTTGATTTTTGCTTTTAGCTAAGGTTCAATATTTATTAAAATGGGGAGACTTCAAAGGAAGCTGAAAAGTGATCCCTCAGGATAAGACTAAATAGAGCGCTAAGGGTATTAACCGGTGAGATACCCGTAGTTAGCCGGGTCTAGAAAGTTACAAGGTCACATTGGGACTCTCTTCTGATAGGCATTTCTTTTGAGACATTGCACATGTTAGACACTATTAACCAATGATTGTCTGGCTTGTTGTCCCTCTCCACTTGGGCCCTGATCCTCCATTCAACAAGGATGATGATCAAATCATATGAGGCCTATAATCCTCCTCTAGAACCCTGGTCTAAATCTAACTTAGGTCGGATACCTCCGAGCAAAACCGCCCCCCAAAAAAAAAAACAAAGTGGTTAAAATTAGATAGGAAAGGATCTCATAATCTCCGAAATCAAAATGAAGTCCAAAAATCCATACTCCGTACGGAATAGACAAAAAAAAGTATGTATCAAGTATAGAACGTGCCATTCAAAGCCCCTTAAACTCCCCTACGGTTCTCGTCGGGGAAATTGGGACAGGGATGTAGTCAATGCGACATTATCAACCCCTCTTGAAGTCCTGCGACAATCGCTACCTTTCTAGAAGGCAGGAAATTTTTTAGATTGGTCGAACGGTCGATTACCCCAGGTCCGCTATGGGCTATAAGGTACCTGCGCGGAGCTCGATATCGTCAGTAATCAGTCTCTTGTCGCAATTGGTTCACTCTCACCCAGTCTAGTGACCCGCTATTATAAGGCTTGGATCTCCCTGATAAACAATGATCTTCAGGATTTTGATTTTGGGCTTCTGTTAAGGGTCCAATTGTTGATCATTGACTCTTTCCTTCTTATTCTCAACTTCCCTGTCGATCAGGTATAGACGATCTCCCTAAACAGTATCTATACCTACACAATACCTATACCCACAGTAACCTTTTCATTCAATGCAATGACGAGAACCGGCCCTACAAATAATCCTATCGCGTGGGAAACCAAGACCATTGTCCCAGACGATGGGGGCAGAATTGACTCGGTCGCATGTCAAGATACGAGACCAAAAGGGCGCATTCGACGCTCAATGACTGCGTGTAATACTTGTCGCAAGCTCAAGACTCGCTGCGATGTGGATCCCCGGGGTCATGCTTGTCGTCGCTGTTTGTCACTGAGGTTTGTTGGGCCCTTTTCATTCATTTTGTACCTGACATATACCCCGGTTTTTGCTTTTTCCCCATTATTTGCTTTTTTTGAGAGTCCCCAGTTTCTCAATATGCTGACTGTCGTAAAAGGCTTGAATGTGAGCTCCCCGAGACAACAGAACGATTCCAGGACAATGCATCAACCTGGTCTGATGCTACTGCCATACCGTCGATCGAGGAGCGGCTGGTCTCTCTCGAAAGAGGCATGGGAGAGATGATCCATCTCATGCGGCAGATGGTGAACCGCTCCCCCAGCATGTCCTGCAGCCCAACCTCTCAGGCTAGAAGCAACAGTATAGATGGCACGTCTTTAAGCGATAGCATGTCCTCATCTTTCTATCCGCTCAAGCCGGCGCAACTAATTCGAGATCTGCAAGCCGAATGCTTCGGCGAGAGAGATCACTTCTCCGATGCTGACATCCTTGGAGACATCGTCACCCAGGGCATTGTAGATTCCAAACTTTCCATGAAATTGATTGAACTGTGTGTCTGATTGTGTGTCTGTCACCGGACCTCCGTGCTAATGATCTCGACAGTTTCGTCGAATATTTTGGCCATTGGGTCTCAATAAATCATTCGTCCAGCATTCAACGGTCGAATACACTCCTTTTCAACACTGCATGTCTTCTGGCTTCGCGGTATCTACCCGGCCTACCACAACACACTGTCCGCGACATTTCACTTCATGTACAGCATGCCGTGGCAAAGGTGCTGTGGAAGCCCCCGCCGATGACAAGTGATATGCTACAGGCGTTGACCTTACTTTGTCTATACTCTACTTCTATCCACAAAGAAGGACTGATGGATGACTGGTTGCTGAGCGGGATCTCGATCAACCATGCCCTCATCACATTTAACTTCCTCAATACCTTGCCTGGAGACGGTTTAAATCCGGACGAGCTATTTGCTCAGTTGCGCCTGTGGAATACACTCTGTGTAACCCAGCTACAGTACGTTCTATCCAACAGAGCTACTGAATATACGATCTAACATGAAATCGATAGCTCCGCTCTCGCAAACGGCCGTACCGTCAATATTCAGCAGCAATACATCGATCAATGTCCCCGCATCTTAGAACACGCCGGCGCTACAGCAGAGGACGGCAGAATCGTGGCAGAAATCCAACTATACCGTATCGCCCTCCGACTCCAACATAGCCAGCACCGCCTCCAATTCGCAGAACCCGAATACGAAGAATTGGAGCGCTGGAAAATGGAATGGGCACATCTACTAAGTACATCGACCCTCCCACTATATGCCCAACCCCAATCTAACAACCACACCCTTATAGCGACCAGCGAAGAATCAACCCTCAACCTAAACCTCTGGTTCTGTCAACTCCTCCTCCACCGAACAGCCGCCCGCCTCCAACCAGATAGCGAGCGTCTGGTCCCAGAAATATGCGGTACCGCCCGCCTAATAATAACCCAATTCCTCCAAACTCGCTTTACATCCGCACCCGCTCTAATCGACCACGTCTACTTCATCGTTGGCTACGCCGCACTCACACTATGCGACTACACACTCTCTGACCCACTAATCAGCCAAGTCCGCGGCTTCCTACTACACCTCGCCCCCGGGGGCGACAACCTCTCTTACCGGATCGCATGTATTGTCGGCGAAGTACAGCGGCGGTACTCGGAAGCTACTGCTGTTGTAGCCAACGCCTCGCATTCGTCATCGCCGGTTGCAGAGGTTAAGGGCGTGCAGATGTTCAGTCCATCGCACCATCGTCCCGGTATGGACCTCTCCCAACTTATGTCTGGAGCGGAGGGACTGGACTCCCTTGTTGAGGGGTATAATTGCCTTGAGCAAATGATGCCTGGGTATACGGCGTCGCAGCCTGGGTTTGAGGCGCCGGATTTGTTTCAACACTCTCCTGGGACGGGTGTTACGGGTGGAGCTATGCCTGTTGGCCTGGTGCCGAGGGCTTTACATGATTGGTGATGGGATTTTTGGGTGAGGTAGGCTTTTTGGTTATAGATTATTGGAGTTGGGGATGCGGGAACATGCTGAGTTGATAATGACGGTGGTTTTGTTGGGGCTGGGGCATTATGTTGTGTTCTTTTTTCCTGGCGCCGGATCGCAGTAGTAAAAAAGCACAAATGGTAATAGTCGAGAGTTGTTCTGAATCCGGCTTCTTTGTTTCGTCTTTCGTTTCCGCATGGCGTAAATAGTTCATCTTTCGCATCTCTTTCCTATTATATTCTTCAATCAACATTCAGTAGGTTCTTATGTTTGTAATGGGTTGAACATACAAGGCGCAAGGCAGAGAAAGGGAAAGAGAATTGTATTGAAAAGGCAGGCCAGCTTCTATTTCTTTACTAGTCATCCTGGCTTAGGTAGATGATCTGCCAAGAGACTACACTCTTAACACAATCTCAAGACCCCTTCGATAGAACATGATATGAAATTTATAAGATATTGATCAATTGATGATACCTTCGAAACAAACTCCAAAAGCACCGGTGAGCTTATGTATACACCTTTTCCATTGCCATTAAAGCCAAAGGAAAAATATCTATCTATCAAAATCCCCCGAAAGAGTAAAGGGTCGGTCTTGACCTCGATAACCTCAACCGCAAACACCCCGAACCCGAATTCTATGACGAACACAGACGTGAGCCCTCAAGCAAAGAGGTAGGGAGCAAAATCCTCGGCTCTCCGCCAGCCATAGGAACAGGGACCTTCCCACCCTCAGCAACAGTAACACTGGCGCAGGATATAATTTCCGTCAACTTATCACCGGCCTTGAATCCAGTATCAGGGATTAAAAGCAAGTACTCTTTACCCCCTGTACCGAGATTGGTTAAGACGGTGATTACCTGTCCGCCATCATAGCCCTTCCGCATGGCGATGGTGCTCTCGTCTTTGTAGATTGGGTAGTTCTGTGAAGTATTAATCTTTCCGTTCTTCTTTCTCCTCTTATTAAGATAGAAAGAGACAAGCCATACCTGGTAGATAGTATAATTGGTACTCTTAGCAATCGCCGCATTTCTAGCACCATTGGCCTTTGCAATAAGCTTGTACAGTTCGCTGTCCGTGTCAAATCCAGAAAGCCACAGAGCCTCGCGATTAGCTGGATCCTTGCCACCGCTATAATGCTGCTCCTGCCCTGCATAGACAATAGGGATACCGTCCGTCATGATGGTGAATGTGGCTGCATTCTTGGCGAGGGCAATATCGTCGGTGACGCTAAATTCCCGAAGGAATAGTTATTAGTTTCTAGATATATAGAGTGCAGTGATTCTTTGTTAGATTGATGCAAGTTTCACTTACGAGGCAAAACGGGGATTATCGTGATTTTCCAAGAAATTACCCAGAAGCGTTGAATCCTTGTAGCTTGATTTCACCGTGTTGATGGCGTCGTATAGGGCAGCCATGTTTCCGGAAGTCGATTGAAACGCGTTGAGGAGCGGATAGTAACTAGATTCACAAATTAGCCTTGTCTCTCCCTGTGTATAGGGTCAGATTTATGGGAAAGCAGAATCTCACATTGGGTAGTTGAGCACTCCGTCCAGTACCTCCTGGTATGGACAGGTATAGCCAACGTCACCGTCAAAGACCTCGCCCACGCAGTAGACGCCGGCCGCTTTGTTGTAGCCGGGCCAGAAGTCTTTTTGGACATGTTTGACTGTATCGATACGAAGACCGTCAACTATATATTGGTTGGTATCTGAAATATGGCAACATTGTTTTGCTCAAGCAGGATACCGAGGGACAAAAACCTACTCGAGTAGTCAGTAACAAACTTCCTCACCCAGTCATACCAAATCTTCTGCACCTCCGCACTATCTGTATTCAGATCCGGTAGCGAGACGGAGTTATCGCCAAGCCAGCACTTTTGCGCCATGGTGTCGTTGCTGTAATCGGTGATTGGGCAGTAAGAGTGGAAATACTTCGCATTATTGAAGGGGTTGAATTTGGAGTAATCCATGTCAGTTCCTGCACCAGCATAGCCCTTTTTGTTCAATGTATGTCAGTCTCAGCCTGGACGGATTCCTCTGGAAAATTTGGCTCACCATGTGATTTGCGACTACATCGACCATGAGATACATGTCGCGTTCATGCAAGGCCGCAGCGAGAGCTTTGAGGTCATCTGCGGTTCCATAGTTCGGGTTCAGAGCCTCTCTTAGATCTGATCAGTAAGGATGTATGGCTGGAGGGTGTCTTTTTTCTGTTTTGCGATACCTACATATCCTGTTGCCAGTATCCGTGATATGGATCTCCATACTTGGTATCCTCGGTCAATTGACCGGTTACGGGAGTGATCCAAATGGCTGTGAAGCCCATTCCTTGAATGTAGTCCAGCTAAGAGGTTGTTAATTGTATGAGATAACAAGGGTTAAGTTGTTACTGACCTTGTCTATGATTCCGTGCCATGTTCCACCACAGTATTTCTGTTCAATATAGTTAACTATAGCCTAATATTACAGACTAAATACAAAGATGGAAACTTACTCTATCACTGGTATTACAAGTAGCAGTAGTCGATCCATCAGTTCGGGCAAAGCGATCAGTGAGCATGAAGTAGATTGACTGCGAGCGCCATTCAGCTGGAGTTGCAGCAATAGCAGTGCCAGCGAAGCCGGCAAGCCAAGCAAGTTGAGCAAGAATCATCTCGTAGATCTTTCAGCGCCGGTGGGTAAAAAAGAGAAAATTCAGCAACGGGATGATCAACAACAAAAGCGCTGCAAGGGACTTAGTACAAACATCCCAGCAAACGCAATGCACACAACGGGTACTCGGCAGACAAAACAGAGATACCAGAGACCAATAGCTGTTGAAATCGGACTCCGTAATGAAGTATGGACTTAAGCCAATAAACGCCAAAAGCTCAGATGAAGATCTTCACGGATGCGACTGTGTGTATGAAAAGATCACCCCTCTAAATGCCTGTCTGCAGTCGGAACAGATTCCAAGACGAGATAAGAATACACCGAAAGAGGATCCAGTGGCCAACTAATATATTAACCGAACAGCAGCTAACACAAAAGAAAATATGATCCTTCATATCTAATTTGTCAGATCCCGATCCAAAGCTGAGCAAAAGCAAACAATTACGACTATAGATGCATAACCTTGAGGAATGATTCGCTCGGCCAGGACAAATCCTGACATGTGTTAAATGATATGATCCTTGTCGAAGCCCCTGACACGGGGAACTGGTCGAATCAGCATGCGCGGGGAGTTGCAGGAGTTGCACGCTGAACCTGCAGGAATGAGGAGGGGGTTGCGATGGGCTATTGGCTCGTTTTAGATGTCGATCCTTATGTACCAAGTAAATTCCGACTTGGAGTTGGAGAATTGCCAAGGGTCTTGGTAGATGCAGCTAGAATAACTTAGGCTATGTACCCCGTATTCTGTGTGATGGACTACCTATAGGGCTAGATATGATGACGTGTATGCCATGAGACACAATAGATACAACATCGGCCGCCAATATTTGGCTTTGTAATTCGGCCCGACATGGGGAAAGTCTGTGCATCTTTGAAACGGCAATTTGTGAATGCGACCGGAGGATCGTGCGGGCTTTTCTCTACTCAGCTGAGCTATACGAGGTCACCGGCACTTCAACGATAGGAGCTCGGGCTTATATAGGGCAAGGAAGACAAAAACAAGATAATCAGGAGATGTCGTGGAAGAAGAGAGAAAGTATATGAAAATACGTTCATTGTAGGCGTTAATCAATAGAGGTACCTAGGTGCTATTGGGATAAACCAGGAAGAAAACAGCAGACTCCTATAGCATTCCACAATCTACCACTTCAAAGTCCAGTTCTCACTGAAAGCTCCCTCCTTAGTCAACTCCTGCAAACCACAAACAGACAGCACATGCGAAGTGGCATTATAATGCACCCCAGAAGCTGGCACAGGTTTATCATTAAACGTCACAGCATCAGGCTCCTTGGACACACCAAGAACAGTAACAGTAGCAAGAGGGTTTGACTCCTCCCAGTCACCCTTTGCCCTAGCGCTCAAGCTAGGACCCTTGACCCTGAAAGAAACATCAAGAGTTTCATCCGGAGCATTGCTCTCTCCATCATCGAGATGCAACTGACCCAACGCAGCTCCACTGCCACCAAGCGCGACAAGTAAGGACCAGGGTGTACCACGTGCCTCCTTCGTAGTCAAAGCAGGCTCCTGCATTGGCAAGACACTGCCTCCACGCACGAAAACGGGGATATGACCGAGCGGGGCAGGGATGGTGGTGTTGACGCCGGGCTTTGCGTCCACAGCTGTCTGGGTGTACCAGTCGTACCATACCTCGCCATGCTTGAGGCCTGGGAAGACGCCCTTGACGGAGGTGGCTTGGGGGGCGAGCACGGGTACGACCATGATAGAAGGTCCGAGGAGGAACTGGGTATCAACTGCGGCGAGGGAGGGGTCTGTGGGGAATTCCCAAGCCAGGGCGCGCATGACGGTGGAGCCGGTTGTGTGAGCTTCGTGGAAGAGGGTGTAGAAGTAGGGGAGGATTGCGTAGCGGATCTTCATGGCGGATCTGGTGGCGGCTGCGACGGATTCCCAGACGTAGGGCTCTTGGGGAATCGCAGAGAGGGTGTTGTGATTGCGGTAGAAGGGGAAGAAGGCTGAGAGTTGCATCCAACGGTTGCAGAGTTCTTCATCGGTGTTCCCGTTGAAGCCGCAGGTGTCAACGCCGAACATGGGGATTCCGAAGAGGGAGAATGAGAGGGCTTGGGGGATGGAGAAGAACATGAATGCCCACCTAGAGGCGTTGTCACCACCCCAGTGGCCAGCCCATTTACCGGAGCCTGCGAATGTTGAGCGGCCGATGATGAAAGGACGTTTCTTTTCATCGACCTTTAGCAGACCATGGTAAGTGGCGTTGAGGAGTTGGTGACCGAACAGGTTGTGCACATCGTATTCTTGGACACCATCGGAGTGAGTGGCATTCGGGGACACGGCGTGCGAGCTGAGGTCGTGGCCACCCTGGTCATGGTTGATCACGTATGGTGGGTAGTTCACGTTGCGTACTCCCGCAGTGGGTGTAGTCCGCAGATACGAGGTAGACGAAGAGGCAGAGCCCCCGGTTGCGGCAGCAGCCGCCTGGCTGGAAGACGCCGCAGACGCAGACGCAGCCTCAGTCTTATTACTGATATTAAACCCTTCTGGATAGTCATATATAACGTTACCAGGCTCCCCAGGCAGGGCAAACGGAGGGTGGGCTGGGTTCATGCTAAGATTTTTAGATCCGCAGCTGCCGACGCAGAAGGAAGAAACCTCGTTCATATCAATCCAGATACCATCAATGGCTACTTTCTTGTGCCACGTAACGATTTCGTTCGCCCAGAAATCGCCGGTCTTAGGATTGTGCCAGTCAGGAAAGACAGTGTAGCCGGGCCAGACAGCGCCAATGTACTCGCTTCCATCAGGATTCTTCAGGAAAACGTCATCCTCATGTCCGCGTGTATAGGTATCATAGCTGATGGCAAATTAGCATTGTTTCTGCACGATAGGTCTAGGGGGGGCTTACGCATCAGAGGCGTTCTCAGGGTTTGGAATGTAGATAGCCGCGTCTATGATGGGAACATAGTGACGGCCACTGCTGTGCAGCTTATCTAGGAACTCCTCACCCTCACTGTAGGGAAAACGATGTTGATCATTATCAAAGTCGCGGTAACCATGCATATAATCAATATCATTCCTAGTCATGTTAGAATTTGAATCATTCCAAGGTGCGGTGTGTCAATTTACCAGATAGTCTCGAGCGGGATTTCAAACTTCTCAAAGTTGGCGACAACTTGTTCTAGCTCAGTCCAATTATTGTAACCCCAGCGGCACTGGTGGAAGCCAAAGGTAAAGTACTGCTGCAGTGCTGGCAAGCCAATGGTGCTCCGCTGGTAGTTCTTGGTCACATCCGCTTGGCTAGGACCCGAGTAGAAGGTGAGATCAATGCTACCTCCCAGAGTGCGCCACTTCAGGCCCTCCGGGGTCATGATAACCTCCTGACCATGGGCGTTTCTGGAGAATACGCCGTGCGAGAAGGAAACATAGTTTTTAGACTGATCGGCCTTGTCACTTGCAACGAGGGTGTGATGACCCTCCTGATTAACCTCGTAGTAGCGGGTGTCCAGATAGAAAGGCTGGGAGCCGTAGAGATTGCTAGCAAAAGTCGTCAGCATCAGAAGAGCACGAGTGAAGGGAGAAAATGACGGGGAATGAAACTCACTCATCAATAGGGTCACCAATATCCGACGCATAGAGGGTCAAAGTGAGATTGTTCAAGAGGCGCAGCTGCTGAATATGCTCTCCAATGCCATACAGGTTATAATCCTTGGGTAGGGAGGTCACGAATTCAACAAACTGGTTCTCAAATACCAAGACTGAACCAGTCGTATCGAAGATCGCATCACGGGTAGCCTTGCGGGTCACCTTGAAGTGGAAAGAGGGCTGGTTCGACCAAGTGATCTCTAGATCGCTATGTTTCTTTGCAGCATGACGATCGGAAGTGGGTCGGGGAACGACATGCTCATCCAATATGAACCAAGAATAGTTCGAAGAATCGAGATAAGTCGGGACAATTTGAACGTTGAGGCGGTCATTAGCGAGGTACTCGATGGACAAGTCCAACGAGTCTACATCGGTACCGTAGACATTGCATGGCTTTCCAGCTAGGGTGAGAGTAGCAGTTAATCCACGAGCCGACTCCTTGACGTTCGACGCCGTGTACCCGGGACAAACCGACTGGGCATCGACGGCTTCAGGGTCATCGATATTGGCAATCAGCTGTGCGCCAACATCAACGCTAGCGGGGATGGTAAATTGGGAGTATTTTCCCGAAGAAGTCGAAGAAACACGAGAGCCCGTGGCGGATGTTGAGACAGCCCCAAAGGCTGTTGGCAAGAGCCACGCACTGGCAAGAAGGTTCTTCACACAAACCATGACCACTTCCCTACTTTGGTTGTAAATCCGGGGGACGTCTCATTTATGTTCCTCGTTTTTCTAGGTTGAGTATAACCGGTCCGCAGTATGTGTACAAGGGGACCCTATGCCGACCCCGCATGGATTTCCACTGATTCTCCGATGCAATCACATCGAGTGAAGAGGACTTGGGGGGTGAAGGTGGTCAAGACAAGGGGCTGGGATATGCAGAGTCCCTTACGTCGTGTATAACACGAAAGAGGGGTACACCGTACACTTTATGACTTCATAAAAGATTACAAATGCCTGCATAATGTATATGGTGTCTATTGTATACAACATAGTATAGGTGAGATAGAAACAATATAGAATAAGTCTACCTCTACGGAGTAGAACACGAATGTATCAACCGTGGAAGATTATTACTCCGACGACTTGAGAAGCCGCCGATCATATAGATCACGCCATTATAGCCTGGTGATTGGTCAGTTGTCCGACAAATGCCCGTCTACAATAGTAGACTTTAAACGCACCTGGATCTAATATACAACAACCCACTTAGTAGAATGTCATTATAGTCTGATAAACCCGGCTACGGTGACTTCTTTCACTCTAGCGGAAAATCTTGCCACGGGATGCTCGGACATTGGGAAGATTCTGTCCCGGGACTCTCGAACCTCAGGGAATTATTGAACGGGATCTCTATTAAACTTCACGAACTGTCATCAGACAAGCTATAGAACACCCATACAAGCTCTCTCCAACTATACGAACCATATCCCACTCTATATATACTGAGCTAATACCGCAATGATGGACTCCGTACTCTAACCCACCTGATATATATAACCACTCAGTTCCCCCTTAACGCACATTCGGGAAGCCGAGAACAATACAATAAGTCCTCTCGGTACGTTGTACTCGCGGGAAATCCAGGGCCAGAACTGTGCATATATTAATGGAGCCGTGAAGATCTTTGATTGGATCGGGTATTAAGTGAAACGGAAATGAAAGCTCAGCGTAGCCTAGCGGTGTCCACTATATACTAAACTGGTTAAATCCGGCGAGAAAATCCCGCATTGATTTCAAGGCACCTGTCCATCAGCGCTATGAAGAGATGTCATTAGAGCCGACTTGGCCCCGAGAGGTACCTCGCCCAGAGGGGGACTTCGCTTACGGGCCGAGAGTTGGGATCCATATTAATCTTAGCAGAAGATCATAGGGATACCTGAGATGGGGGTCACTCAATGTGTCAAATGTCTTGGTGATCTTGGTGATCTCTCCGATGATCTTTATAATCACTGAATGTATCTTTATAGTTTAAAAGGCTGAGGGGATGTAGAGAAGTCGGGCCGAGAGGAAGCGCCCCCTGAGCTCGAAGAGTAGTAAGAATAGCATCCAGGACTTCTATGCAAGTAATATCAAAAGACAATGAAGCATAATGCCAAGGGGCCTATGCGGGGAGTCTCTTGCCCCCCCCGCTTCCCCAGGTTTCTAGTTTTTGTTATAATGAGCCACATCCTGGAAAGTCCCCGGATGAAACGTCTTTTTTTATCCCCCTAACATGAACTTCAACTCTACTGAGTCTCCACAAGACTTAAACAATGTCCAAACAATCCAAACCAAAGCAGGCATGCGACAACTGTCGCCGTCGCAAAATAAAATGTTCCCGTGAACTACCATGCGACAAATGCCAACGCCTCCTTCTCTCCTGCTCATACAGCGACGTCCTCCGTCGCAAGGGGCCCAAATTCCGTACCCTATATCCCCTGGCCCCGATTCATCCTCTCTCATCCCGACTCGACCCACCCGAGAGCCTGTATCCCGAGGACGCCAGCACCGGCGAGATCCCGGATTACCAATTCAATTCGCCAATCTCGCCGGGCTTTGTAATCTCAGACTCGCAGTTCTCAGGCCAGGACTTCTCGGATACTTTTTCTCACTTGCCACCTCCGGAGCTCGTCTCGTCTCCAGGCTCCACAGACTCAAATGTGGAATCTGCCATTGGCTATGGCTATGGGTGTGTGAGACCGGCCACCCGCCGTCTCTCACCGCAGATTCTGCTTGTCCATGTCAATATCTACCTCAAGTACTTGTTCCCAATTATGCCGGTGGTCCGAGGCGACCAGCTCCGGCTGGATTGTCAACAGCCTGGACAGCTGTCTGCGCAGCGGTATGCCTTTTTGGCATCGCTGTGTGCGGCCACGCATATCCAGTTAAAACTGGATGGGCCGACGCCTGTTTCAGATCCTGCACGCTTGCAGAATATGAATATTGGGGATGGACACTCGTTGATGGCTGGAGAAGATCTTCTGGCAGAGGCCGTGCGGGCGCGGCGTGATTGTGATGTTTTGGAAGAACTTAGCACAGAGTCGCTTCTGACTTCGTTCTTTTTGTTTGCCTCGTATGGGAACCTTGATCGTCAGGATCAGGCTTGGTTCTTTTTGTGCCAGGCTACCTCCTTTGCATTCACACTTGGTTTGCATCGCGAGCCAACCTATGCAGAGTATGGGGTTGAGGAAGCGGAGGAAAGACGCCGTGTCTTCTGGCTTTTATTCATCACAGAGAGGTAAGTGGCCGGTTATGAAGGATCAATCATAGTTTGGACGGGTGCTAATTGATTATTCAACAGAGGTTATGCTCTCCAGCAAGCGAAGCCAGTCATGCTGCGCAGTTCGATTCACAAGCCCCAGGTCCTTGGCTCGGAAGACCCTATCCTGGCTTATGGATTCATCAACCTGATCACTATTTTTGAGAATCTCACACCGAACCTTTATGATTGGATCTCCGCCGGTGGCGGAGATGGCATCTTGGAGAGGCCACCAACCTCTGCTATCCAATCCAATCTGTGCAAGGCTATTTCCCTAGAGGGAGTCCTTGAGATCCAGCAGGTTGATATCTTGATCACGCAACAGTGGCTGCAGACGATGATGTGGAAGTTGTCTATGAGCCATGCCACACAGCCTGGTTCGCGCGATGATGCAGTTTTACCATTTCACTTACCAGTGATTGTGGGTAAATCTGTGATGAGCGTGATTGGCGCTGCATCGCAAGGTGCCGTTGATGCGCACGGAATTGGAATGGTAAGTCAACCCGAGATGAAGTTGTTCGTTCGTATCCGCATACTGATTCGAACGTTACAGGAACAAAAGCTCTTTGATCTGGGATCCTCTATCGCTGATGTGACGAGGTCTCTTGGACCAAAAGCCGTCCATAGGCTGGCCGAGTCAATTATTGATCCAAACGAGTTGCTGTGGGGTATACTTCACACGCTTTCTCAAATACGTGGCTCGCCCTCGTACCTCTTCCCCACACTACTGGATCGTTGCAGAAGCGTGCTTGGGCTCGACTGCAGCATCACCACTGGGAATTTCCTTCCTATACTCGGCGCTGCTGTGCCGGACCAGCTGGCTTCATGGTCTGGCCAGCATGTCTGGGATTATGCTGCTAGTGCCGAGGATATTGACATCCGCGATGTCGATGGCCAAGCCGAGTCAGCTTCTCATGCGCATGTTTCACAAGAAATGGGCTTCGAGAATTGTCTCTTGGGATGATAGGCCAACTGTTTGAATTTGTATACGGATTTCGTTTGTTGTATGATACCATGTGGAGTTTTATAGATGGATGTTTATGATATGAGAGCAGAGCTGGACTATAGAACTTGATCAATGCCGCGGTGCATCAAATCCATGACCATTGTTGTGTAGTCGATGTACATCGTAGTCGAGAAAGCTCATAGCTTGTGAGAAGTCAAATTGTCTTGGCATGTTTGTCTCGGCATCTCCAATTTGGTGATCGGCTTCATGCGACTTTCTCTTCTCAATTGCTCAGGATATTCTCTATTTGGTATGCCCTACATTGCTTTTGAAACTTTCTGAAACCTGCAATTGACAATTTTGCGGATAATCCTCGAGTCTCCGCATCAATCAAAGCTCACCAGAGCACCAAACCTCGGAGCCAATTCTCGGAGACATTGAACCTCAGCCTCGCTCACAACCAACACCATTGCCTACACAATGGCCTCTCTTCGACCCCGTACTTTCCCTCTCTCCGCTCGAGCCCTCCGCTCAACTCTCCGCTCAACAAGGCCTTCACCAAACCACTTCCTATCCGCGCCCGCATCCGCCCCATCAACCCCATCACCTCCAACCCGCGCGCACTCAACATCCTCCGTCTCCGCCGATGAGCTCTCCCACTTCTCCGCCCTCGCCAGCTCCTGGTGGGACCCAATGGGCCCCTCCAGAATCCTGCACCTAATGAACCCCCTCCGCCACGAATTCATCGCTTCCTGTCTAGCAGAGGGAACCTCAAACCCAACCGCATCCACCCCCTCCACCGCAACCCTCAACTACCTCGACGTAGGCTGCGGCGGCGGTATCTTCGCCGAATCCCTCGCACGCACAATCCCACTCGACCCGACATCCCCAGCCCCAACCCCAACCCTCGCCGCCTCAATGACCGCAATCGACCCTTCAACAGACCTGATCCGAATGGCGCGCGAGCATGCGCGCATGGATCCAACCGTCGACACGCACCTGCGCACAGGTCGTTTCAAGTACCTCAATACCACGCTGGAGGATGTACTTGCTGGCAATGCGCCGACTTCGACGTCCGCCCCAAACCTACCAGAATCCAGCTCTACTTCAACTCAAGTCACACCCTCACAATACGACGTCGTAACTCTCTTCGAGGTCCTTGAACACATCGATCCGAAAACTTCAACACCGTTAAGCTTCTTGACTAACTGTCTGCGCGCTCTCAAGCCTGGCGGTTGGCTGATTGGATCTACTATCTCGCGGACATTGCCGTCATTCATCCTGAACCAGGTTATTGCTGAAGCGCCATGGCCGATTGGTGTTGTGCCGCGCGGGACGCATGAGTGGAATAAGTTCGTCAACCCGGATGAGGTTAAGGGATGGTTGCAGGAAGGGTTGATGAGAGCTGCTGATACGGGTGTTTCGAGGGGTGGGAGTGCGGTTGCGGAGGGGATGAGGTGGAAGTGTGTGGGTGCTATCTATGTTCCGGGAATTGGGTGGAAGATGGTGCCTGGGAGTGAGGATTGGGGGAATTATTTCTGGGCTGTTAGAAAGGAGCTGTAGACTGGATTTGAGGTGTGTATCTATACTTGCATTGTTTTGAGCTATTTGTATATTATTTGGTTTTTGTCAACTTCTACTGGCTTGTACTCATTGCATCTCTCGATAATTCATAAATTCATACATGTCATCATTGACTCGTTTCCAGTGTATGCAGTACACATCGCTAAATGCACATAACCACCCAGCAGCCATTCCTATTGACGGCGCAAAAGAATACAGCCCTAAAACCAAATCCCAATCCCGAGCAAAAGTGAAGGCAAAACCTTCCTCCCCAAGACTACTTCTTGCCCTTCCCCTTCCTCTTTTTCTTTGAAGCAGCCGGCGGCTCAGGCACAGAGACAGTTCCTTGCTCAACTTCCTCACCCTGCCCCTGCAACCTTTGCGTGCCACTAATAAAGAAAGTCAAATCCCGATTTTGCTCCGCCAGATCCGCATTGGCAGCCTTCAGCTCATCAACCTCTTTAGCAAGACCCTCCAACCGCAACAACATATTCTGATTCATAGCCTTCTCCTCCTGAAATCCCTTCTCAAACGAGCGCGCTAGAGCCTCGAATTTTTCCGCTCTCTTCTCCGCACGCGCGCGGTCGTGTTCAAGCGACGGCAAAGTCTCAATCGTCACGGCATCGTACTTAGCTTGTAATTCTTCTAGACATGACGAGGCGCTGGAAGCATTGATTTCCGCCACGGCGGCAGCGGCACTAGCCTGCGATGCTTTGTCGACAGCGCGCTCGACGACTTCTTCAAAGTACGCGCGCTGGCTTTCAAGCTGGCTGGTGAGAAGGTGCGTGTATTCGATACTCATATTTTCTAATTTCTCGCGGGGGACGGCATCGCCCCAATCTGGTGGGTCAAGGGCGCTGTGGTCTGCAGCGGGTAGTTCGAGGAGCTTTCCATCTGTTTTGTTTTGGATGATGCGGTGGACGTAGGCGTCGCCTACGTAGTCCCATACGCGCTGGGAAGTGAGGTCCATGGAGAAGGCATGGGCTGTTTCTTTCCAGTGGGCGAAGGCGTGGGCGTTGTCGTAGCGGCCGCAGCCGATCGTGCCGCATATTAAACAAGCCCAGAGGTTCTCTTCTGAGTGGCAGACGCTGCATTCTTGGGGTTCTTCATCTGGCTTCAGGGATGCGTTGCTTTTACGGTAGTCGTCTTGTGTGTATCGGCACACGGGACAGCCGCTGCCTTTCCATCTCTGGAGACAAGTGCAGTGGAAAACGTGTTGGCAGTTTATTGTGAGGAGCCCTGTTGTTTCGTCCATTCGCTCTAGACAGACTGGACAGGTTGGTAGTTCGATTAATGCGGGGGTAGGTGGTGCAAGAGGTTTGCCAGTGAGAGTTACTTGTCCGGTAGAGGATACGGGGGGTCGAGAGGGGGTCGAGAGGTTCGAGGAGATAGCTCCATGCTCAGAAGATGGTGTTCCGTCATCCATAACCTGGATTTCGACCGATTTCACAAATACCACATGGCAGGTCTCAGGCTCGATGCTATTAAACACGTGCCCATTCCATTCTTTCTGCCATTCCTTCGCCTTGCGCCCACTCCGGAACTTCATCAAAACCATATACCGATTCGCGCGCGCAGTCCTAATCATCCGGAAATGACTAACATCATCCATAGTCTTCTGTCCCATAAATCCCAAAAAGTCCGGCGGCGATAGATAAGATGGCACAGCGAGAATGCATAGTGTTGTACAATCCTCATCAGGATTTTGCGCGGAGGAAGAAGTCGTCTCAGGGAAGGGGTATTCAGCAAGGCCTGCCGTCCCAGGTTGTTTGGCACCCGCCGCCCCGGCTACACTCTGCCTCACAGTAGCCTGCTGCTCGCCGGGGTTGCGGGCCGCAGCTGAAGAGCCCTTCAGGTAGGCTGGGTGGTCATCATCGTTTCCGAGGTAGGGCGTTTCATGCGAGTCGCGGTACAGGTGCACAATTCCCCAGACACTGTCGGCAAGCTCGTAATCGAGAGGGATGTATCTGCCTTTTGTGCGAAGGCCGCCTAGGATATCGGTGCCGATGCCTGCGGCGACGAGGTTCTCTGGTTCTGTGGATGCGGAGCCGCGCTTCGGGGTGCGTTTGGTCGGTTGCTTTGGGGTGACCATGTCAACGCACTCAATGGAGATAGCGCTGAAGCGCTTGTCGTCTTCGAGTGGAGTGGTGCTGGTGGAAGGAGTGGTTCGAAGTGGAGTGGGAGTAGTATGGGTGGAGAGAGTGGATATGACTTTCTGTCGATGCGCTAAAATGTTATCTGAGAGTGGGGTGTTGGTGTTATATAGGCGGTTGGAGGTTGAAGGCCCGCTCCGTTGTTGGAATGGTTGGAGAGCTTCCCATGCGGATTGTAGTGCGGGAGAGGATCCCTGCGAGCTCGGCGCGTCGGACAAGCCGTGGGAGAGGAGTTGTAAGCTAATGTGATAGAAGTAAGCGGGCATCCCGGATGATGGCTCGCATCCTCTGGAGCTTTTGCGGGTTGTTGGAATTGTCGAAAGAGAGAGGCGTGTTATCACGATAAGGATATATGATTACTTAATACATAAATCACAGGTGTTGGAATCGCCTGCGAGCTCATGTCTTCTTGATCGTCTTTTCTGATGTGACTATGAGATGCCTGTTTGGGATTTTTTGCTTCCCTCGAAAGTTATAACTGTAACACAAAAAGCACCAAAACAAAAAAGTATATCACAGATAATTCCTTCTAGTATAACTGGAGATTTTATTGTCGCCCGCGTCTGCACCTTGCGCCACAAGTGGTTCCTGGCACGCGAGAGTGGCAAAGAGGCAAAAATGATTGAAACTGTCGCGCGCGCGTTCTAGAAGGTTGTAGAACTGGTGTGCTTGAACCGAATTACCTGAATGAGACAATTATATGGGACTTGCACATAGGGATGATGCTGGACGGATAAACCTCCCAACATCCGGACATGTCTACTCCGTATATTGTACGTCACTGACATCCATGTACCATATAATTCCTGTCAGTAAATACTAAAGACTACGGAACAATTACAATGGAATGGCATGCTAGGCAAAGACTAGCAAAATATTGCTAGAGTGAATTGTAGAGAACTATCTATCACATCGATGATAATGTGGGCGCAAAGTAAAAGAGAGAAGCCGTCCTCAGAAAACACATTGCAAAATAAGAAGCCTCAGCCTCGAAAACCGACCAAACGCCATGCAGGTCATGTAGAACCTATCGAAGTTGAGAAGAGCATCATTTACATCAATTACTGGCCGCCACGCAGACGCAACACCAGGTGAAGGGTGCTCTCCTTCTGGATGTTGTAGTCCGAAAGTGTACGTCCGTCCTCCAGCTGCTTACCAGCGAAGATAAGACGCTGCTGGTCAGGAGGGATACCCTCCTTGTCCTGAATCTTGCTCTTGACGTTATCAATGGTGTCTGAGCTCTCAACCTCGAGCGTGATGGTCTTTCCGGTCAAAGTCTTGACAAAAATTTGCATACCACCACGTAGACGGAGGACAAGGTGGAGTGTGGATTCCTTCTGGATATTGTAATCGGAGAGCGTACGGCCATCTTCAAGCTGCTTGCCTGCGAAGATGAGGCGCTGCTGATCGGGGGGAATGCCCTCCTTATCTTGAATCTTGGACTTCACATTATCGATAGTGTCGGATGACTCGACTTCGAGTGTGATAGTCTTGCCGGTGAGTGTCTTGACGAAAATCTGCATACCACCACGTAGACGGAGAACCAAGTGCAGAGTGGACTCTTTTTGAATGTTGTAGTCGGACAGAGTACGTCCGTCCTCCAGCTGCTTGCCGGCGAAGATAAGGCGCTGCTGGTCAGGGGGAATGCCCTCCTTGTCCTGAATCTTGGACTTGACATTGTCGATGGTGTCAGATGACTCGACCTCAAGGGTGATGGTCTTTCCGGTCAAGGTCTTGACGACTGTGGCAAATGTTAGTCAAGTGAGAATGACTGGCGTGTGAAAAAAGACTTACAAATCTGCATACCGCCACGGAGGCGGAGGACCAGGTGAAGAGTGGACTCCTTCTGGATATTATAGTCGGACAGCGTGCGACCATCCTCAAGCTGCTTGCCAGCAAAGATCAAACGCTGCTGGTCAGGAGGGATGCCCTCCTTATCCTGGATCTTGGACTTGACATTGTCGATGGTATCGCTGGACTCCACCTCAAGGGTGATGGTCTTGCCAGTGACTAAAGACAAACGAATGTTAGTAAGGATGTTCATAAGTTGAGTTGGAAAAGAGGGCCAGTGGGATCAACACAATCTCCAATAGGCCGAGGCCAGATAGGGGTGAACGTACGAGTCTTGACAAAGATCTGCATGATGGGCTTTATTATTTGAGTTGAAGATGATGATTGAAAGGAAAGGATGCTCTCAAGTGAAACAACCTGGATAGATGGTGGGTTGAAAGAAGGGAGATGGTGGAAAGAGGGAAATCAGCGTCCTTATGTAGGAAACCTTGGAAGATGAGGGGGCGAGGCGTCTTAGTCAGGTGCAGGTGACGCCGTGAAAATGCCAGAAGGTGCCGGATGAGTCAAAATGGGTGCCTGGGAACAGTTTGACGCCACCTAAAAAATTCCGAAGTACGAATCTGGTTGGATATCTACAAATAGACCTGTAATCTTCCACTCAAGATATATATTCTTCTATTAGGGGGTTCTAATATATACCTCAAGTGTTTTTGTCTTCCCCAAGTGATGACGTTGCTTATCGGCGTCAAAAAGAGGGGGTGGACCTTTTATATGGAGACACTAGTGAGAAAGTACAGGGTACGGGGCTCTACGCGGTAACTGCTGCGGTCTCCCGGGTACCCTGTACCCGCTTCCAAATTTAGTACTCACCGGTCTTTTCACATCTTTTTTTAGTTCAATGGTACTATAGTCAAAGAAGTCAAGGTCAAAGAATTCAAGTATTCAAGTTTAGATTTAGAAACTATGAGCCCATTGGCAAATGTATAAACAATCCGGTCTCGCAAAATTTCCTCCGACGCCGTCCCCGGTAGATATGCGCCACCAAGAATGTGGTTC